CTGTGGTGGTAGGTGGGTGAGTGAGTGGGGCGGGGGGGGGGAGAGACCGAAACATACATCCGATAACTGTAGCGGTCCCCGTGAAACCACCAGTTGTGGCAATCAATGTACCACAACCAACAACTTTGACTGCAGAGCCTGAGATACGTATCAGCACCGATAGTCGCCGAAAATCGACAGCCGGGGGTCGAAAAAGAGTCTTACCACTAGCAGTTCCCGAAGATATCACGGATGAGGATGAGCCGAAATATACAGTTCCACTGCCATCTGGAGAGACCAATAAGTCTACGCAAGCGACGACTTTGAGTAAACAACTTACTGACGTATCCACTCCCAGATGCCGTCCCGCATCCCATGAGGGTATTTGGTGCGACGGTGACTGGAAATGAGGTCACAGAACTTCTGGTACTTGGCGTTGCCGTTATTATCGTGATGGTCGATTGCACAGTCGTGCCACCATTACTGCTTCTAGTTGAAGATGCGTTGGTGGTGGTGGGTGTCATCGTGATCGTTATCGTGGTGCTTGATATCACGATGATAGAGTAGCTTGTTGTTTGTGTGGTTGTCGTGGTGGTATCTGAGCTTGTGCCCGGACTTGACTGGATCGAGGAGGCATATGGATTGCTCGAGTCCAGTGATGAAGTAGTAACACCGCCTGTGGTTGTAGTGAGCATAGAAGTTGCAGAGGAGGTGGTCAACACGATTGTGGTTCCGTTGATGACTGTAACAGTAGAAACTGTCGACAAGGAACTCGTACTTCCACCGGGAAGGACAGGTGATTGAATCACAGAACGTGAGGATGTGCTCGACGTCGAAGTTCTACCACTAGAACTGCTAGCTATTGAGGAAATCGCTCTGCTGCTTGTGCTGGTCGGCGTGGTTAGGCTACAGCTTGAAGATGCTGCAGCAGTAGAACTCGGTCTCGTATTAAATGACGAGGAGAGCGTGCTCGTATTCGTACTTGTTGGTCTGAAAACTCCACTGGAAAACATAAAGGATGTAGTTGATGTACCATTCCTTAGACAAGACTCGGGGATCGTGAAACAACATGGTAGCCCAGTATTGACAGCGGTAGGTCTTAAAGCGCCTATGTAGTTTGAGTCGTAACAATAATTGGCAGTGGCCTTGGGATCAGGATACTGAAAGACGCCCTAGAAACATGGTCAACAAGTCGATTTGCTTATAATCAACATAACTCACCTGATATGTCTTTGTCACGCAGGTTCCGGTGCTTGTTGAAGAGTAGACTGTTGAACCCCCACCGCATTCCCTACATGTTGCAAATGGCGGATCATTGGCAAACACGCCTCGTTTGAATATACCCCGGCCCTCCTTTGTTCTCTTGAAAAGATCATGATAATGAAGACTGTAGCTTGTGTCACTCGAACCGTTGGGGGCAATCGTGATGATAGGTGATACGGCAGTGACCATAGAAGGAAGAATCTCCTGACGCAAGTCGGTTGGAAGTTGATGTGGTCTCACCGTCGGGTCAAAGAACGAAATACTGAGCAGGGTTTGTGTACCAAAATCGACGTATGCATATGTGCTAGGAATTGAAGATGCGAGCAAAACCACAAAGAAATAGCCAGCCACCATTTTGAAGATATGGTACAACTTCACACCTCACCTCGATTGAGATACTCCGACTCGAAATGCATCTACAGCATTTGTAGAGTACTTCATCGTGACTTTTCGTCGATTTTCGCGTTGTGATGTGCACAGACCGGAAGGAGGAGAGAATGGAATGCAAGCAAATACCTGTGGTAAACTCTCCTCCCTTTGCTTAATACTGGGCCGATCAGCCTCGGACATAGAAGGCTGACGTCTTCAATATCTAATGTCCTCATATCCATACTAGTATCGCCATGCTTTGTGAAGAACAAACATGAAGAAGCTTCAACTCACTAATCATGAAATCGTTCTGCATGTTGACAGCCGTGCCCTGTCACTCAGTCCATACGAGGTAGTCTTTCAGAGCCAGGCCATGACCCCCTGCCAAGATATGGCCTTGCTGGCCTTGCTGGCCTTACAGGTGGATCTGATCATCTTGCTCCGAAATCGATGACACCATTCATGCTCACTCTTTCGAAGAGAGCGACACGAGGCCAAGAAGAAATTCCTGCAAGAAAGAGTTTTGTCCTGAGCACGAACTTCGGTCCTTGCGTTGGTAAAGAATGGGCTTCTTGAGCAGATTAGAGGCATAAGCACATTAAGATGTAGGGATTTGGTGATTCGGAAAAAAATGAGGATGTCCTTGGGAGATTAGGTAGTGAGACGCAGTACCTTTGGAATCGGCGTTCGTGATGCTGCTGACTAAGGAGGATCATCCTGCCGAAGCTCCGAGCAGGAGTTCATTTTGCGGATTGAAGTTCTACAACTTGAGTCTCTACAACCTTTAACCCATCTGAACGATTCTGCACTTTTCGTAAGCCCGCTGTATTCGAGGCCGCTGCCTTTATAATCTTCATGTCTCCACCACACATGGCAAGGCCCGGTTAGGCCAGATTATAATGTCTTCGCCAAGCTGGTCGTCTCTGTTCATACTGGAATTCCTACCTCACTGATGAAATAGAGTCTAATCACTCGCACTACGAGGTAAAGGCCACCATCTACACCCTTGAAACGCCCATGCACAATCAATCCTGTGACAAAGTGAGATTGATACACGGATACACTGAAGCTCAGGGGAATATCGGAATATTCCTGCACCCTAGCCATCGCCCAGGCCCATCGTCAGCGAAGGAGCCTCATCCGATGACACACTCTCGCATTTCGTTGTTCAGGAGCTCTGGTGAACCCCGATGCTGATATCGACGTACGAATTCAGCCAAGGGGCAATATCGTCCGTCTATCTCTAAAATGCCAATAGCATCCTATTTTCTTTGTGTCCATGCAACAACTTGGATACTACTCCTGAGAAAATGTTCACAGATATCGATCAGCGGGCATTTCAAGGCTTCAGGCATGTGAAATGTGATCTTGTCTACTAGATCTGGCGATGCATGCGACGAGACAGCCCCTTGTTCAATGAATATTCCTCGAGAGGACTGCTCCCAATTTTGGGCGTGGTGGAAATCCTTTGTGGCCCACCCTGTCAGATCCAATCTTCCATTTGCGGCGGGACGCCCGATTCTCAGGGACGTCTCACATCTTTGTTGCAATACCGGAATCATCCATCGAACTGGCACAGGGCTGGCGATTCACTGTAAAGTGGAGCACAACTTCATTCAATACTAAATGACTATAAGTATAGGAAGGACAATGAACCCTCTCAGCATTGACATTTCTATCATCACCACCACATTCGTTTATCCCAGTCACTCTTTTGAACAAACTCTTACCTTCTCACGATAAAACTCGACTAATATACCTCCTCAACCCTTTCCAACCTCAACCACAAAAATCCATCCTTCAAATTCCCCCAACAAATATCCAACATGCGTTTCGCATTCGTCGCAGCAATTTTCGCTCTCGGAGCAAGTGCACTCCCTCAACCTCAAGATGTCTCGACTGACAGCTTCGGCGGCGGCGGCGGTGGCGGCGGTGGCAATCCCCGCTGCTTGAACGACGGTGGCGCCAACTACATCGTGAACAGCTATGCCAAGTTGCTCGAATTCCCTCAAGGAGCCGACTTCAACGCCACCGCCCAGAAGCTCCTTTCCAACAAGTTCATTGTGTACTCTGATTCCATCAACTCCTTGTCCGGACGACCTGTAAGTTTTTCCACGCCACCTACCACATATGACAGGTTGAATGACCCACTGACTGATCCATGAATCCAGCTCGGCCAACCCTCGTATCCCAGCAAGCAAGCTTTCATTGCAGGCCAGGCTCAGACCCCGGCGCTTCCCGGTCTCAAGACCCTCGAGGTCTTCCACACCTGCAACAAGATCGCATGGCGCTGGATTGTCACCGAGTTTGGTACCCGAACCGCCGAGATCAAGGCTTTCATCCAGTTGGACGTCGACCCTGCCAAACTCCAGATCGACCAGGTCTTCTCTGAATTCAACACCATTGCATTCGCCGCCAACATCCCTAAGTAGGGGTAACACTGTTTGAGTCGCGGCTATCTTGCTTCAGACTTCACAGCAGTAGTCTATTGATCCTGTGACGTCTAAGCCATGCTTCGCTATTGCTACGGCCAGCATGGGTTGCCGTTGACTATTGCTAGGAATAGCCGCATTTGGCATTGGGAACGGGGTTCTTCACGGTAACCAATTTACCATAGAACGGGCATATAGATCAGTATTCCGATCAAATAGAATCCATTTATTTTATTGGGATATCAACTTGCTCCAAAACATGAATCTCGGGTGAATCGCGCATCTAACATCAGACCCACCCCCGTATACCAAGTAAGTGAACTAACTAGACACTGGCGCGCTTCCCACTCCCATAAAGAATCCCCTCCACCGCCTCGGCAATAGCCAAAGAACTGGTCAGCCCAGGACTCTCAATGCCCAACAGATTGACAAACCCGTCAAAGCCCTCTTCCTCCTCGATATAAAAGTCCTCAAACCCCTTGCCGTCGCGGCCATACGTCCCGCTGGACCCATGCGCCAACTTGGGCCTGATGCCACAGTAATCGAGATCGATGGCCTCCCTGTCAATGCCCGGGAGATAGCTCTGGATCATGTCGAGGGCGGCAGTCAAGCGCGCGGGATTGGGCGTCAAGTCGTTGGGATCGTCCACCCACTCGACATCCGGGCCAAAGCGCACGCGCCCGGCCATGTCGAGCGTGAGGTGGGTGCCGAGCCCGCCGAGCCCGGGGACCGGGGCTGGATACAGGAGGGTCTGGGGCCTGGGCCTCCCGCTCGCGTACGAGAAGTAGCTGCCCTTGGCGAAGAAGGCCTTGCGGTGTCGCGCCGCCGGCAGCAGCATGTTGCTGACGGCGATGGCGCCGAGGCCCGCGCTGTTGACCACCGTCTCGGCCGTGATGACGTCCTCCCCACCAGACCCGTCCATCGACCGTGTCGTGATGGCATATCCTCCGCCCTGTCCACCACCGCCATTCTGCCGCTCAATCCCCGTCACGACGGTATTCAGCACCTCCTCGCCGCCGCGCTCCTCGAAACTGCCCTGCAGGTACGCCATCAAGGCATGCGAATCGACGATCCCCGTCGTCGGCGACTCCAACACGCCCGCCTCGGCACGCACATCGGGCTCGCGGGTGCTGATCTCGTCCCGACTGAGGAAGTCCATGGGGACACCGATCTCGCGCGCAAAGTCGTGCAGCCGCTGCAGTTCCTCCATCTGCGAGGCGTCCTGCGCGATGATCCATTTCTTCGTGCGGCGGTGCGGGATGTCGGCGTTGGCCGCGAGCTCGTACAGCAGCTCCTTGCCGCGCAGGCAGAGCTTCGTCTTGAGAGTGTCCCGCCCGTAGTAGATGCCCGCGTGGATCACTTCCGAGTTGCGGCTGCTGGTCTCGGTGCCCACCGCGGAGTGGCGCTCGATCAGGAGCGTCGATGTCCCGCTTCGTGTCGCCAGTTGCCGTGCCACGGCAAGTCCGACCGCGCCACCGCCGATGACCTGTTTTCGAAGTATGGGTTAGCGCGTCGCGGACGTGATTGTCTCCGAGAGGACAAAGCTTATTGAGAGCTCTTCGTTCTTGTGGGGGGGCCAAGAAGAAATTCAACACTCACCACATGAGTGAAATCGGCGTTTAACGATCGCGACGTCGAGAAAGGTCTGTTACTCGTACGTCGACTGCAGCATGACGCAGCGTGGAGCACCTTCCGAGATAGTGGCGATAAGCTCCCCATGGTGAGAGGTTCCGCCGACGTGCTTGGATACCTCTTATATGGGAGGGAAAGTGCTGCTCAAGTGAAAATTATAAAGGATGACTTTCAACGTAGGCACATCATGCGGTTTTATTGAACACACTCAATCTGTCAATCGTCCAGCCAGCGATTGAGAATAGCGATCTTGATCTGTAGTGGTTTCTTTTACCTAAGGCCGCAGCAAGCGAGCTAAATCCGGACCACAACTCAGATCCAGGTAGAAGTTGTCCAGGAGCTGTGCTTGATTGAAACGAAGCCGCAGATTGATAATTCGTGTTGACGAGGCTCCGAGATGATCTACCTTTTTAGCTTTTCCGTTCCTTTGAGAGACCAGGCCCTGTATTATGATTTCGAAGCTAGGTAGTTATAGAAGAAAGGGGGTAAGTTCAAGATAAATGATGCTTAGGACTCTCGATGGTCATTATCTTGACAATCCCATCGGCGATATGCTCATGACTGGTCTCTATGTATTGCCTGGTAGTGATGGTGGAAAGTGAGCGGAGGAATAAATGCGGAGAATACACGGAGGTTGGCTGACCTCCTTTAAGAGTTGTCATAGGATGGGCGTTTAACTAGAGCCTTGCGTGCTGCAGTATGACGCAGACTGGCATCTACGAATAACAAGCAAGACTGGTTTGGTTATCTGATGGTGATCCTGATAAGGATCCTCATATTAATGTGTCAGTTCTGCATGCAGAGTCCCTGGAAGGGCCCAACTTTGGATGCCCCCAGTGGGACATCTTTGATGCTTCCATATTAAGGAGCTATCCAAGCTCATTCCTGGATTTCAAATATCTATGTACAATTATCATACTTCCGCTTACCCATGATTCAACATTCGGAATCATGAAAAACCCATACCCCAACGCCTCATGGGTCAGAATGCAAGATCAAAGCCGTCAACTGGGCACCAGGGTATCAACTCTCCACCCATGTCAGAAGATGGCCTGGATCGCATTTTGACAGCCAACAGTTCTACCAAGGTGTACTATGTACAATGACTGGCGTGTAATAGCTCGGCCGAGAGTTTATCGCTCGAACGCAAAAATACAAATAACAACAGTATTCATATCTATGCTCGTTCAGTGAAATCAAGCTTGCAGTGATCCTGTATCTAGTGTCAGCCACGAGTCGTGTATTGAAATCAAGGAACCTCATCTTACCATGGGGAAAATTGTTGCAAAAACCTCAATATCTTCACTAATGGCTGTTGGCTCGTGAACCCAGTCCATCATAACACTTGCTTTCCCGATCATGGCCATTAAGTTCAATTGAGCATATGTTTGACCAAGGCAATAATGTGGTCCGGTACCAAAAACCATCCAGTTCTTGACTTGCTTGTCAGCGTCACCGGTGATCCATCTCTCAGGTTCAAAACTGTCAGGGTTTGGATATGCTTCGGGATCATGAGTGGCAGGCCACAAAGCTGGGATGATCATGGATCCTTTCTTCAAAGTATAGTCGGGAGTCACCGGGAAATCCTTTTTGGCCACGTATGGAACAAAGATGACTGGGGGTCGGTAACGGAGCGTCTCTTTGACAACTGCACGCGTCCAAACCATGGATTCTAGCATATCCATGTCAAATGGTTTATGGCGATCACCATTTCGAAGATTCATGTTTTCTTCTCGAACCTTTTCCAAGATTTCTGGACGGTCTGCCATAATCTGGAATAGCCAAGTGCATGCACTGGAGGTGGCATCCTGAGAAGCAAACAAGAATGTGAAAATTGTCTGGGAAATCTCGCTGTCGGTAAATTCACGCAGAATTTGAGGTGGCTTCTCGGATGGGGGCACTTCTTCGCCACGAGCAATTCTCTCTTTGTAGGCGGCTGAATCGATCATTTGCTTGACCCATGCATCCATAATGCATGTCACATCACCTCCTGCAGCCATTCTGACTTTTGATTTTGCAGCACATTTGGCGAACTCATCCAAGATCATGTCGGCAGACTTTCTACCATACCAGGCCTTTGTGAAGGGAATGATGACCGGGAAATTGACCAATTCCAAAGCAGCTGTAACCAGATAGAAGTCGATCGCAATTTTCTTGACCACTGCATCTGTGGCATAGTGTCCGACAAAAGTGCGACATGATACAGCACACATGAGTTCTCGGAATTCCGGCATGAAAGGAGTTGGTTTGTTGCCGCGTTCTTTGCACATTTTCAAGAATTCTGTGAAATACTTCTGATAGACCTCTTCTTGTCCGGGGAGATAGATTTCCAATGCTTGACGGGTGAACAAGCCATTGAGACCTTTCCGATAATCGACATGGGCTTTTCCATCGAGGAATACCCAGTTGGTAGGTCGGAGGATCTTGGGTGCGATGTCTACGACAGTCGGCTTCACGAAGGCTGGAGAGTTGAAAACCTTTCGGGCAAGGTCTCGATCAGAGGCGATGACAACAAATCTGTAGGACAATGTCAGTTGGGGTGCGACATGGGGTTGCAGGCATGACAGACTTGTGGAAGACGGAGACGCAGCTCAAATCTCCACTTTCCCACTTGGCCTTGTATTTCTTGAAGTCGGGTTTCATGGATTCGAGGAAAGGACCTATGAAGGGCATTTTCCAGGCCGGGCCAACAATGCCATGTTTCCGAAACTGGTAGCTAACTGTGATGGAGTGTCAGTGACCTGCCTGAGGCCTCGGAAATTTGGCGCAATGGTTTTCTGGCTCACACTGATCGTAGGTAGCGCACAAGACGAGCAAGGTCAAGAGCACAGTCCAGACATTAAACTGCGCCCATGTTTTGGCCAACAGACCGGTTGACAGTTGAAGAGCATCAAAGTTCTGACCTTCTCCTGCAAGGTGAGACGCGAAGCTCGAGGAATTAGCGAGAACTTCCATGGCCAGTGACGAGCTGGGGGGCCGAAGGTGCTTGTTTTGGTGCGAGTCGAATAAGGACGCGGTGCCTGTGAGGAGGAATGATTTTTTGGGTGGGAGGCGATTGGAGAGGATTTGTTTTTGGACAAGCCGGGACCTGCGTTTAGGCCCAACGAGAAATCCTGGCGAGGAAACAACGATTTAGGATTCCGCCGCCACTTCTGTTGTTGCTGTTCTACCACAGCGCACAGGTAGGTACGAGAAGGACTATGAGAAGGGGAGGACGAGGAGAGGTATGAGTAGTAAAAGTCGAGATGAGGTGGTACAGTCTTGGAGTACCGAATACCCGTGCCCGTTTACGAGATATTAGGATCTGCGACTTCACCGCCAAAGAAGAATAATGGCTTGGCCGGGGAGAAGTTAGAATTTCAGCACTTGGGGAGGGGAGTCAGGGACGCCCAGGGTATCTTAGGTACTCAGTATGTATCGGTACCTCGTGCGGATGCTGTAGTTAGTACTTTTAGGAGGCCCACCTCAACGAGAGATGTCCATGCCATACGGATACGCGGCGGACGAGCAGTAGTACTCCTAGGCTCTAACTAGCACGAATCACTCCTACTTCGTACGTGACTCAGTCAATGCAGTGGGAAATTTGCATCTGATTACCTGATACGATTGGGCAAGTGCAACCAGCTCCATCGGTTCTTGCCAGCTCCGGATGGCGCGACACTTTGGAATTACTTGGGTCGGCACACCATTCCGACGCCAAAACCCTCGTTCATGTACGAGTACGGATACAACTCAGTATTCTTTAGCCTTGTTGGGTTGTCTTGGTGTCCACCAGCTCACGGGCTCTTATAAATCATAATGTAACGGGCTCAGATGATGAGATTGAGCGACTATATTATGATCAGGTCATGCATGGTGCTACACGGATACAACAACATCTTGAATGTCTTGGAAGTTGATATCCGGGCTACGAGGACAAGAGAGACAAACCCACTGGCTTGCGACCTGCTTCAAGTACTTGGTATCTTGATTCTTCTCGTCTCGCACTATTCAATGTTACATGTGCAAAGCCACCATCTTTCCCATCTCTTGCCTTTCCTTCACATCACCATGCATTGGCGTGCCACAACATGAGAAAAGTCCATTATTGAACTGCATCAAGTAGGTACATATCATACCGCGCCATAGTAATGCAATCGCCTATGCTAGAAACTTTTCTTGTCAAAAAACTCCCGACGCCCATGGTCATACTCTGTCTGTCTCTCCCCTTTCCCTCTTCTAAGGAATATCGAAAAGTGGTTTCAGCTTCTTCACCAATGCCCACTCCTCCTTCGACATCTCCTCTCGGTAGAAATCTTTGAGTGTGTCAATCGATTGTCGTGAAATCAGTGAGTAGAGTGTATCCTTGTCTTCGAGCTGTCGACCATACATTGGCTGATTGGGTCCCTCGATCTTGACCGCCACTGAAGGCTGGCCTTTCTTGCAAATCGGAATCGCCTTGTGCTCACGTTCGATCGATGTCCTGGTGTTCAGCGTTAGCAATGCGTCCTTTTGGTCAATTTACAGTTTCACTTACACTCTACCCAAGCTGATGATTTCCTTGACTCCCGTAACAGCATTCGCCTTGACCACCGCAATCGGAGTAAGCGGACGAAGATTGCCTTCGATCACGTCCACTCCAATCACAATCGGATCCTTCTTGTTGAACACTTGCAATGGCGACAGTACGCATGGGAACACGGCAGACAGCTTGCTCTCTTCCTTCTTCTGTTCTTGGATTGCCGCTCGGTGTTTGGTGAAATCGTCAAACAGGTGATAGATGATGTCTGCCGTGAAAATCTTGATGCCGTTGTCGTCTGCATACTGTTGTGCCTCTTTGTCCACCTTGACATCAAAACAGAGCATGACTGCATATTCCTTGGCCTTTTCCAACATGGTACCCGCCATCATCACATCTCTCTTGAAAACGGGCCCAATGGAAATGTTGGCCACGGGAATCTTAGACTGCTTCAAGAATTCCAGAAGTGCTTCCAGAGAACCGAGAGTTGAAGCTTGCACGCTGACACCTCGGTTATCTTTGGAAACCTTGCTCAGCAATTGTTGCAGGTCACCCATGACTTCATCTTCAAGGTCTTCTTCATCGTCCTCGGGTCCAACCACCAGCAGTCGAGAGCCGGCAATAGCACCTTCAAGATCGTTGGCAGCAATCTTAACACCAAGAGCAGCTTTGGCTTCTTTGTTATGCACGTACTGTGACTTGAGACGTAGTTCCTTGAGTGGTGCTGGCGTAAGGAGTGCTCGAATATTCGTCGCAATTGGACCGTTGAGGCCACAGAGAACAATACGATCACCTTCCCGGAGCACACCGTTGGAAATGATGACATCAATCGTGGTACCCAAGCCCTCAATGACTTTGACCTCGAGCACGGTACACTCAACTTCTGACAAGTACATAAGACTGGATGTCATGCGTTCTTGGGTCAAGGACACCAAAAGCTTCAACATATCTGGGATACCTTCACCAGTGTGTGCTGACGTTGGTACCATCGAGACGAATCTCCTCATATCTCTGTTCTCATAGTAGAGTTCGGCGTTGAACGATTGCTCAGCGAAAGCCAGCTTGGTCTTTTCCAGTCGATCACGGAATTCGTTCTGCACACCTTTGTTCTGCATCGCCAAACTCTCTTGGAAACCATTGTTGTCAATCTTCTTCCACCCGTATAAACGATCGATCTTGTTGAGGGCGACGATAAACGGTGTCTTGCGGTCTCGCAAGAGTTTCATCGACTCCAACGTCTGGGGCTCCAGGCCGTGCATAATATCCACCACGAGAATGGCAATATTGCAGAGCGACGAACCACGAGATCGGAGATTCGAGAAAGACTCGTGACCAGGTGTATCAATAACAAGAAGACCGGGAACCTTGAATTCGAACTTGCCATCCTGGTTCACCACGGCAGTCTTCTGTTGCAGGGCATCCAGAGGGAAATATGTAGCACCAATCTGTTGAGTGATGCCACCTGCCTCACCTTCTTGAACATTGGTCTGTCTGATCTTGTCGAGAAGCTTGGTCTTGCCAGTATCGACGTGACCGAGAATACAACAAATGGGTGATCGTAGATTGTCTTTCGACCGAGCGGCAAGTGCTTCTTCGTGGGCTTTTTGTCTCCGGGCAGCGGCTTCTGCCTTCTTCTTTGCAAGTGCTCGTTGAGTAACAGTTCCTTCTTCATCCTCGGAAGAGGATTCGTCTGAATCGCTGTCTGAATCTGCTGCCTTGTCTTTTGAACCTCTGATGGCGAGATCTATGCCTGGTGCAGAGCCATTGGTCTTCGCCGCTGCCACTTTCTTTGCTTCTTCGTCCGAATCCGCATCCCAGCTGTCCTTGACGTCTTCTTCGGCAGCCTTTTCCCAGTCGTCGACTCCAGAAGAGTCCTCCGCTTTCTCCGCCTCGGCGGCAGCTGCTGCCGCTGCGGCTTCCTTAGCGAGTCGTTGACGTTCCTCTGCAGCAGCTTCTGCTTCAAGTCTTGCTTTCTCTGCGGCAGCTTCGAGGTCGACTTCTCCTTTCTTCGGCCCTTTGCGCTTTCTGACATCTTTGCTGGCCGGCTTTTTCTTCTCCTCTTCGCCATCTTCTTCGAGGCCAGCAACCTTGACACCAGATTCGAGTAATTGCTTCTTACGAACTTCTGCTTGTTGCTTCTTTTTCAAGTCGGCCGCTGAAAGTAGCTTGCCCTCCTTTCGGAGCTGTTCTTTCTTTTCCTTCTCCTTTTCCTTCTTTCGCTGTCGAGCCTCAGCCTTCTTACTCTCCTCCTCTGCTTCTTTCCGAAGTCTCTCGTCTTCCGCAGCTTTTTCTTCCGCGGCGAGTTTCTCGTCTTGCTCTCGTTGTCGGGCTAAAGCCTCTTGCTGTTTCTGAATTGCAGCAAGGTGTGCAGGGACTTTCCTCTTCTTGCCATCTTTGTCGCCCTTTTCTGTGGCGGCAGGAGCTGTGACTTTTTCTTCCACAATAGGCTTGGCAGGCTCAACTTTCGCCGCTGGTGCAGGTGTTGGAACAGTAGGTTTCTTCTTGGCCGCCTGAGGACTTGTTAGATAGTGAACAGAAGGTAGGACGATACAAACAACATACCTGTTCCTTCTTCCTCTGCTTCTCACGCTCTTTCTTCTCCTTTTCTTTCTCCTTCTTCGACTTCAGACCACCCCCGGCATCGTCATCATCATCTTTGGCAGCCGCTGACTTGTCTGGTTGCTTTTTCCCACCCTTGTCCTTTTTGTTTCCGCCAGCGAAAACATCCTCGTCGTCGTCGAACGTTGCTTCCGTGGGTGCCTTGGCGTCAAGGTCTGCGGGAACGGGGGTTGATGCACCGTCAGCATCCTCACCATCAACGAAGTCGTTCTGGACAGGTTTGCCTCGCTTTGCGCGCTTGTCTTTGTTCTTCCGCAGGGCCGCCAGAAGACCTCCAGAAGAGCCGTTCATCTCTCCATCTTCGGCATCTTTGTCATTTTCTGCCTGCTTTGCATCTTCGGTGGCCTGGGCAATTGGGTCGACGGTCTCGCCCAGATCGTTTTCCCAGTCGTCGGCCTGCTTCTTACCACCTTTCTTCTTGGGAGGCATTGTGGTGTTGTTTCGGGTTGTGGTGAGTTGAGAGTAAGAAGGAGGGGTGTTCGCGGTTCAGAGGTGGCGGCATAAAGTCGTGTGCAATAATCAGGTGGATAAGTAGGTAGGCAATGGGAACTCTAGCGTTGTAATTGGTGATTGGTCGATGGTAGTCCACTGAATATTATCAGCGTCTTCCAAGTTTGCCACGGTTGGCCAAATGATCTTTTTTTCGATTGTCGGATTTAAGGAAACTTGAATGTGGTGGATGATGGTGCGCACAGGCAGACCAACACGATGCGGGGATTGGAGGGGCTGCCTGCCTTCCCGTCACTGCCAGTGGCTTTATCATTTCTTGGCAGACCATGTTCAATGGCATTCAAGTTGTCCTCTTTCTTTGTCCTCCTCGGTGACCATTAGAGACTTTTGAATCATATATTGTTGTGGCGGAGACAAATCATGTTCTTGTCACAGAATGTGCCTAGCGTTTTATACCTGACAACCAATCTGTTACCAGCCAAGGAGAGCCAGGTAGGTAGAATCCTGGCTCGCCGGTCACTGGCAGCACGGATAGGGAGGTCCAGCATAGAGTTTCCCTGGAGCGATGTGTGACGTTACAGAGTGAACTGCCTCTTGAGTGCTGTTTATATTGTGGTGGGCGCTGTAGACAATACTCTACGTTACTCATGATATCTTCAGGTCGCCCCCCTCTCTATCTCTAAAAGATCGTGACCCCAAACGCGCCACCAGCAGCCACCGTGCGCCCCTTCCCATCGGGTATTTCCAGCTCATCCAAGGCCTTGACATCCTCAGCCGGCAACTCCTTGACCGCCAAATTCGTCTTGATCCTGGCCTCGGTCGCGCTCTTCCCAAGCGGGACCGTACCTCTCTGCACGGCCCAGCTCTGTAGACACTGGCCGACATCCATGCCATTCTTCTCGGCGATCCGCTTGACGGTGTCGTCCTGGAGTAATGTCGCGCCATCGGACTTTTGTCCTGCAAAGGGTGAATAGCACGTCGTCAGGATTCCGTGCTCCTTGCCGAACTGGATGAGTTCGTTGTTCGGTAACCATGGGTGTGCTTCGACTTGGTTGCATGAGATGGGGACGTCTTTTGCGTAAGGCAGGATGGCTTTAATGTCTTCGATCGAGAAATTCGATACCCCGACTGCACGCGTTTTGCCAGTCGAGACGAGTTTCTGCATTGCTTGCCAGGTGGGCACGAAGCTGCCTTCATGGCCTATTTGGAAACTGTTAGTGATCGGGACGTCACAGGTAGTAATTGGATGCTTTCAACTTACCATTTCGACGTGCGAAGTCAGCCGAGCTATGCTCCCAATCGACCACAACATTCTCAGTCCCAGGTTGCACCATGATAGCCTTATCGGCATTCGACGTGCCCGGCCCTGTGACAGCCTTTTCTAGGGCTTCTCTAGATGTTGGCTTGAGCGCGACCGGCCAGTGCACCAGCAAGAGGTCGATGTAGTCCAAACCCATGTTCTTGAGGATCTTATCAAGACATAGTTTCACATTCTCAGGGGCGCCAAAGTGCGGCCAGAACTTGCTGGTGATGAACAGTTCGGACCTGGGGATGCCTGATTCTTGTATCGCGGCCCCGACTTCTTCGTCGACCTTTGAGCCTCCGTTAGTAGTGCACCAAGATCCCGTTGAGGTTTGGATGACGGGGATAAACATACACCGTACATCCATGCACAATCAAGGTGTCCTTGGTTCATCCATTAGCACTTTCGCGACCAGTAGCATTTGCAGAGATTTGTACTGTATCCTGCTTGCAAAGCTTTCAAAGTAGCGTCTTTGCACCAGCCGGTCCCTCCTGTCTTCAGTGTTAGGTAGATCGACTCAAATCTTCGCATCGTAAGTTAACCTACCTGCTGCCCATGTACCATATCCTACGGATGGGATCTGGATGGTCTTGCCATCTTTAATGTGGATAGGAAAAGATGCTGGAAGTGACATTGTGACAGTTTGACCAGACTTTGCGAAGAGGTTGGAAGTAATCTCAAGGAGATATGAACCTCAGTTTTCTGACGATCCCTTCCACAAGTGTGTACGATCGCATCAGACGCCTTTCGATAATTATTAATGATGCACTGTGGAGAAGTCCATGCCGACGGGATACATTGGTGGACTTATTCCGGTCTAAGCACGAAACCCAATGGTTATTGGACAACAGATAGAGAAATGGCTTGTGTTCTTTCGCACCTGTAACTCAAGGTATCATTGCTCAGGTAATCCACTCTCAATATGTACACAGGATGTCCACGCATGGGAGATCTCCCTGGTTGGAAATAATGACCACGTTATCAAGACACAACTCTACATAGCCATGTCCGACATTTCTTGACAGACTTCTTCCATTGGATTCTGCACCCACTTTAAGATTGAAGAAATCGTCTAATCCAAACCACCACGGCTTCAACAGGATATTCTGTCTCCCCAATGACTGCTACAGCCAGTTTACCAAATATCTCACGCTGTTGTGTTGTGCGGAACAGGTTTCGTAGATTGTACGGGCCAGGCTCAATCATCAGGCGCAAGCGATCACCATGAACGTGCATGTCGGATAATTTCGTGGCCGGAAAATGAAAGAGAGCGTCTTTACCATCAATAGTCCGCTTGGATATTGGCACAGCTTTGATTGTGTCGCGCTCAAAGTGGCTCAGCTCTTCTAGGAAACGAAGGAGCCTCCACTCATTGGGTGCGAGTGTTTCGAAGTGATATACAGTGCCATCTGTAGTGCTTCCGTAAAAGTGATGACGAGCCCCTCCTGTCACATCCGTGCCCTTTCGGAATCGGATGCGATCAATTTTGAGGGGCAGTATTGCTCGGAACATTGGTACAGGGTCGTCCGATTCCTGATCAAAACCTGAGAATGCCATGAGATGTGTTCCTGCAGTATCGAAGGCTGAGAACATTGCACAGTTGCCTCCAAATGAAACAACGTTGTTGAGATTCCTCGCCATACTATCCGATTTATGCTCGAACAATGCATCGTTTCGTTCCATGAGCACAATAAGGGAGTGATGAGATGTTGCGACAAAAATCATGGCGCCTTGGCACGAAATCGAGGTCGCTGCTGATGGTAGGGTGTACGTTGCCAACGTTTTCCATTTCTTCACAGTGAGGTCGAGGTTATGCAGAATAAGTTCGTTCCCTGCGGCGATCAGGAGCGATGACCTTCCATAAGCACAAAGGGCTCGAATGGCGCCTTTAACGCTTCGGTACAAAACTCGCTGTTGTGGAGAATGGTGGCCTTTCTTAATGTTTTTCGCGTTGATCGCAATGACACGACCAATGTTTGTTTCAACATTGCTCACATGTTGTTCCAGGCCCATGACAATCCACAAGCCATTTCCTTTGCCCGTGATATCTTGCTCGATTGCCCACTCCATTAGGGCAGTCACTCGAAGATTGCAGTCCTCAACAATCGGGACTGATACTGAAGACATTTCGTCTCCTCTCCATTCGGGATCAACAATCGAAAGGCTGATTTGGATTCTTTCTTCAGAACCAACTGGTTTGGGCATATCGACGTATGGAATGCCCTTATCATCCTGCTCGTGAGATTCCGTGGCATGGCCGAAATCCCCAGCATATGCAGTGGATCCACGCAATCTCTTCTCAGTCGCGACCACAAGCTTCTTCAGGTGGTTCGAGTAGAGTAGTCGTCGAGGGACGGCCGGGAGTGGAAGCTGAGTAATAATGGTTTGTTCTTGGGCCACCAGAGACGCAAACAATAGCTCGTCTCTCGTTGAGCACACAATGAGACCACCAGGTTCTCCAAATGGGGGCGGTAACTTTGCAATGCGATGAATTGCGTTGACTTCAGGCAGAGGTAGGCCCGGCTATGGATCATTAGCAACAGGATAAGTACTGGAACAGTTGATACCCACCTCCGACAAATTTGCAAGATACAAGGTTGTTAGTGCGTAATCAATCGCTGCATCATTCGGATAAAGTGTAATACGATGAAGACGAGAGTCGCACAGCACAAGAACTGAGGGAATACCAGTAGTGCCGGCTCCCACCACCTCTTTAGAGAATTGTACAGTTGTCTGTCCCAGGCGGTGAAAATTATCGGATCGAATATCTAGCAATAAGTTAGAGGGTATCATGCACCATATCCACGGACACATACTGATTCTATCATTGAGGTCAGCACTCAGCTCCAAGCACATCATAACACCATTCCTCAGGCCACACAACAGGAGCACTGGCGTAGAATCATGATGATCAAGGGCTACCAGAGACGCAACTGGTGCAATTTCCACATGTACACAAATTTCACTCACTTCTGTTTCGAAAGCAAGTTTCAAAGTGAGATTTTCGAGGACTAGATAGCCCAACAGCTTGCCAGTGGTCGTTCCCACGACGACTAACCGTCTATCGCCGATATTCATGCAGCATAGAGCAATGATCTCGTGCTGTACGACGATAGGACTTGGAGCGGGAGTATAGTTCACCCCGTGTCGATTTGAGGTATCAATTGATATTAAACCAATTTGATACCCGTTTATGGCTTTCCCGACCAGGGCAACCACATTGTCTCCCTCAAATATATCTGCCTGTAGACAATTGAGCTTTTTTTGCAGGCAACTTTCAATACTTGAATCATCTCCCTCAGCAATGACATTGATGTCATCTTTAGTCAATTGTAGAATATGGCCATTTCCAATATCTGCAATGACCAAAGTAGGGCTTTCGAAATTGAAACCCGGAAGACTTTCGGGATCCATGGATTCAAGCTCTTGCGTCTCAAGATTAAACGAGACCGCGTTCGTACTGACTGAATGTGAAGTGGCAAGCAAGAGACGCTTTTGCCAGGGGATGTGGAGTGACCAAATACGGCTGATATCGAAAGGGTCCGGATAGGGCATCGTCCAGCCTAGTTGTGCCTCGAGGCCATTGCGAAGCTCGGTAACATGGGAGTGATCTTTGGTCCTCCCTCCGCAAAGATAAATCCGATCCAAACGCTCGAGTTGTGAACCTGTAGAGGATGTGGCATCTCCGCGAGAACCAATTATCATGTCATGTACGGGTGCAACATTGACAATGTTCTGCTGCTTTGTTGGCCCAGTTCGAGCAAGAACCTGAAATACACCACCCTCTGTCATGTCACCACCAGCAACGACAATATCACCGCCTTTACTGGGCGGACCAGCAAGCATACAAAAGGCCGTGTCGACATGGATATCTAGGGTGCCTATTGTCCAATTCATGGTAAATTTCGTACTTGAGGCCTTGTCGATTTGAAAACACTGGAGTAATCCATCCTCTCGCACAATGACAAGGTCATCACTCTTCTGCAAGTATTGCTCGTGCCGTCGGGGTTTGGCCCAGTGCACCCAAGTGAGCGGACCTGCAGCTTTGCCCATGAATGTGCAATGAATACGCTTGAACTCGGAGGAATGAACGTTCTGATAGTAGCTGATCCCTGTTTGTACGACCACAAAGCAAGAGTATGGGTGCGTGGATGGTATCAGCATCAGGGGGAATTGGTCGTCTTTTGCTGGCCGACCACTGCAACCCATTGGCTTCATAGAACGAAGTGGTGCTTCTGTATCCCACTCGTACAACAGGAGATGAGTTTCCACGCCAGAAGCCACCATCAAGAGGAGAAATACCTTGGTGGGGTCAGAGTCGGAACTTCGAAGAAAGGCCATTTTTAAAATGTTGCCATCAATCTGAATGAATCGTTGCTACACTCGTTAGTCAATGAGGGTCTTGATCAGGATGCCACTTACCTCCGTCCATGGCAAGAATGTGTCGTGCTTTTGTGGATCCCAGTCATCTATCTGGCGCTTGATGTTGGCGACTGTGTGGAGTTTGAAAATGGCGATATATCCGGAAGAAGACGCGATTGCCAGAGCGCGGGAACAAGTCGAATTACTATCTGAATCGACCGCCATGTGTCGACACTGCCTCAAAGGCAGATTGACCCCACGAAGTAAGGATCTCTTTGCAAAAATAAATCTTGCATCACCAGACGAGTTCTCTCTAGCATAGATGTAGATCAACTCGTTGCTGGAAGTGCTGAGAACAAGAAGCTGGGGAGGATGGGAGTCGTCGATCGGGTGCCCATGGAGGCTGTACTGCTCCTGATCTCGTTCTTGCTTTATGATTTCGTCCATGATTTCGACAATCTGCAGCTTTGCCGAAACAACCTGTGCCGCAAGGATTTGTGTTCCAAAGTCGAGTTTCGCAGTTGCATCCGCTAGTTGGCCATTGGGAAGGAATTCACGAAGCTGCACAAAAGTCTCCCCTACGAAGACAATGTCGTTTTTGTTTGCGGATCTGACCCTGGCTGGCAGTATCCATCTCACGGTTGAGCTTGTGCTGAATGTCCTTGAAAGAATTCCGGTGTACTGATGTGACAGTGCTGAGGTTGTCTCCAAGGAGGATGTGCTTGAGCTGCCAGAGCCCATGCCTATGTCGGGCATAGCCGGTGCTTGCTGGCAGGTAATATGACAGTCAAGAAGACAAAAGAGTCACAGGAAAGAAGGATTTGAGGTCAGCTACCATGAGAAGAGCGGTAGATGTGAGGTGAGGCGAAGAACAGCAGAAATAGTTGTGATATTGCAGAGATTCGTTCAAGCCGCGCCCGTCACGGCAGGCCGCACCATGTCGTAGTAGTGATTTAGAGCGAAAGGACTCTTTCACTGATCACATTCTTTAAAGGTGAAGTGAGTAGGCTCGAAAGCGGCCAAATGGCTCAGAACAGCAGGTTGCAGCTCAAGCACGAGGGGCAAGGCCATACGCGCGCGATGAGAACCCAATCGCACCTCCCAAAGCTCCAGCACCCCGGCCATCAACCGAATGCATCCATGGACCAGGGTTAGACTTGCAAGTGAGATGATGTGCCTGATATCAAGACACAAGGAAACAAGGTAGACAGTGATTATCAATGGCAGCAGGATTGGAAATGAGCTATTGTACAGGAATGGAAACATTCTCTGTCCCTGGCGCCCATCTGGGCCCCCAGGCTTGGTGGCACGGAAACCATGTCCGACTGGGATCGTCCTTCAAAAGAACACTTACGCATTTCCCACTGGTTCATTGTCGCGACCGAGAACGAAGCATACTGGGTACATCGTAATGCCAGACTTTGGTGTAATTACAACACATCTTTCCAAGATTTCGGTGACTGGAGGCACTAGCTGATCGACCCAAGGACAGGTGGTGCTTTGAAGCCAACAGATTGGCAGGAGACGCCATTCATTCTGGTCTTGTGTTACGACCTGTCACCTTTATCCAAACCAACCCCAACCGGTCCTATTGACACCTGTTTGTGTGACCATCCTCGTTCTTTGTCGTCCGATTGGCATTCCGACTTAAAGAGCGGGTAAGCGTTTGCCATAACCGACCTTGTTTCTCTGGAACTGCCAGTCTTTCAAAGCCAATGAGAAAATTCAGCCCGCCCTAAGACACGAGGGATCGTGGCGCTCGTATGGGTGAGCATCTTGACGAAAAATCCATGCACGACTCTTCCGAGTCAAGTGTCATGCAAGTGTCAAGTAATGGCACACAGCAGAAGGTCAAAGCCATCGAGGACGCTTGTGAACGGCTTGACTTCGAAGCTCTCGTCGAGCTAGCTACTTCAACCGGTGGTCTTCTGACCGATGAGCTGCGTCGCAGAGCTTGTAAGTATCTAGTCTGCTTGCCTGTGAAACACCGTTGACTCTTGGAAGGGCCGATACTATTGGGTTGCGTGAACCTAGGCGAGAATGACCTGCAGGGAGCATCACGCAAGGCTTGGGAAACTCTACCCCGGCATCCCGATGAGGATCAAGTCCAGCTTGACGTTGACCGAGCATTTGTCTACTATCCAAGAGGTTTGAAATATCTCTTGCTGGTTTTACCGCTAGCTAAATGCATCCAGATCAGTCTGAGCAAGCCCTTCAGGAAAAGAAGGAACAATTGTCCGACTTGATTGTCTCGACCCTGAGGAAGCATCCCTTACTTTCTTACTTTCAAAGTTATCACGATGTGGTACAAGTCCTTCTACTTGTTCTTGGGCAGAACCGCGCAGCCCACGCCGTTCCACGAATGTCTCTTTTCCGCCTCCGTGACTACATGTTACCAACAATAGTCCCTGCAAGAAAACATTTTGAGCTTGTTTCGGCAGTCGTGAGTATTGCTGATCCGGAATTGGCAAATCACATCGCAGAGGCAGAGAATAGTTTCGCTCTCTCAGCGACTCATTCCTTGTTTGCGCATGACATACAAGACTACCGAGAGATTGCACGGTTGTACGATTTTCTCCTTGCACATGAACCCGTCATGAGCATTTACTTGTTTGCCACAATCACCATATCCCGGCGCGCAGAATTACTCGAATTGGAACCCGATGAATCCGACATCCTTACCTACATGATCGCCAAATTACCACAAAACCTCGATATCGACACTCTTGCCACGAATACGGTGAGACTGTTTGAAAGCCATCCACCAGAGAGCCTACGTGGGTTTCTCTGGTGGCGTCTATCATCGTACAGTGTTCTCAAAACGTCTCGAGACATCAAAGCCTCACAGCCTCTTGAAAAGGCCGAGGCTTTGGGTCGGAAGCAGATCCAGCAGTTGCGGTCAGAAGAATTGATGAAGAGGCGGTTCTTATTGTTGTGCAAGTACCGAAGACCACTGACGTCGTTGACCGCCGCACTAGTGGTTGCTGCTCTTTCCCTGTATCTTCGCAGAACAGGGCAGGATCTGTCTCTTCGATCACTCTTTGCATGGGCGACGCGATTGCTATTGAGAAGAGAATAGCGCCATCGTACCATCCCCCGCCCCGCCCCATGGTTCGGGTTCGTTGCACATTTGAGTTGATTTCTCTCGGACTGCAGTGGGCCTAGACTATACACGACATACAAATTAAAACCACTGGGAAGCAGAAACCAAAGATATATGCGTATGAGTAGTCACATCATAGAAGCATGACAATACCCTTGTAATGGACTCGTCGATATCTGGTAATACTGGCGTGTCGTGCGCCAAAATTGGCGTACACCTCCGTTGAAATGACCGTTATAACTGGTATCTGTCATACAAACTTTATTGCAGACGCGACAGTCAGGCATACGTGTTTGGAGAACCTCCCAACATCTAACTGCTGCAATCGCTCCCCTTTGCGCCCCCCTTCATCCGTCTAGTATCTCAGAGATCTTGTAAGCATGGCCAACAGAGGATATGACGTTGTCGTCGATGTCGACACAGAAGTGAGTCCACTATCCATGACCAACCACGAGGAGAGACTGATACGGAATGATTGCAGGGCGACCTGGGTCACACTGATCTTCAAGACGACGACCTAGAATTCCATTCTTCGAGTGAGTTCAAAGCCTCGTGTAATGCCTGGAGCTGCCTGGAGCCCATCTAACATGACGATCAGACTTCGACACGCGGCCTTCCAACCGCAAGATTCCGGCAGACTCAACACCATTTCTGTCCAACAGCAGCACAAATCCCGCCAACCTACCGAATGACCCCTCAGCCGTCCCCTCGAAGCGCATGCTATGGTCCATATCCTTCTATGCGCAATTCTTCGATGTCGACACTTCCACCGTGCTGAACCGATGCCGCACTGCACTGATACCCTTCCTCCCGAATACACCCCCGTTTCTCGATACCTTGGACGGAAATCCTGACTTGTACGGCCCCTTTTGGATCGCAACCACCGTCGTGGTGATTCTATTCCTCACTGGAACCATCAGTCACAAGCTGGCCTCGGAGGGAAAGAAACACTTTGAGTACGACTTCGGCCTTTTATCTGGTGCGGCAGGCTTGATCTACGGATACACGCTGTTCGTCCCACTAGGACTGTGGGGAGCGTTGCGTTGGTTTGGCGCGCAGTCTTTGGAACTGGTCGAATGCTGGGCGCTCTATGGGTATAGCAACCTGTTCTGGATTGCAGTCGCCCTGGTTTCATGGTCACCCTTGAACGGTCTGAATTATGCTTTGGTCGGGTTAGGCTACGCCGTCAGCGTATTCTTCCTGGTCAAAAATCTGTTCCCCGTGATAAGCGCAACCGAGAAGAAAATCAGCCAGGTCCTTCTTGTGGCCGTCGTCTTGTTGCACGCTGGATTGGCGATCGCTATCAAGATCTTGTTCTTCAGTCACAAGAGCCCAGCCAAGAGTGATTAAATTTCTTTCACCAATACTATATCAGGGGATTATGGAATGAATGGTGTGCGCAATGTAGCCATAGGCGCACGGATCACATGTACTGTATTATCAAATATTGGCAATGACAGGAGACGATTCAGGAGGTCAATCTTAGGAGCTCAAGACAGAGCAGGGAGATCATTTCTACGGCATCGATAGCCAGTTTCATTCGCAGGGAATATTGGGACTTGCGAAGACTGTAGGTAATTAGGGAGAGACCTTGGACGTCGTCTACGCAACAGTCACAAACAACGGACAAGGTATTCATGCAGGTGATTGACTTGATTTAATGTAGCAGTTCATGTTCCCATTCTCCATTGACTTGGGTCAATCGTCACTTTTTTTTGAGAATCCTCAACTCGCACGTCATCGTCATGCCATGCATCTGAAAAAACTCGAGCCATCACCTTATCGTGAAAGGAGAAATAACTCCGCATACATTTTCCACAGCCAGTGTCTCTGCAATCCACACTCCATATCGTTCCCCCCAAACGAAAAAATATTCTCTGAATGGCGCGCAACCATCACTTTATCTTCTTCTTGGGTCGGAGCTGGTTGGTGTGGCCGCACTTCTTCTTCCGGCAGTTGGTGGCACGGGGTGGGAGACGGGCGTAGCACTTTCGGCAGATCATCTTTTCGCAGTTGTACTTGGAGGCCAGGGCCTTGAGCGAGGGTTCGATGATACCGCCACGGAGACGGAGGACCAGGTGCAGAGTTGATTCCTAAAGATAGAAAAAATGTCCTGTTAGATCTTGCATGACTTCAAAGGTGCTTCCTGATATGTTCCAATCTGCCTCGTATTGTTCCTTTTTCCTCCTTGTCGATTCCTCCCCCGGGGATTTTGGAGTCTTGAGCGTACCTTTTGGATGTTGTAGTCGCTGAGAGTGCGGCCGTCCTCAAGCTGCTTGCCGGCGAAGATCAATCGTTGCTGGTCCGGAGGAATGCCTTCCTTGTCTTGGATCTTGGACTTGACATTGTCGATGGTGTCGGATGACTCCACCTCAAGGGTGATAGTCTTGCCCGTGAGGGTCTTCACGAAGCTAGATAGTAAAAGATATTCCGTCAGTCTTCTGTCCTCAATTCTGCTTCATCCTCTCTGTGTGGCAATATTTCGAAACATTCATCGTTGCGCGGAAGGTGGCCGGAATCGATTTTGGGTGGGAGGAAAACTCACATCTGCACTGCAAAGAGAGATAAGTCAGTATATTCAGCGCTTCAATAGAGTCCGGGGGTTTTTCTACTCACTATTGACAGTATCTTCGAGGCTCTGTGGTTGTTCAAATCAATCAAAGCGGTGGGGTGGGAAGAACAGTCCCAGCGAAGACATTTGTGTGATAGCGAAAGAACGCCAAGATGTGGCGAAACCTGGCGGCACGTGATGAGGCTTTGCCACAGCCTTGCATTTCTACGTTGATGGTGGTGATGACACTATCTCTTCTAAGCCTTCTTTCGAGATAGTAATACCTATGTTCACAATTTGCCTCATAGTGAAGGCAATATAACTAGAAGTCTAGGATCTTCTCGAAAGCTCCTTGGATCAAATTGAGCTGCGAGACTGTAGAATAGGACCAGGCATTGGCTCAGCATCTCAAACAAGCCTGACAGGACATAATGGCTCCTTGATGCCAGAGTTATGCCCCAGGTAGGATGTGGCTCAGTACTCGATTGATGTTCAAGTGACGACCAACAATTGGACGCCCCATACAGTGAGAGCTGAGATGTTACTTGAATGGTACAGTGTTGTGATGAATACGCTCATCCCACGCACAGGATGAAACAGCCCGCCTGATCGAGTGCTTACACCAATCGGCGCCCAAGACTAAAACAGAAGGTCGCTTCACCAGGGTATGATCATCCACAATAAATCATACGCAAACACAACGCCCTCCAATAGCTTATCTCCCTGCCAGTCCTATCCAATATCATCTCGTTCTTTCTTCATTACCAATACGCTGAGAAACAGACGACACAAATTCACCGTGATTCATCAAGGCGGGCAACAATGTGGATGCTATACATGTTCATTGCCTTGTTCTGCTACTATGGCATCGGACTATGGTTCTATCTGACGACGTCTGAGATCCCGGATGTACGAGTAACAGCATAAGATCGCTTACAGCCACTTTCGCGACGCCTTTCAATCACCATCACTCGACACAACGTCCAAAACGCCAGCAAAGCCCAAGCACCTCAACATGTCTCGAGCTCACAAGACACATCCAGAACTTGTCCTAGGAACCGCCAACTTCGGCTCAGCTAGCGACCCGATAACCAAGACGACGACACCAGAGCGTGCAGCAGAACTTCTGACCATACTGTACTCCTCCGGCTCTGACACAATCGACACAGCCCAACGCTACCCACCGTTCGCACAGGGGACCAGTGAGAAACTCCTCGGCGAGACATTCGCCCTCCTCCACAAAACCACCTCGACAACCACCAGTACTACAACTCCACACCATGCCGTCCCGAGCAAATCAACCATCAAACTCGACACGAAAGTCCTCTCCAACCCCGGCGACCACACCATACCACGCATAAACGCCAGCATCGCGTCGTCGCTCGCCTCGCTCGCCCCGGCCAAGATCCATACCATCTACGCGCACGCCCCGGACCCGGACACACCACTGAGTTCACCGGCATCAGCGTTCCACGACGCCGTTATCGCCGGACACGCCGCGCAGTGGGGGATCAGCAACTACAGTCTGGAACAAGTGCGCGAGCTGTTGCAGATCTGCGACGCGCACGGCTGGGTTCGCCCGGCCGTCTACCAGGGCCGGTATAACGCGGTGGCGCGCGGCGCCGAAGCCGAGCTGATCCCGTATCTGCACGGCCAGGGCATTGCGTTCTACGCGTTTGCGCCCGGTGCGTCCGGTACCTTTGGTGCCGCGTCGCGGCTGGAGCTGCAGAATGCGGTGGGCGAGGCCATGCGAGGCGCGTACGGTGCGGATCAAGTGAGGGTCGCGGTTGAGAGGGTGAGGAGCGTGGTGGCGGAAAAGGGCCTGGGAAGTGCGCATGAGGTCGTGGTCAGGTGGGTTGTTTGGCACAGTGCCTTGGATAGGAAGTTTGGGGACAAGGTCATTTTTGGAACGGGTGGGCCGGATCAGTTGAGAGCGATGTTGGAGGCAGTGGAGAGGGGACCTTTGGAGCCGGATGTCGTCGAGGTCGTGGAGCAGGTTTGGCCTGAAGTGTCGAGGAAAGATTAAAGGAGACCTGAAGGGTCAATCGGCGAGTGATGACAAGAGTGGGACTGATGATATGGGTGTTTCTTTACCGATGAGCAGTCATGGAGGCTGAAGATCTTTAATGTCTACTTGTCAAAGCGCACATTTAAGGCTCGTGTCAATCAACAAGATTCAATTATTCTATATACCAATTTAAGTATAACAAGGTGTTCCCTCACGTAGAACGGACCACCCCCAAGGTCCAGTCAGTAAACCCAGCGACTGTTTAATCCACGGGTTCTTCCTCAAGCAACAGCTGGAAACTAAACGGCTCGAAAGGCACACCTTCGCCAATGAAATGTTTACTCATGGCCTCGACCCAGTGAAGACGTAGCGAATGCAACATGGCACTGGTACCTTCCATGACACAAAGAACGGCGATGGTGAGGACGAACCAGAAGAAGAACGTCACAACAAGCATGACTACTTGCGTCGCACCAGTTGAGCCGAATGCATTTCCGAGCGTCATGGACCAGAGCACGACGGAAAGCTGTTGATGTGCCAGAGACAGCGCCCACAGTCGGAGATATGATGCCGTGTGTGAGACACAGTTAAGGCAGAATTCAATGGTGTCTGGTTGCAGCTATTAGTATTGCAGTTCGAAGAACATTACCAAGAAAGGGAGATAACTTACGAATGGTTTGGTGAATCATGACTTCAGAGAACTCAAACTCCTCGTGTTCCTCGTCGATGTTCTCAGTAATCATAGCACCTTCATCGTCATCCTGGCTTGTTCGACCGTTCATATGGTGCTCATCGTTCTCGTCGTCATCATCAAGGGCATGGGTGACTCGGCTCGTATCTCCTATACCACGATGACCTTGGGCAGTAGTCTTGCTATGTTGCCATCTTAGATACAAAGGCTTCAACAGCAGCAAGATTGGCACATTGATGATGGCAATCAGGACCAGGAAAACTTGTACACCAGCCTGCCCACTGTATAGTTCCTCAGAAGGCTCCACATTCCCTGGAGACAAGAACATCTGGATCAACATGTTGAGGAGAGAGGGTGGGTTTCTGCCCTCAGCTGGCCAGTCGATGGACCACTTGTAGAGGATACAGAAGCTGAGGTAGCCGAAAATGCTCTGGAAGAAGATCATGCCGGGCACAAAGTTACCCCAAACATCGATAGGTGACTTGAAGTGTCTTGCGTTGATGTACGAGAAAGTCAAGGCATAGGTCATGTGCGCCCAACCCATCAGGATGGAAAGCTTCATCTTCAAACTATTGCTGAACAGCAAATCGTTCTCAGACCCATGCCAAGCCCAGTCCAGTCCGAATGGGTATCGATAACTTCCCTTGAGATGTGCTGTAACTTCAGGTCGTCCGTCTTCTGGGAACTCCCATGCGGAAGGAAAAGGGGTGAAACCTTTGGAGAAAACATCGTTGTAGACCAAACCAGTGTACATGGAAAAAATGCCCATCATCAACATGATATAACGACCATAGAAAGCCATGGCGAAGAGTTCGTCTTGCTTGGATCGCAGGAGTGGCTTTTCCCAGTAGATCATTGCGGAGGCAGCCATCATCATCAATGTCCCATGGCCGAAGTCACCGAACATGACAGCGAACAGGAAGGGGAAAGTGATGATGGTATATAATCCGGGATTAACTTCTTGATATTTGGCGGTACCGTAAGCATTGATGATGGTTTGGAAACCTTCGGTGAACTTGTTGGTTTTGTTATAGGTGGGAGGTGTCTTGTTGGTCTTGATTTGATTGACAATAGTGGGAACTGACAAGCCAGCACGATCATTGACATCTTGCAAAGTGGCCCTAATCTGAGGTAAGGAGCTGGTGGGCACCCAGGCCTCAGCAATCAATGTCTTTCGAGCTTGGTCGTAAGAAAAGAAGTTCAAAGCATTGTAAACGGCCTTCTCTTTCTTGATGACAATCAACCACGCAGCAAGAGATCGTGCAATTGCAGTCAGCTCAGCATCAAGAGTATTCTTGGTGTTTCTGAGGACGCTGGCAAGGTCGGAGAGACGGGTGTTGACTTCGTGGATCTGGTCTCGACGAAGGTCACTGTTCTCATCAACATTATAGAGGTCTGCACCCAAAGACTCTGAGATCTTCCTGATCTTGGCGATAATTTCTTTACCATGAGCGAAGATAACGAAGACATTCTTGCGAGTTTCCTCGTTCGTGTCAGGGTTGATGATTGGCTCAGGGATCTCGGACTGGTTCATGTACAGGTTGCCTCGAAGGGTTCGCCACAAGATTCGCTCAAAAGCTGCTAGACGTTCGCGTGGGATAACTCCAGAGACAAAACCAATGTTCATGACCGCGAAGCTCTGCTGCTGACCATTGGCATCGCCATTAGCTCTGCCTTCCTCAGCCTCAGTGTTTCGCAGTAAAGGAGCATCATCGTCGTCAATACTATTGCGGATATCATCGGTCTGTCCATGTGCACGATCGAAGAAACCACCCGCCTCTTTCAACACCCATCGCCACTCAGTCAATTCGACTTCTCGCTTCTTCAAAGTCTCGTAGCTTTCATTGAGATTGCTAACACGGTGTTCCAAAGACTCCGCTCGCTCAGCAAGCTCGTCGATTTCACTCGCTTGTGGCGCGGCCAGCATATTCTCGTCAAAGTCCCAGTGGCTCCTCATGCCAATGCCAGATTTCTCCATCTGCGCTTTAAAGTATTTCAATTGACGTTCGACATTATCAAGGCGACGAATCTCCTTGGTGAAGGTCCTTTGGAAGGCAGAGGTTTCGGAATTGAGATCTCGAAATTGGACGAGACCGATTTCTCCTAGAGCAGAGACGACTTCGCGACCAATTTCATTGGAGATGTAGAGCTGGGTCAGGGACATGCTCGCCGAGCGGAAAAGAGTGTCTTGTTGGGCCATGCCGGGCGGGTTGATAAGGGAAAGGAAAGGCCGCCCAGGCCGTGAGAAGGAGAGAGTAGGATTTGCAAATATGAAGAGGAGCTTTATGAAGCTCTCGTTGGAATGAACGTGTGCTCGAAAGGTGGACGCCTGCTGCGGTTGAACTGTCAAGATGATTGCATCGAAGCTGGATTACCGCGGAGCATCTCAGAGTGAAACGAAGATCGGTTTAACGTTTTGCCGGATCAGACTGACATCATTTTCATCGTACCCGTATTCACAGCCTCGTTTCCACCCATACCCCTGGTACGACTAGTAACCTCGCACCCTCCGACGTGTTTGAATTGGGAAACAAATCCATGCTCATTGTTACTACCGATCACCAATCGCGTAAATCAAACGGCCTCCAATTTTCTAAAATCAGCAGGCTCTTCGACAACAACGCGCATCCCAATTTCAATTACACCACCGACTTCAACGACACTCATAACGCCCGCTTTGCGCTCTACAATCTTCCGCTCCTCGTCTCGAACGATGAACTTTTCCTGCAGTCCAGTGCGAAATTTCTGAATCTGTGGGCAGGGATTGCGCAGACCTGTGAGTACGAGAATGGGATGTGTTGTTTCGAGTTCCGTAGCATTTCCTGGATCGGCCTCCGCCTCGATTTTCGCAATGTTGTGTTTCGTCAATAGTGAATCTAGTGCTCCAGTGCCGGATCCAGTACTGGTATTCGGTGGTAAGAAATGCAGTTTCGTACCCGTAGACCTCTGTAACAACCCTAGGCCTCGCGTAGTCACGTTCTCGCCCAAGTCGGCTGGCTCGACGGAGAATTCTTGTAGGATTTCCAGGTCCATCAAATGCACTTGGCGGAGGTTCTTGGGAGGAGGACGGATTTGAAGGCGCGAGCGGTGTTGGACTGTCTCGCCGCAATGGCAGTCTCCTTCGACGCCTAAGTCGACAAGTAGATTGAGGGACGAGCACGGCTTCTTGGAAAAAACATGGGTCTCTGAAAGGGAGAGGGAAACAACAGACATTTTGGGTGTTTGGGCTTGTGACTGGCGACACTCAAACTGTCGAGTTGTTTGAATGTGATTGCGGTTTCTGAATGCCAGTGGGTGAGTAAAGGCGTTGATTCACGAGCATTCAAAGGCACGACATGCCAGTGACTCACCAAAAGATGAAAACGAGAATTCGCTTCCAAGAAGAACAGCTGCAATTGATTGGTCTTAATTCTAACACGCACTGGTCCCACAGAATAATTGACTCGGGCCACATGCGAGATAATGGCAGGACTTTTGAGCTCTGGAAATCGATGTTTTATTGTACAAGGCCTGCACTCGATCCTTTACCCATCTGTGCTCTGCTGAAGTCGAAAACCGAAAGAACAACATAGAAGGGAAATTCTTCGGCAAGATCATCTCCCGAGACATTTCCTCTGTGGGTAGCGCTTAACACGACCCATTGCCTTCCCCCAAGTTGATTTGCTGAGATTCCGTCACGTTTGCTTGCGGCCATTTCAGGGGGCATGCGGCTCGCAAGTACTAACTGGATGACTTTATGTTGGTTAACAGGCGGAGACTCAGTCACCAGCTACAGACCTTTGTCCTTCCTCCCGCTGCATCTCTAGCGGCGTGCTCTGATGATGTGTAAATTTATACATGCAAAGAATGATAAAGATACTGCTCCGACCTAAAACTCGCCGCCCTCAGCCGGAAAGAATCACTGCTTAAACGCCGAGGCTATGCCGTCCAAATGCAAAAATTTACATCTGAACGCCTTGTGTTCAGTACAAGATGCGAGGCAAATCAAGCGAAATAGCTTTTCCACAAGACACCAGACAAGTCTTCGATCTGCTCTGGTTTGAAAGCCTAAAAATTGGTAAGCGGGATGAAACAAGCGATCCGAATATTTTGGAAACTTACCTTGACGTCGATATGCCAAGTATCCTGTCGTGTCTTCTTGAAGTCACTGATGATGCTCTTCACACTGTTTCCTACTGCGGCTGGGTCATTTGCGGCTTTGCTGCTGAGCGTCACAAGAACATCTGGCATCCATGATGGCGGTGGGCTTGAATATGGGAAAGCCTGGATTAATGCACCCAACCCTAGTACAGCGGCATGTCGGACGATGACCAATCGCTGTGCTTCTGGTGTTGGTGTATTTGTTCCAGATGTACGAGCCGATGACAAGCCAGCAGCAACTCCTGCCAATTGACCCTTGGGCTTCTTCGGAAGTGGGTTGTCTACCAACATCTTAGTGAATCGGTCTCGTAGCTGAACAATCATCTTCTCGCGGAGCTCCATGTGGGAACAACGAATCATGCCTGATAATGTGGTTGCTGCACCCGCACGGACTTCATGCTGGCTGTCTTCTAGCATATCGGCAACACACTTGAACAGAAGCTGTTTGCTATCTTCAGACAACAAGAACAATCTTCTGAAAAAAATGATTTGCATGTTGATCATGACTCGCAAACGCTGATGCCACGAGGGAGACGTTCTTCCGATTTTGATCAACGAGTCAATCAGCTTCTGGTCTTCACCTATTCGGTGAGGAATGTTTGGAAGATGTCGGAAAACGTGATAAGCCAGAGACTGTAGTTCGGGGTCTTCCTTAACATCCATCATGTGTAAGAATTGCTCGGTGAACAAAGTGGGGAAGTATTTCAAGAGCTGAGTACACTCCCAGGAAGAAAGCATGGAATCCAGCCAGAGGAGGATCGTCTTGCTGCCCGATGTGTAGGCCGAAGGGGTCTGCTGGCCTGGAGTTCGTTCGTGTCGCCATTTCTCAATACGTCCGAAGACCTCTGTTATAGTCTCATCAAATTCTTCAGTAGGAATATAAGGTTGTTTACCAATGGAACCAGCTGATTTCTGTGCATCGATAAGTTGTTTGACATCCTTGTATGATTCGTGATAACGGGTACGGGTGATGGTCGCAAGTGTATGTGCCATCGCCTCTCGGACACCTTTGTATGGATGATCAATGTGACTCAAGAAGTCTTGAGTAATTGGAGCTTCCAGCTGGAAATGCCATCCGGCGTCCATGATCACTTGATGTAAAAGGTGGATCTTGGAACTTTCTTTGAAAGCAGCGTTGGAGCTCATATCGAGTCGGAAATTTGTCAGCCATTCCACCAAGGGCCAAGCTCGACGTGGATCACGGGCTTGGAGAATCATATGCAAGAAGGTTGTCCAGTACCCAGAGTTCTCAGGTGTCAAGCCATCGGAGAAGACTTTTCGAATGATAGGAAACGCGAATTCCCAAACCATAGTGCGACGCTCAATCGAATTGTCCATAACAGATGTCACCAGCCCTGCAAGGATTTCTGCTGTGGCGCGATGCTGATGCTTATCACTTCCGTCTTCGAAAACAGCAAGTGTCTCCTCTTTAATCTCCTCGAAGGTTGCCACGGCAAGGCCGTCTCTGATGATGAGCTCAAACGCGTATGTCAGCATTGCTGCGCTGGCCATACGGAACTTATCCGCCGATTGATCTCGGGGCTCTTGCTTCAGGTACTTGAAGAACGTGGAGAACCAATTTCGGTCCAATAGCTTGCCAATGACAGTGCGCTTTTTCCATTCTAGCTCATCGTACTCAATGTCATTCTTAACATTGGCTTTGTAACCAGGCATGGACTTCGACCACACAAGCCAACCCGGATAGTCGTGATCAATATACACATCAGCTTCCGGTTTCGAAAATGCTTGCAAATAGTCTTCTGTCCAAGAATCTTTCTCAGGGTATGTGGTCACCTTGACCTTCGCAGGAAATTCTTGCATAGCTTGTATGTAGTTGGCATAGTCGTGGCTGCATACAGCTCGAACATCAGTCATAGTGAATAGGGCCACGAGCCCTTGTGAATAGAGCCCTCGTAAGCCAGGATGAGGGTCGATAGTGCCACGAGTGATAAGATCAATCATATTGTCGGAAGCGATGTGGTCGAATCGCATGCCCAAGGACATCACCAGTGTTGCAACCCGCGTTGCCTTCTTCCAATGTGATACACGACCCAGTTCAATGAGCTCTTCGGCCAGTTCGGCTTTCTTCTTCTCGATACTTGCACGCTTGCTGAGGATAAAGGATTTCTTCTTAGCAATCTTATCCTCGACATCCTCATCCGGCGCGAAGGGATCGACTGCCGCTCGATCAACAATGGCCATGCGATCACCAGGACGGCCATAATCCATGACTTGGAAAAGGCCTCCACCGCATAGTTTCTGAATGGATGGTTTATCAGCCGTGCTCGCACTGATGAATGTTTTGATCACGGTCGGAGTGTACTTCCAATGTCTACCGACGGTTTTCGCCAGACTTCCAAACAACAATGCGAAAAGAGCACCTTTGATTCGGGGGAAGTCGTTTCGCTCCACGGCCTTCTGGAAAGAGGCCAAAAGTGGAGGGATGACGAATAAGCGGGCTCCAAAGACCACTTTAAGAGCTGATTCGCCTGCACTTTGCGCATTGCGGCGAACTTCCGTGTACAAAGAGACAGACGACTCGGCCAGATCATTCAGTAATTGTTCATCCAGCTCTGAGCGTGGTCGAGGGGTCGCATTGTACCTCAAACGTTGTGTGTGGTAGACATTTGCTCGACGAACAAGAATGGAACGTGGATAATCCTTCCGGATGCCGCTGACCTTATAAGGTTGTTCATCGGCATGGAGGAGTCTTGTTACACGATCAAGTACATGTGCAGATCGCTCAATACCCACGTCTACGAACCACGATCGGTACGCAGTATACAACGGTGCAAAGGAAGAAACATCATCCTCTCCTTCTCTGGTCAGGAAGTCGTGAACTTGATGAAGCACTCGACCAACATCCTGCCGTATGTGATGTATCAGCGCATAATTCTCGTCTCCAGGTTTGAGAAGCTCCCCACTGGGGTATTGGAATGAAGGTTTGATAGATGTCTCATCTGTACCGTCTAATACAGACTCGGGGTCAGTCGTATCATTGCTGTCCTCGGGTACATGTCCATTTGCCTGTGTCATGGCAGTATCAGCATCCACGCCGCTAGCAGTGGTGGTGAGACCATCATTGACACCTTTTGCATCAAAGAGAACTGATACTCCCGCAAGAAGTAGTCGTAACAAGACTAGATTTCGGGAGACTTCGTCAGACCATTCTTTGCCGCTACCGTCTCGTTTGATGCTTGATGTGCCCTCAATTAGGCCTTTGAGATGCTTCAAGGCACCTTCTGCTTGGTTCTGAAACAATTCAACAGCAAAATCGAGTTCTTCTTTGTTTGGTACATGCCACTTGGGTTTGACCGTTGCACTTGGTTCTGCAAGCCCCCAGAGGTCTGCAGTGACTCCGTTGGCCTTTCTTTCCGGTTCGTACAGACTATAGTCTGCCGTGTATGTGACTGTCAAGTTAAGAAGAAGGTGGTGGATGTAGTTTGAGATATGCACGGTCGGCATGCCTTTACACTTCTGTTGCATATACACTGCGATGTCGAACAGCTCCTGCTTGTATTTGAGGACAGCAGAGCCCACATGGACAACACACATGCTGAGCATGCTGATGTTCCACACCAAACCTCTATCACGAGGGAGGACATCAGAAGCCGCATTTCTTGTTGACCCAGCACCATTTTCATCAATCTCGGTGCGAATAGCGGTCACTAGGACGGGAACAAATTTGGCCAAAGCTTTCTCAGGATCGACCTTGCAAAGGCAGTTGCAGATAAAAGCCATGGCATCACGCGATTGGTGAATGACATGGTTTGCCACGAAATCGACAATCTTGTTGAGTGCCATGTCAAACAATTCGGGAGAAAGTGATGCCAGTAATGGCATGAATGCGGCCGGTAAGGTGTTGACAATATTCTCCTCAGGCGACCCGCTTCTGATTCTTGCAGCGTCAGGTAGATTCTCGAGAAGCGTAAAGACTCTCCCCAAGAAAGAGCTGACGAATTCACCAAATCCAGCAGTGGATGAGGCTAAGATCATCTCTTCTTGTTTCTCATCCAAATCCGCATAATTGAGCTCTACGGTGGCACCTTCCTGGTCCATTCGCTCCATTTCACCAGTGATCCATTCCATGGCGAGTATGTTGCCCTGAACGTCATCCCTGCCCTTGGATAGGTCTGCGAACGGAATGTTGTAGCACACATTTGCAAAGAAGGATAGTGTGTACAGGGTTTTCTCGAGATCATTGGCATCGATTCCAGGTAAAGCCAGTCCCAACAATGCTGTGATGTGGCAACGATACCCCTTGGTCCGTATCATAGTTCTCGCCAGAATCTGTAGTGATCGTAATGATGAAATCGTTCTGTGCACCTCAACAAGCCCCTGCATGGACGGGTAAATGCGTTGTAAGGCTCCAGGAAGTATTAAATCAGGCTCTAAGAAGGCAAGAGCTTGAAGTGTTGATAATGAGTAACTCATTGCAGTGCCACTTTTCGCATAAATGCCCATGAAGATGACTTCTCGGAGACACAATACAAACCGCTTGCGGAGAGGCTCATTCAGTCTGCGTTCCTCGGGTACTTCCATCTCACCATTGCGCTCTCTGTTCCAGCGCATGACAAAAAAGTCTGCCAGGTAGAACACCAATTGTGCAAGCGTTCTGGTCCATGATCCCGAATTTGAGGGATGGAAAAATGTTTCGACTGCCTGTATCAGGGTCTCAAGAAGAGATAGCACGGAAGCTTTCTTCTCAAGGCAAGCAGGTGATAGAGACATAACGAACCATCGTGCAATGTGATGAGATACAGGATGCTTACGACTATCACGATCCAGGAGAATACCCATGCCAGCTGACAGGTCGACTAGGGCACTATATGGAGAGGTTGACTGTCCGACCGGGATCTCCAATAGCCTCAAGATTGCAGTGACAATGAGAGTCGATTGCTCGGGGGTGAAGATGCCAAACTCGGAGAATTCCACATGTTTGCTGGATAGAGTATCTCTTGCAAGGCGTGAAAAGAGGTCCAGACTGGCGACGTCGATGGTGCGGGATCGATTGACCAACGACCACAAGTGGAAGAATGTTGGAAGGAATTGCTGGGGCGCTAGGTCGGCACGATTCGGTGGAGGAGGAGCAGTTGGAAGAAGGAGATTGATCAGACCAATCACCACGAAAGCGCCCTCAGCCTGGGACATGGTGAAATGCGGCAAAAGTTCCTCCAGCATGACTGGAATGTCCTCGGGATCGAAATACAACTGTGAGAAGGAGCATATTTTGATCAAGGTCTTGATGTTCCTCTTAAGATTTGTTGTCTGCATCAACCCCGATTCGCTGGGCAAAACGAACACCTTCAATTCTCGATAAAGCGGCCGCCAGTCCAACGTCAGGTCCTTGAGTGGCCGCAGGTAGTGTTTTCGCCTAGAACGATCGGTTAGTAACTTGCCAGTCAAGTTCCTGCCGTGGGTAGGATACGAACTTTGTGAGGACCATGAACATGCTGGCGAAGCGTTCGGCGACACTGGGGTCGATGCCCGGAGCAAGAGCGAGTTCATAGTAGAGCTTGACGAGTTGGACTCGTTGTTCCTTGGTGGGATCGAACTTCAACGCAAGCCAACTGCGAAGCTCTCTCGTCCAGTGTAATGCCCCGGGAGTGAAATCACCGGCCTGAATTGCAATGTAGAGATGCTTGAGAATTTCGGCCAGATTTTCTTGTCTTTGAGAGTCATCTTCTACCTGGTAAGGGAGAGTGGTAAAGTAAGGAAAGGTTCGGGGTCTATTGCGCTTGACTTGGCAATTGGCATCAGTGAGTTGTGTCTGATCGATGCTGCCTGCGCCGCCGGGGGATGTTGCTCTTGAGATTTCCGAGCCATGTTTTTGACTGTGATTCAGCAACTCTTCAAGGTGTTGTTTGTGGTTGTCCATGATTGAGTGAGTGCGCAGGACATTTGAAGTCCAAGAAGGAGAAGGGATGGCAGAGTGAGAAGTTGTGTCGCACAGACTGAGGCTGCTGTGTGCAGTGTAGGGCTGGTTGGTGTGAAGAGGGTGTATGGATATATGATGACTTGAGAGGCCGCTTAGCAAGCCTCAGTGCAGCCTTGCTATGCTACGTCACGCTAATGCCTGCGGACAAAGTTGGGGAACGGGGAGAGGATAGTAACGCGGTTCAGCAAGTAGCCGGAGGGATAATTCTGCGTTGTGTCAATCAAGTGAAAGGGATTCGGATGACGAGGACAAATCTCAGCCTGGGCCTGAAGTTGAAGATCAGTGACAGTCACAGACTTCTCAGAGCCCTGCACTGCACGCGACTCCCAGTGCGACGGCGACCAGTGAATCTCAATCCTGACCACATGGAGAGATCTTGGCAACGTTTTTCCCGGAGAATCAGTCGACCCGAAAAATACACATCTTTTCGTCCCAATCCGGATTTTCGGTAGCCACCAGACAGGACAGTACTTGCAGGCCACAGTATCACCGATCAAAGACTTCTGAATTGACAGGGTTCTGAATCAGCAGAACTAATGCATTGTGGGTCATATCGTCATTAGATTCATACTACGTGTGTCACACTGAGATAGGTACCAAGGCAAAGTACTCACATACCACACCACGGGTATCTTCGTGCTCAGCCCAGAACCCATAGCACCTGATTGAGGCCCCTCGGGCTATGCCAGCTGTGTACAACTTCCGGAATTGTCACCTGTGCCACCAGGACCCTTCCCAGCTGCCAACACGAGTTTCATCATCCCAGATAGTTCGTTGACTGTCATCTCGCTTTGTTGCCCCAAATATAGTGGAAGTTGACATACATGTGCAGTTTGGGATTGAGCAAATCGCTCTTGACTCGCGCGACAACAATCAAAGCTTCTTCGGCAGTGTACCCCAGTACGCGGGTGAATAATGCCATGGTGAAAGGCTCCACAGCGTCCACAAATTGAGCACGGTAATACATGCCCAACTCTTTGTTTCTTTTTCCCTTGGCCCAGGGACCAATAGGCACCTTATAGATTTCCTCATGGACATCGATAAAGCCAGCATCCGTCATTTGCTTCTTCAGGCCATTCGCCGTGGCAAGCTCCTTGCCGAACTTTTTACTGGCTTCGTTCATCTGAACAACCCAATCCAGAAGATAAGTGGCCTGTTCGCTTGTCTGGTCATCACTAAGCACCTCGCAGTGATACTCCTGCATCTCCATCAACCCACCCGGCTTGAGATTCGTGAGCGCTTGGGAAAACAATTTTGGCCAATCTGCGATGCTGCCACAGAGAGCTCGGCCGTGGATATAGTCAAAATGCTCGTTTGGAGGATATGCCCACTCGCTTTCAATGTCATCGACATAAAATCTGCAATTGGGTGGAACCTGGTTACGGTCAGTGGCCTCCCCGAATCTATCACCGGACCACACCTTCTCATACCCATTCTGGCTGAATAGCAGATAGATCAGTGCCGATAACCAATGCGTTCGGAAACTCGTCGGCAATCTCAATGCAATAAAGACCCGTGCCGCAGCCTATATCGAGGATCCGCCAGCCATAATCACCCGTAAGGGGGGCCCGGTAAAGAGCACCTCCAATGATGAGTTTGTAGATGTGATGAAGCATGTCTAGGCGATCTTGCTCCTGTTCATCATTGGGCAAGATATACTGACCCTCGCGGTACGCATGATACCGTCGGCCATTCTCGTACTTGTAATTGAGGACCGATGACGCTAAAGACGCTGTCAAGGAGCCTCCGATTGATTCTCCGATGGCTGAATCCGCATCACTGTTATCAGACTGTCAAATGTTAATCAAGTCCGAATCGATACTCCTGAGGACTCACTCACATCAGGTACTAAGGCGGCTTGATGGGGTGTTGTTACTCCAATGTGGTCCTGAGCCGATGAAGGGGTGTCCGGATTACACATGGTTCAGTGGATGGCAGGATAGCCATCAATATCATTGGAAGGATAAAGAACAAGGACTGTCAGAGATCAGTAAGAACTGCCCAGCACTTGGCATGGTCTGCTTCCAATGCTATCACGCCTGATCCTCGTAACCTTGGTTCAATAATGGATGTCTCATGAGAGAGAAGAAGGTTTTGTAAGCGCTGATTACAACAAAAGAACTTCGTTCTTACCCCAATTTGCGGTGGAGAAGAAGCAAATATGCATGAGAGGGTGACCTCGTAGCTGAATAGGTACTTGTGCTTCATTGTTGAAGTGGGCTGATGCCGCTTAAACTTCAGAGCCGAGGCCGCCGAGGGTGCTAACTGGGCAGGTACCTAAGTGGTGCTGCCATGTTCGGTCCGAGGCGCCCACTAGATACAAACTTTGGGCGCCATCAAAGTCTCCAACCATTATTATATCATTAGAGCCACGTGTCTGATGCACTGCCTACCACGAATACAAGACAAGTAGCTACCTACGAAGCAAGTAACTAGAACTCGGTAACCTGCAATATTTCTCCAAGCTGCAGCTCATCCGTTTCTCCGTTGCTCCATCCTCCTGCACCTAATTAGCTGGGTAGCCAGGAGATTAGCGGGTAGACATCCAAGTTGGCCTTGGGAACCACCCAACTAAACCAAGTGTCTCAGGTGTTAGCAAACTCCAATGTTGACCAATGGTTACCAAGCTATCATTATACTTGCTGATTGACATAAGGGCCGGTAGAACTGCACCCGAGCTTCCATGAAAAGGTGGGTTCTGCACTTAATGTAACCTACAGACCTCGCCTAACCAACAGGGCCCCTCGACCCTATCACTCCATTCCTGATCGCGATTCGCGTGGGCGATAGGGACAAGCCCAGGCAATATGTCTCCGATCGATCGCTGGATCTTCGACTGGCGATTTCATTCACCTCTCACCTCATGTTACGCAATAGATTCGCAATCGCTTGAGGATCGCGCACAAAGACTAGGACTTCTACGAGCATTACTCGGGGAACCTTTACTATTGAGTATACGCCTTCTCACCCTGGCCGCCACCCGGTATAACAACTCTTCCTAGAGATATCTAATCATGGCCAGCATCCCGTGTCTTTCAACCAATCCCTCGGTGACTGCACTCTACGTGGGACTGGTATGCTTGTTTCTCTACATCATTGCCCTGGGCATATACAGGTTGTACTTCCATCCAATCGCCCATTTTCCAGGCCCGAAACTCGCCGGCTTGACGAGATGGTATGAGTTCTACTACGAGGTCATTCAGCAGGGCAATTTCACATTTCACATCCAGGACCTTCACAAGAAATATGGTTCGAATTCCTGTAGGCCAGTGAAATGGTCAGGTTGATTGCTGACACCATCAGGACCAATTGTGCGTTGCACTCCCAATGAACTCCATGTGCTAGATGCAGACTATTTCGAGGAATTGTATGTGAAATCTGGGAAATTGGACAAATACCGTCCATTTTCAGCCAGATTTGGAACGGATGAAACCTTTTTCACCGCGCCGTTGCGCGAGGACCATAAGAAACTGCGCAATGCTGTTGCGCCTTTCTTCTCCAAGAGAAAAATCGTGGACTTTCAGCCCATCATTCGAAATAAGCTGAACAAACTCACGACCAAGATCGAAGAATACGTCGGCACAGATCGTGTGCTTCCTCTCCATCGGGCCTGGACCGCCTTTTCAGGAGATATCGTCACCGAATTCTGCTTTGCAAATGCATATGATCACCTGGACTCACCTGATTTCAAGGACACATTCCATGAGGGCATGCATGCGGCTTGCGAGTCCTCGAATGTCCTGATGCAATTCCCGTGGCTGTGGCCTATAATGAACAGTTTGCCCGACTGGTTGGTTCTGAAACTCGAACCAACAATGTACGTCCATATACAAGTGCAAAAGGTAGGGCTTGCTGTCACCGAGCCGCCTCAAACCCATCACTGACTGAGTGAATCAAGGACTTCAAACGTACTCTGACCAAGCTGAAAGCCGAGCATGATGAGACCAAGAGGTCTGTCGACCATGCGACTCTCTTCCATGAAATGCTGAACAGTGACCTCTCGCCTCGAGAAAAATCAATCGAACGTATGATGCAAGAAGCGCAGGTCATCATCGGCGCCGCCATCCTGACGACGTCATGGGCGGCTGCTGTGGCGAGCTATCACATCATCGATAAGCCCGAGATCTTCAAGAAGCTACGCGCGGAACTGGAGGAGGCTCTCCCAGATCCAAAAGCTCCTCTGGACTGGCAACGCCTCGAACAACTCCCCTATCTGACGGGCTGTATCAAAGAAGGGATCAGATTGGCGTATGGGATTGCATCTCGCCTGCCACGTGTTGCCCGACACGACCTCAAGTACAAAGATTGGGTGATCCCAGCGGGGACGCCCGTGTCAATGACTATCGTTGACGTAAATCACGATGAAGAGATCTTTCCCGAGTCGCATTCCTTCGTACCAGAGAGGTGGCTCGACAACCCGATTACTGCAAATGGCCAGAGTTTAGAAAGATACTTCATCGGATTTGGGAAAGGTGCGAGATCATGCATTGGTCTAAAGTAAGTCGGTTCCTCCTTCTGATGCCGTGCCGTTGCTGATCAAATCTAGTCTTGCCCAGGCAGAACTATACACAGGTCTTGCGGCTATTTTCAGACGCTTCAGCTTCGAGCTGTATGAGACCGATGTGACAGACACAGTTCTCAAACATGACTATTTTGTCCCAACTGTCAAATTTGACACCAAAGGAATCAGAGTAAAAGTAACATCCACAGAGAAATAAGTTGGATAGTGTTATGTGATGGACTCGAGACCTTGTTATTCGAGGGTAAGAATACTTCTTGAAGCTGTTCTGGCATAAGACACGTTCGTTGGGAATTGGGAGTGAGGTATTTGACTACCACAGGAGATTACCGACGCTCAGTACTATACAGTTGAAAGGATGCGGACATCGGGAGATAGCTCGGTGACTAGGTACTCTAGTATATCAGGTTATCGAGGGACTTCTCCCCGAGTGCATCGAGCTCCTGAACTCCCCGCGACATCGATGTTAGATTTAGGCTGGAGGGAGGAATGATGCATATAGCCCTGCCTGGATCAATGCATATATGACCATCCATCGGATTGTAGTTGAAGTGTATGCCTCTCCTTTCACCGTTCGTTGAGCCAGCCACACATACCATAATGGGTAACCTGAAGCGAGTCTGGTGATAATTTGGACATGATAACTAACGAGAGCCAAGACCGCGAGTGACAGCTGCGGTAGAGCCAGACCAAGAGTGGTAACTCTGTCCCGAAGCAATATGGAATCGGGAGACCTCGTCGTCGAGGCGGATGAGAACTGTCGAGGATTTCTGATGAAGTCAATTGCCGAGATAGTCAGCAACCACAGAGCTGGAGCAGCTAGCAGGAACAAGGGCACATTTGATAGTGTCCAGTACCTGAATGGTCCAACGTTCCTAGGTTTCATGGTCAGAAGAGCAGTACGCTGTGTGGAACGACTTACCAGTAGTGGGATTGAACCCAGGTGAAAATGGATGGTAGGGCATTGTTGCACCATGGTCTCCGATCTTCACGGCTTCTGCCGACACAATACTCCGTGAATGCTATGAATTGTGGTGCTGTCATACCCACTCCAATCAATAAACCCCCAACCACAATAGCCGATAATCGGGCCAAACGCGATGGGGTAAAGTCTTGAGTGAGGAGCGCAAAACCTGTGGCAGCTGCTTCGATGAGATAGGTGACCCCTGCCAAGATCCCATTCCCACGGATCATGGTTGCTAGGCCAAAGAGTGCGCCAGCTGCAACCATAAAGGCAGATCCATTGATAACTTTGGCATGGTTGAAGCAATGGACACCGTGGAGGTACCCTAAGAATCCCGACAACGATAGGAACGCGAACAAGCTTTCAGAGTAAGGCGCCGAAAGGAACACTCCGGCAGGAGAAATAATATAAAGTAACGCCGCACGGAATGGCACCAGAGAATTGGGGTTCCTTCCTATATCAACAAGCCGTCTTGCGAGGAACCACAGCTGCACAGTCGCCAGCCAATGTGTAACATGCGAGGCAAGAACGCCAGTAATCACTGTGGACGTGTTTCTATCGGTTCCAAGAAGATTAATTAACCCTGTCGCGGCCGTGAGTTTGAATCCAAAATAGTGACGTGCCAGGAGGAGAACCTTACGCTTCGTGAGGAATGACAACGTGCTCGAGTGGCCAACTCCCCAAGCCCATTCCTGCTCAAATAAGTGACCATGCTGGGCCATATGTGTGAAATATACAGCGTCCCATCTCACAAACTTCAACCAAAGGCTCGGAAAGTGGCTTGGTGAATCAGATAATAGTGATCCAATGGTGCTGTCAGCAGAGAGACTTGCAGATGTGTCATAGCCAACACCAAGGCTTGAGAATACGGCCAACACGATCAGCCCTTTCCAGACAACAAACAGGCCAAGTAAAGACAACACTTGACCTCTGGCCGTATAAACAGATATCATGTCGTCTGGCCACAGAAATGCTAGTCGGTACACAGCACGCCGTGAATCGACTCCGAGTGGAGTGTGAAGATCTTGGAATGGTGTCGTTGAAATAACGTATTTTTGTATCGCTATTGGCTTGTCTATTGCATAGTGTCGATTACCCAGATCGTCAGCAGTTAACAAAGACTTCTCAAGATCATCAAGATGCTTTCTAGGTACTTCTCCACTCTTTGAGTATTCGTTGTGTAGAGACTGAGTTACTGCTTAGGTATGTAGTTAGACAAGCACAATGGCCAAGGACAGGTCTCTCAAGGCTGTGAAATGAGACAAACATGCCAAGGAACTTCCACCGCACCCCTTTAACTCGGGCACCTAACGAGCATGATCACTGACCTCACTCAGGCTACTTCAATATTGAGGGGAATTGAGTACTCCATGTCAGGCAAATCTGTGTTGTCTCGAAGTTGAGGCCAACTACTAGGATGAGGAAAACGACCGATGGCTGTAGACACGGGAATGACTTCGCCGAGCTGCACGGTCGGAGAAAGAAAATGGGTCTTGATCGTTCACAACTGCCAGGCCCAGGGCAGATGGCCATCGACCAATTTTATCAGGCGATTCATATGGATGAGTAACGGACTCGGATTTTTCCAGAGCCTCCAAACCAAAAACAAGCCAAATCGGTAGGTCTGTGGAAGCTTGGGAGCTACCAATGATGGCCCATCACCGAGTTTTCGACGCTGCAACCCCCATCACCATCATCATCACCATTAACATAGGTTCTTTCTCCACACTCGCGGCTTCCTTGATCTGGAAGCAACATCCATATCAGGCGAAGATATGCCAGAGATCTATGATCTGGTCGCACCTTCGGAAATAATCAAAGTCTTCTCATGAGGAACTCTTTCCACATGATCATGATGTAACAATCATGATGGGATATAACGTGGTCAACCTATTGTTCAAATTGAGATTGTGCGGTTCACCTGCCGAAGCCAAGTGCGGACGGTTCTTGTTCTGGGTTCACCATAAGCCGCTGGATTGACTTGGTACCCTCGTCACTAGGGTTTTCATGACCACCGAGAACTGGCCTGCGTCATGAGTGTATTTTGTGATGGCCGAAATGTTGCGGGAATAATGCTGGTGGGCTTCAGGAATCCATGATGCCTCGTTATTCGAAAAGGCAATACGACATACCGTACGAGCACTCGACCCTCTACGCGTAACATCTACGGTCTACAAGGCTGGTTAGTGGCAACACTGTCTGCATCTACTGAATACAGGTGAGGTAGTCTCATCTACTCTCGACCCTGGAGTGAACTTCTCTCAATTCTTTGAGCCCTTTGAATTGATTGAGTTCTGAAGCCACGAATACGACTTACTTCGTTTGCATGCCAGCCATTTCCAGTAGTCCGACCTGGTTTAGCGCAACGTGGCCAGTCACTGAGTGATTTTTGTCGAAGCTTTTGTCCTCATCACCCCCACAGACCGCTGCCTTACCACTTCCTCGGCGGCGATTATCACAAAGCTTAAACATACCACAACCACAACAGCGACAGCTAAAATAGCACGCATCACCCGAATCACATAACATATGCTCCTCGCACTTCCTCGCCTGCCCAACTTGCGTCTGCACCCTCTTCTCCATAATCCAAGCAAACTTGGCTCAGACATCGCGATCGCCTATATCATTCGCACTGGTTGGTGAAAGGAAGAAAGGCGGCCCAGAAGATGGACATTCGATCGAGTTGAAGTCGAATATCTCTGGTCATAAGAGCCATCACAACGATACCCAGTTTTGTCGACTACACCAACCTACTACCATTCCACCATGAAGTAAGAAATCTCTCTCTTTTTGCAGAGGGAAAAAAATCACGCCCAATGATTGGGTATCCACACACACTTAACCACGATATGCGCCGCAAACTCATTCTGGTCAGCCACTGATATGCGCTTCCTCCTCCATTATCGGAACCTTCGAGTTGAATGCCAAGAGTCTGCAGAGATGGACACCCCTCCGTTCCACACCAGCTTTTAAACTCTTAAGGAAAAAACACTATTCTACATTATGCGGGGATAGCCAGTCGCGGTATTTTAGCCACAGTGGACACAAGTAACAACCTAGATCGATCTTTTCGTTGTCCTGTGCATTGCTAGATCTCACTCCACCCAAGGGTTTGCCAGATACTGTTCAACCTGGTGGTCCTCTCAGGATACATAACCACATATCCTCGGGGTTATTGATCTGGTTTTGTTGGGGCTATAGCCGCCACCAGCTGAGATTTTACTACAATATCACTTGCCTCGCACATCAATAATCTGCAGTGCAAGTGGGGCCATCGAGCCCGAGCCTCTTGAAACTCTCTTGAAGCCTTGTGAAGATAATAATGGATTCACAAATTCTTCTGCCTAGAACCAAGCAAAAATCTGCGCGCGGTCTAGGGGTATATAAGTTCTATTGATTGTCGCTTTAGATTTTGGAAGTTCTGATTTCTGTCCAATCTTCACTCCTTTTCTTTCAGACTTACTCGTCTTGCATGGACACCAAGGGGAACAAGACTCCTCGAGAGATTTCTTCTTAATAATGCCAGGTGAGACGAGCCAGATCCCCTTCTGCCTTGAACAGCAACATCAGTCATAACAAGAAGCTCAATATAGAAGTCTCTGTTGAATTCCTCTTTGGGGAGGAACTCTACATTCAAGCAGGTTCAACCATGAGTGACCATACTAGGAGTGGCTCCATAGCCACTACCAAATTGCCATTCGTATCCTGCGAGCTTCTGTGTGCCTTGAGATGCCGTGCTGCTCGGGTATTGTGAATTGTAGAATGGCATCTCTGCCATGCTGATGGGATCTTGTGCAGCATTTGCCATGCTGGTTGAGTATTGGCCCCCTTGTGAGGTAGCGTCTGGCAAGCGAGGGATGTACTGTGGCATTGATGACATGCTTGTGGTGTACGGCGTGGCGCACAGTACACTTCCAGTGTGTGATACATTGCCAGTATTCTGGCTGGCGAATAGCACACTGCCAGAGGGTGGCATATTGGTGGTATTTTGTGTGTTGGTTGGCATGCTGGACGAGTATAACTGGTCGTATGAATTGGTCGACGTCACCATAGGATCCCACTCGACCAAGCCACTCGAGAGGCTTGAAAATTGGCTCCTGGAGCCAAAGCCGGCAGAACTACCATCATCTCTCCCAGTTTTACTTCTTAGAGGAGAGACCATGTTTCCCATCTGAGAATTGGTTGTAGACACTGAAGTGCTCATCGGAGGAGAGAATCCAGGCCCCGTGTTACTCATCTGAGTATTACGACCAGACAACACGTCGAAAAATTGAGCACCGGGGCCCGTGTGCCCCTCCGCGGTCAAACTGTTAAAGTTGCTAATTGCACCACTGAACATGAATTGGCTTCCAGACGTCTGGTAAGCTGGATCATTATTCAGAGGCAATGCCTGAGCACCGTAACCGGCCATCACAGTTGCATTAGGCCTATAATGTCTCAAATTTCCAACATTCAGGTGGTTGAGGTTGTTAGAGTGGCTCTCTTGGGTTGGATGGACCTTCTTGTTTAAGTGGCCGTCGTCGTTTGAAAGCCCTTCTGTCTTTGAAGTGCTTTCCTGAGCCGAATTTGGCATTTGCACGGAGACACGATCCAAGATCCCCTCCACACCCCGAGTGGGCGGTGTGATCTGCCCCAAATGAGTTGGGAGGGGATTTAGTAACGGGCGGCTGGCGTATTGGGAATGTACACCAAGACTATTAGCGTGGTTGGGATATTGCGGTTGACTAGGGTCGAAACCGAGTACATCTTTCAGCACAGGGGCTTGTACCCGGAGAAGGTTTGGCTCTGTTGGGCCACGTACAGCCCAACTGGTTTGAGATTGCTTGCGCTTGTTCCTACTGTCCTGTCAGTTTGGGTGACATGAGATTGGGACGTAGTCATACGTTGGCTCCTTTCTAACCCTGATCTTGACGCCACACTCAGCTACCATTCGCGTCAAAGGAGTTGATGCCTTCGAGATACCGACACCTTTTGCCTCTTTGATGACAAAAGGCTGGCTGATGATTGATGTCAGAAGCTTTGCATATGTGCTGTTGCTGCTTGTGGCACTATCGGAACGCATTTCGAAGAGAACGAACTTGAGGCAGAAAGTTCCAACCAATTTGGGGCACAAATCCCCAAAGATGAAATAAGCGTGATCTGCTAAACAAAGTTCAGTGACGAAGTAGAAGGGATATGATGTTCCGGTCTAACCTTTATCATCTTTGATTCTCAAATTGTGCAAAGAAGAGACTAATGATCCACCTAGTCCATCCTGTACCGGAGACCCTCTTTCATCATTCGCAACGAGCTCAACGATGCACATGAAATGAGGACTGGTTCGATGGTAATTGTAAGGATCGGTATCCTGAGTCTTGAGCTCGAGGATTGGCTCTGGGTGTAGACTACAGGCCAATGGTTTGCCTGCAACGCCTTTAATTAGCGTGGTTAGAAGGACAGTAAGTGTCACGTATTTAAAAGCATACCTTTTGATTTTCCAGCATTGACGCGACCTTCTTGGGGAGGCTGGATGAGGGTTAGGTAATACGGTTGACTGTGATAATTCAAGTTTGTTAGTTCTGGTGCAGGCAACGAAGGCCACTTCTGCATTCTGGCTGAATATCGCGAACTACCAACCTGTTGGGATGTGCCATCAAAGCGTTGCGTTCGAGCAACGGTAGGGGGGTTGGTTCCCATGGTTGAATTTCTGTTTGGTTTGTATGGTGAACTTTGTGGTTTCCGTTCATGTCTTTGTCAGTCGGAGCCGGTTGCTTGAATTGCCCCTCTATATCTATCGTTGAAGGGTGAGCTCTGCTCTGCTTTGTTGGACTGCAAAGGCGCGGGGGCCTCACCGAGCACACCTCTCATTGAGCTCTTCGCAATCGCCTGCTCTACTGATAGGGGTGCGCAGGCTCGCGAATGGATGCTGAAGATGTCTTGTTCGAAAAGGTGCGTAAAGTTTGGCGATGAAGGATAGTTGAAGGCGAGATCTTAGCGGTAAGTACGAATGGATGATTGATTGATATGTGAAGATCGATGAAATGTGGGTGTGATGTGAGATTGAGGTGTTCAGAATCCAGCGTTTGGGGAAGGAGGAAGAGAGGTTGGGAGAAGCAGTTGTTTCTTCGAAAAGATGGGAATGTGCTGAGTCTTCCCACTGGCAGTGTTGGCCCACGGATTTTCCCACGATCTGAAAAGTCAATAGAGGAACTATTGAGCAAATGTATTGCTTGTGTGAGCTCTGCACAATCAGAATCGCGAACTGATACCAGCAGTATGGTCTTGGTGGAGCTCACAAAAGCTAGAAGACCTTGCCTTCGAACAGGCAGACACACAGCACAGCTTTTTTCATCGGCAGGGAAAAGAAGCAGGACAGCACACTAATCATTTCATTGAGCGGTGCTCCTCCGAGGCAAGATGTGCTGAGCGAGGAATCCCTCAAGCTTGAAGCTCTAAGCTGTCAAGGCTGTGCCATCCTTTTCTGGAGCACTGGGAGGAGATGATGATGTGCGAAACCTTATTATCCACGTCTAGTGGAAGTCTCCGGGGAAGGTTGCCCTGCAACAGTGTCGGCGGAGAAGCCTTCCAGAGTTGCGTACAACTTTCTTGCATGCCTCTTCGATGATAGATCTCCAGGTCTAGCAGTGGCAAAGGCCTAGTCTTAGGCCAAACAATATGTTTCTGGCAGCAAGGAGCGACTGGGAGCTTAAGGCGAAGGTCAAGTTGTCTTGATGGATGTCCACCACAGATGATGGCGTATCCAAGATGTGCTGCGATTATGGCGAATAAATTAACCGCAATTGAGATCGTTGTTGAGGCCTGGTATGGATAATTTGGACAGGACGTATTCTAGATGGCGACTGCCATGCTAGATTCGGAACAAAACAGGAGGTGAGAAAATGCTGTCATGAAAAGTGGTGTTCTGTTCTTGAAGTGTGCTTCTTTCGTAGCAAGTTTGCTCATACAAATGGATATCAAGAGCAATCGTACTCTCCGGACCGCGCAATCCACCCTGGTACCGGAATCACTACACCAAATTCCCTTCTGCCTCTCTGAGACACGCGCTCAACAGGAAGAGGCAGAGAGGGATGGAGGGAGGGAGGGAGGAAGTTGACTAGCTCGTCGAGATTCCAAAATAAGCTAAGAGGTCGGCACACCAATGCAAGCGATCCACAAAGCCGTTCCAGCCGGATGATCGACTTAGCTGCACCTTCAGCCGATCGGTAAGACGAAGATCTATCCTGTCAGCGGCGTTCTTGACCAATGGCTATCACAGTGGTGAAGCGAAACCCCAGAACCTGTGCAGGGGCGCCGTATTGACAAAGATAGGTATCCGGGAGAATGCAATGTGAGTAGTGGGAGTACGAGCCGAGCGCCTGGATAGACCGCGAATTCGATTTGTGATGGAGACGGAAGTACGTATGTCGTATGTCGAGTCCAGGACGTCCAGTGATGGCTAGGAGCCTTAGATGGGTAACTCTGCGAGGCACGAGATTCCTGACTTGTGACACAGGCGACCACTGACTCAATCGAGATGGATAATGTAGAAAAGAATGCTCAGACTGGATCTCCCTCTCCACCCAAGCATTCTGAGCAATGCAATGGCTGTCGTTCGAGCCAAGGGGTCCAATGAAACAGCTCGAAGTCAATTATCTGTCCGACGTCAATGCCCAAACACGCGCCAGTCAATGTCACCGCAGTCGATCAAACAAGAACTCCCCACAGGCCGACCAAGGCACTCCTTAGGAAAAGAATGATTCTTGCCAAGACAACTTAAGTTGACTTCCGATTCCAACTTCCAAGGAGAGTACGAGGTACTCCGTACGGATAATGGGAGAAGCGAGGCCGCTGAGTATAAGTGGGGCTTATGAAGCGAGAAACGCCACGACGACATCACCAGCGTGCTCTACGAGCAGTTAGTGGCACCCATCTCGTTCGCTAAGCAGTATCCGTCCATCATCGAACGAATGAGAGCTGTGAAGAACTCAACGTCTCTTCCCGTTTCCCAATTTGAGTAAAGGATCAGGAATCAGAATGTCCTGGAGACGTCAAGCTTAGGCATGTCCGTTTCGAGGTGCAGGGGTTCTGTTGAGCTTGTCTTCGTCTGAGGCTTTTCTTCCAAGCAACGTGGCCGTCAGATTCAAGTTTCCTCAGAGTGGATGATTTGGCAAAGTAATGTACGTGGGATGCGAGATGATGTCCATTTGCTATACTCCTCACATGCATACTGCTGGTACTGCAGAAACACGATTGTTTGTGAACCAGTTCAGTTCAAACTTCAAAGTCCACTGACCACCGACTGATCTTCGTCCTAAGATTCGTCTCCACTGTGCAGGGCAACAGGGGATGAGAAGTGCGAGATCTTACGCGAGAATAGCTCAAGTCCCGACATGGCGTTTCTCACATTCTGGACTAAATGCAAGTTTGTGTCGAAGAGCTTCAGCCACATGAAGTGCTCCCTTGCCTCCGTTCTTCTTGTTTGACAGGATCGCATGGCAGTTTTCAACTTGGCGCAGAAGCGGTGGATCCGGATGGTTGGATTGTGCAGCCGGTGTTGCTAAACCAGATTCAGCAACCTGATGGGCATGCAGATAGGTACGAGAGCACAAGGACTCCGTATCAAGCAACCGGATACCTGCTACGGTGGAGACTCAAGAGTCGAAAGGTCGATTGCAGCCTCTGGCGCTCCCTCTTGGATAATCGAGTGCAGACAGGGATTGATCACCACCAAGTTCCGATAGCTCAGCCTTGTACAACATCATTGCCGTCTTTTCGGGGTTGTGTTTGGTCTAGGTCTCAGATCAGGTTGCGATTCGCGACTAAATTTTCGATCAAGCAATCGTAGATTCCACTTCAGAGTGTGCTTACGAATGTCTACATACTCCGTATCTGTTGCTGTCATTGAAGGGAGATGAAGGATTTTTTTCGGACGTGGCGCGACATCCAAGCTAGCGCGTCGTCCTTGCGTTCCACTTGATTGTGATTCGCTACACACTTGATCCATGGTCAAATCGAGAGTCAAGAGAGCATCAACTTGAGCCGAAAAAACATGGGCTTCTACTCCGTACGGATACACTGCATGAACTTTTTGGAATCCTTCGCTTCGCCCACTATCACATCTCTCAGATGGTCCAGCCCAAGGCATAAGAAGTACTCGGGAGGGTTCATGAGTACAGTCTGTTAGACTGTCTAACCTCTCGAAACCATCAAAACGATCGAGGTGTTACTCGAGCCATGTCTTTGCTTTTCCACACACCTTTGCTGCATGACGGGTAGCCACTGTTGATTCAATGGCCTCCTGTGTCTCAGAAGATGACTTAATGATTTGTGGAAATTATACCTTCCTATAACTGGACACCCACCTCGTACTCGCTTGAGTCTAGGCCGGCCTATTCCCGCAGAATGGTCGCTCTAGGCCATGACCTCACCTACACAAGTTACACAGTCCGCTCCACAAGTCCCAAATTGACAACGCTTCATCTAATACATAACTGCTTCATTGTGATGTGGGATGGTGCCCAGATCGTAAACTTGGCGATGAATCTTCCCTTTCGCCCTGCGCTGCTGGGACTGGAGCCCAGACGGCTCCCAGCGACCCATGGCGAATTGTGGACACCACAACATGTCAAATCCGTCAGCTAACATTGTTCTCATCGTCATAGGAAAGAGCATTTCAAACTTGGCCTATTCACACAATCCCATTTGAGACCTTGGACGCATCCGATTCATCCGAGCGGATCCCCTTTTTGTATTATCACTCCCAGCCTTTCAGGCAGCAAGTTGACACGAGCTGGCGTGAGTATCCCAAATCTTCCCACCTCCCCAGTCCTTTCGGATGGACATGCAGGTGGGTGTGTGTGGGCTGGAAATGGAATGTTGTCACCCACGTGCAGCCCTGCGTCCAACCACGTGGAGTGCCACCACGCTCCTGACACCTGTCGCCGAGTTCAGTCGCACACGAAGTAGCAATCCAGAACGCTTTTGGTCCCCGTTCTCTGCGTTGCCGCCCATGCGGACCACGAGAGTGCCAACAATGCCATTATTGACAACTTGACAAGTCGATCAAAGCATGTCGAAAGCTCGATGGGGAAGGTAGACGGGTACGTCCTCCGTTGCGCGCTGTACGTGCCGTTCCGACGGCAGTGTGCCCAATGTGTCGTTCGCATCTATCCGTATCTCCTTTGCGAGTGGAAAACCCTCGTAAACAATAATAGCCGGATCTTCTACTTCCAGTTGCAGTCCTCCCGATTTACATCCTGCTTTTACTACAGACTCGATACCTGACTAGTCAACAACACCACCCTAGCTCTCACGCAGCAGCTACCCACATTCCAGCCAACCGAACCAACGTACGTCTAAGCGACGATTCAACACCATCCTGAAATCCGCGCGACGCCATCTAGCCTCTCAAAGCCATCTCGGTGCTGAGCGCTTCTTCCCGCGCCATGGCGTAGGTGGCAAGCGAGATTGACATCAAAGGTGGGTTGATATGACGGCCGACACAACGACATATCAGATCCCAAGTCTTCTACGTCACGAGACATTCCCTATTTAGTCCACTCTCCTTCCCAAAAGGGTTACCCTAGGTCAACCTGTCGTCCAGGGTATCTGCTGGCGCCATGTGGTCTCAATAATGCATGGGAGCAAGGTGTGCTCGTGGCCAGCATGTGGAAGCCATGTCCAACGCCAATTACTTCGTACTCGTGAACGGCGGCACCGGGATTCTCGAGGTGAGGTAACTAGTTAGCCCATCCTGGACAGAGGCGGAGCTGGACCTGTCAGAACCAGCACTAATCAGCTCAGGTAGCTTGGAGAGATACAAACGACTGAGCGAAAGATAGATTCTCACTCGTGCGCAGCACCAGCATTGATTGCGGGAGCGATGCTTCTCGGTTCGGATCCCAGACTATTGGCTGATCTTGTACGTGAAACGGATCCGAGATGGAAATGCCCTCAAAACCCGCACATCAAATCGACGTGAAGAGAGAAAATAAGTTTAAACTCGACGGAAGATCCTGCCTGGGTGCCCGCCATCGACAACCAACGGCCAGCTAACTGGTTCAGCAAGGCTGCAGTGCAGCTCCCGCCAGTCTAGCCAACAAGGCTGAAGTCGCGTCTCCGGTGGCCCAACTTGGCTGAGGGACTTAACAGTGCACACTCTAGTTGTAAGTCTACCGGACGAAGGTATTTACCACGCTGGATACTAGAACCCGCCAATAGAGACGAGGAATTGAATTGAATTTGACCCCCATCGAGTGTTTGTTTCGACCTATGACCCAATTCCACGCGAGAATGCATCTATCTATTCCGCTCGGATGAAATCCTTTTTCCCAGAACCCAAATTTTGTTGGAAAGGGCCATTCACTACCGTGCTTTTTATCTTAGTCATGCGAAGGTTCTAACTTAGTGATACTCGTACAAAACAAAATAAACATGCACTGTTGTTCAGCCATGGCCCTCCGACTCGACGGACCCTTCGATTTTGGATTCCACTGTGTGAGGTCGGTAATGCCATCCATGGCATCTATTACAAGTCCCATCCCAGTGGGCAGCTTGATCGTGGCTGGGCGCGCTCGGAGCTGCAATACGGTTGTGTGCAGTGCAAGTAGATGTGGGATGGAGCTGAGAAACAAACAGGATGCGGCACAGAGGCGAAGTGAAGCCCGGCGAAGACTGGCTCTTGAAAGCGTAAGACGCACTCCGCGTAACGCACAACGTGTGGGTAGCTTGTGACTTGCTCAAACCACGAGCGCTCTTTCTCAATCTCTATGTTGCAAAGCTCCCTATTTTACATTATTTCCGTAGAAACCATCATTGTCAAAACCAGAATCAAACTTCACTAATCAGCGTGCCATAGCCATGACGCTACGGTAGTACTCCACACCCAAGGTCGTAGCGTGGCTCAGCCTCGCATTCGCAGTGAGTGGGAGATCAAGGATCGATTTCTGTATTCCGAATAGGGATATCGTCAGCTTTGTGATTTTGTGAAATTGCATGACCACGAACAGGGAGATGTGGGGTAGTGAACATCCTAAGGATTCGTAGAATCAATCAATCATACCTTTTCAAGAAGTGATCTCTCGCCGTCCGCGTCCTGCTTGAGAATCGCAGCCACCGTCCGTCCCATCTCTCTCAATGCGACGCGTTCCTCGAGTTTCTCTTTATCCTTGCCCAGGGGCCCGCGATTGGTGTCTTTAGCGTTCAAGCTGGTCAAGGTCGTTTGTAAGCTCTGGAGAAGCGCGGCACGCTCAGCTTTCACGGCTTTCTGGTCTGAATGTGCTTTCTTTGAGGAGGATTCGAGTTCCATTAGCTTTACGAAGACTTCGTAGACGCCGCCGCCTTCACTCCACGCGATGGCGCCGATGTGCTCTTCTGGTGTCTCGCCGAATTGCTTGAGGATGGTGGAGAGTTCGGTCCAGTCTTCATCGATGATTAGGCGGGGGGCGACGCGGCGGAGGAGAGTTTCATGAGCGCAGGGAAGGTCGTCAGCGAGGATCTGGTAGGATAGCTCGGCTGCTGAGTCGTTTGCAGAACGGGCATGCAGAGCTTTGGCCGCATAAAGCCACGTGGACGGTATTTTCAGAGTCTGCTCGAGAGTGTCGAAGAGGCTCTTCCGTGATTGGGTGTCGGTACCATTCTTCGATGGCTCAGAGAGGATCGCGGCATGTTTGTTGAGGAGGTCTTTAATATGTTTGGTTCGGAGATTTGGATCTCGGATATGCAGGAGAGCATAAGCCGCTCCAACAACATTCTCATGCGCACCGAACTCGAATGAGAGCGACTCAGCCAGTTCTTCGGCCTTATCTTGGTCCACCTTGACACCAGGGACTGATGATACAATGGCGTGGTGTAGACGGAAAATGACCTTGGAAGTCCAGGGAGTGGCCAAGATTGACAGAGCCTGCGGGAAGACCGGCTTCTCCAGTCCACTGACGTTGCCTTTGTTTTGTGTAGCGAAAACTTTGAGCAGCACCCACAGCGGATCTTCATTCCCTCTGGCATCCATTGGTGAAACCGTCTCTTCCTCGCTTGTGAGCATTTCCTGAAACTCCTTGACTGAATCTTGAATACTGCCGCTCTTTTGCTGTCCATACCATAAGCAAAGTGCAAATGCCTGGATCCAGTCGAGATTGAATTTCTCCGAGATCGAGAAGGTCGACGCGCGATTTTCCGTAGGGACATTCTGCTTGCCTTGACAGACTCCAGTGTTGCCAGCGATGATCTCGTACAGAGCTCGAATCTCCTCGCTCATTTCGGAAATAATGCCTTGCTCGCGCCACGCGTTGAGTTGTTCGGTGATGTCTTGTTGAACGGTGTTGTCAGGAGACGCAATCTGAGCGACCAAGAGTGTGAGATGGAAATTCTTCTCTTTCATAAGGACGTCGCACGCCGCTTTGATGTTCTTCGCCGTCAAGTGTAAAATCGCTGCTTCCGCGGAGGACGATCTCTCAGACGCTTTGATCTGGTCTCCATGGCGTCGCCAGATCAGAGATGATAGATACTTCGATAAGCGGTCCTTTCGAATGTTACCAACATATTCTTGTTGTTGTTGGCGGCTCAGGCCGCGAGAGAATTCGTCCTCATATTCATCGAACAGGACATGTCCAAGCTCATATATGTCGAGCTCGGTTTGAGTAGTCGTCTTTTGTGAGAGTCGGGTTCTTGACTGAGAGAATGGAACAGATTTGTGTTCAACGTAGGGAATGCCATCGATTTCAAGGACTTGAGCGTCGGCTAGAAAGGTCTCAATATCCATAGTGGCTGAAGTGGTCTGTGCATGTACGGATGGTTTAGTAAGTGTAAACAGAGGAAGAATTGAGACTGCGAGGGTAGGGTGGTCTCAGTAAGTAGTGGAAGGCGCATTAGAAAAAGGGTAAGGTGAGCTGCCTGTGACTGAGGAACTGACCTGGTCCGCGCTGCCACGCAGTGAAGTCAACGCCACCACATTCCTCCCACGATCGTCCACAATCAACGCCTCATTAGTCCATTCGACGTCGGAAGCATCACCTTCACCATTCGATTTGTAGACCAATCCATTTGTTGCAGTAAAATGGGGTTTGAAAGATGAATGCCACGATTTGTCTGTCTCTGACAATTCGGTCTCGTCGTCAAAGGTCTTCGAGCGTTTGGCATAAGGGAACTAGATGAAGAAGAGAAAAGATTTAGCAAATGTGTTTCATTTCCAATAAGACTACCTACAGACTATGTGATTTGTGTGTGTGATGGGGTGTGATGACGGGGAAAGATGGGGGCAATGGCCAATGATGACTTCTCCTTGAACCCTGGGACAGACTTCATGACCACCTTTTCGATTGAACTCAAGACAAGAAGCGAAAATAGTGATAACCGTAACCCCGTAGCGCATTCCACAATTGTCGTCATCCGAATCATCCATCTCATACCGCGCAGGGTTCAAGCATCATGGTGTTTCTGGGGTTTGGGGCAATGGGAGGGAAAGGATTGGTGTTGGGAGGGAAAGACAGTGTGCGATTGAGGGAGAAGACAGAAAAGGAGTATTCAAACCTCAAAGTCCGGCCCAGCCTGTGCTTTCCTGCCCTTTGACATTCTCTCCTCGTGTTTGCTAAACAACGAATTCATGATATCAATGCTGGTGTTGAGCTGATCCTTTTTGGTGGCGCGTGGCTTGATTGGTTCAAATGCACGATCAAGGAGGACTTTGCTCTGCACGTCTCGGAGAGCCTCACGGTTCTGTTTGCGAGGGCTGATTGTTCGTTGCAACTGTTCGGCCCAATCTCCCTCCAGGCTAATCAAGGCCTTCCCAGGTGTGCCCAAATGGCTAGCCTTTAGAACTGGCTTGAAGGGGCTCTCAATGATGGCAGGTGCCGGGAAAGAGCCCACCATACTGACTTCGTTCTCGGTGTCATCATTTTCGTCCTCTTCAAGATCGGATTCGGGTCCATCCTCAAGTTCTTGAGCGTTGGCCCCACTCAACTCGTAGTCTTCAATTACCGAGCGCTTGCCGAATCCGCCTGGAACAATCTTTTGCTTGAAGGCGAAAGTGTCATCCTCATCATCGTCCTCGTAATCATCATTCTCCTCACTCTCGCTATCGACTTCCATTGCTGAAACATGTCCAGATTGTGAACCGTCAATAGAATCAGGAGGAAGGGAAAGCTGACTGCGGCTCAGATCATCGTCGTCGTCATAATCCAAGCCATATCTCGTGTAATGGGGAACTTTGAAAGTCCACACACCAGATGCAACATCATAGCTGACAAACTCAGTACCCTGCATCTTCTTCAAACGATTGACATGTTTATCGAAGATTGGACCACTAGTCGCAGATGAAGGTTGACCTCGAGCGCGTGGCCAAGAATTTTCAATAGAAATTTTGGACGGGACATTGAGGCCCTTGCCGACAGGTGGCTTGGAGCTTGCATCAGGATAGACGGTGACAGAGCGAAGACGAATTTCGACAATTTTTTCGTACAGGTCATCAAGCGGGACAGTAGTGAGGTCAACGGCACCAAGGAAAGTCACACGACCACACCCTTTGCGACCGACCTCGAATCCAATGAATTCCTGCAGTTTGTCTCGGGGCAATTTGCTGAGTTGAGCACGTGTAGGCTTCATCCAGTAGTCACCAGGCTGTGGGTCTGGCTTTGCTTCCACCGCTGTCTTTTTGGGGCTGACGTGGTCGGAAGCACGATCCTCAGGGACTACGGCAAGCTCGTTACCACGCGCCTGTTGAACATCCGGTGCCACTCCTCCATTTGAAGTAGGTCGACCTCTAGGTTCGGGCTCCGGCGTATCATCATCGACCTCGGTCCGAACCAATGCGCCAGAGTCGCCATTCAAAGTGCCGTTCTGACCACCAGTAGTCTCCTTATCGAAGCTTACACGCTTCCTCAGTTTGGTTGGTTCTGTTGCAGGAGGCTCATTCTGTGTAGTGTTGGGAGCGGGCGTACCATTCACATTCTTATCAGGGCTTGGTGCAGTCAATGCAGGCAATGATTGACGGCTAAAGAGGTCATTGCGAATGCTTCGATCAATAGTCAAACGACGCATGTTACCTCCAGACCATCGAGTATGGCTAGGGTTGAAGGCATTGGGGCTCAGAACATTGTCGTTGTCGCCAACATTGAACTGGGATCTCAAATTGCTGACAGACGCACTCTTGCCGAAAGAGCGCCCGATGCTGCCTCCGTAGCTACTTCCATTGAAGCTGCGGTTGCCATACATGCTGTTGCTCAAGCTTCCACCACCTGGGGTACTAGCCGCGCTGTTGGGAGTTCCATAAGTGGAATAGGAGAACCCAAAGCCTGGACGACGAGGAGGGGTCATGTATCGAGACTGATTGAGTCGGAGGCTTGGTGGAGGTTTCGACTGACTTTCTTTCAGCTTCTGGCTGGCAGATAGTGGAGTAAAGATAGGTTTCGAATTGTCTGGAGTAGGGACTGGTAAACCGGTCCAGATCGAGGTCTGTCCATAAGGATTAGGGTCATTAAGGGACGAAACTCTGAAGTCCTGCTGTTGCTGAGAGTTCTGTTGGTTATTTTGGGATGCACCAAGACCGTTGAACGAGTTTCCAAATAACCCACCAGACTGGTTGGTGCTTGTATTGTTGAATAGACCGGTAGAAGCAGGCTTGCTGGCAGAGTTTCCGAACGAAAAGCCCGAAGTGGTGTTGTTGTTGGCATTGTTGAAAAGTCCTCCTGACTGTTGCGGTTGATTAGCGGTCGAATTGCCGAATAAGCCACCACCAGTATTGGTCGTATTGTTGGTATTGCCGAATGATGTGCCAAAAAGACCGCCAGGCTTCTGAGCGTTGTTGTTGGCATTGTTCCCTCCAAACAAGCCACCACTAGTATTCGTATTTGTACCAAATAGACCACCCCCAGTGTTGGTGTTCTGCTGCTGGTTGTTATTTCCAAACAAGCCACCAGTATTGTTCTGAGGTGTGGAATTGTTGAACAAGCCTCCACCCTGGTTTTGCGTGGCTGGGGTTCCGAATCCACCAGTGGAGTTGCCAAATAGTGGTTTCTGCTGGTTATTATTGTTGCCAAACAATCCACCACTCTGTTGCTGATTGTTGTTTCCGAACAAGCCACCGCTGCTCTGGTTGGTCTGTTGATTGTTCCCGAATAATCCCCCACTAGGAGCCGGGGTGGTCTGAGTAGTGTTGTTGTTTCCAAATGAGAAAGAAGGAGTGGTTGTGGTAGCGCTAAATGGGCTGGGTTTGTTCTGAGTCTGGTTATTTCCGAACAGACCGCCACCAGATGGGGTACCAAATCCTGTGTTGGTGGTATTGTTGGAAGTGCCAAACAGTCCACCGGTTGTAGAAGCGGTGGATTGGGTTCCAAACAGACCACCAGTCGCCGGCTTGTTGCCGAAAAGTCCACCACCGCCGAAACCAGTCGTAGAAGTTGTGGTTCCAAAGCCTGTGGATGCAGATGTGGTATTGTTGCCAAAGAGACCACCACCGGTAGTGTTGCTGCTACCAAACCCTCCAGTGTTAGTGTTGGTTGCGCCAAACCCGCCAAAGCTATTGCTACCAAAGCCACCAGCTTGTCCGGTGTTGTTGCCAAACTGTCGCCCTGCGTTGTAGTCGGCTAGCCGAAGTTCTTCGAAGGAGTACTTCTGGTAGGGTTGCTGAAAGACAATGCTCTGGTATGCGCTGCTAGCAGGGCCTGTGCCGTCTTTCTCGATATGTGGAGCAAAGGGCGTCGAGGCGGTTCCTTCAGATGGAGGGACTGGTTGATTGCTTAGAGCAGTCCCCGAGCCAAAGGCGTTGGTGGATCCAAAGCCGCTGGTAGTTCCAGAACCACCTTGCCCAAAGAGAGGGGTCGAATTCGTTGTGTTACCAAATGCAGGCTTGTTGGCCGTGCTTCCAAAGCTAAAGGATGATGAGGCATTGTTGTTATTGCTCCCGAAAGCACTTGTGTTGTTGTTACTCCCAAATCCACCTGTTGAAGTACCAAAGCCACCACCAGTGTTTGTAGAGTTACCAAAGAGGCCTCCTGAACCAGAATTGGTGCTGGCACCGAAGGGGTTCGAGGCAGCAGGCTTGTTGCCGAATAGGGAGGAAGAGTTGTTCGTGTTTCCGAAACCTGTTTGAGCGTTCTTCGTCAGTTTGTTCTCTTTATCGTCATTTGTCTCAACATCCATTGAATCTTCAGCCATGGTATTGAGGGATGGCGCAAAGCGAGAGCCGGTAGGGCGCATAGTGAGGCTAATTGGATCAAGACGCTTGCGGTCCAACAAGAGGGGATAAATGTTTGAAGCCATGATCAACGCGTGGGAAGGAGTGTGATCGGTGGGAAGTACGTGAAGGTCGCAGCCATTGAGCGTTGGAAGGATATGATTTAGAATATTTGGCTAGTGCTGCCTTCACAGGTGCGCGGTACTGCCTGCGAGTGAAGTAGAAGGGAGTGCAGTGAAAACCGTGACGTACCTCCAGAATTGGAACCGAATGTGCTTCCTCCAAACGTACTCTGGTTGTTGGTACTGGCTCCGAAACCGCCGGTGGTGTTGCCGGATCCAAAGCCTGACGATGCAAATCAGATGGGTGCCATGCGGAAAGACAAGAACAAAGAGAAAAACATAAACTTACCAGAATTGGTATTATTGTTGCCTCCAAAGCCGCCGAAAGTGGATTGAGTATTATTGTTGTTATTTCCTCCGAAGGAGAAACCCCCTCCACTGCCAAACGACATATTGGCAGGAATCGAAGCGCGTCTCGCAATGTTTGAAGGATGAGGTCTGTGAAATGCCAGGCAAGGAATAGAAAAGAGCGTGGAGAAGAAAAAGGAAGGGTGCAAGGGATTTTGATCAGGACTGGAACGGGTCTTCAGTGCTGGGTGGACGCGCCTGGACAGAGCAAGAGAACCGGATGAAAACTTGAATGAAAGCCCACGAGCTCCCAGCAGGCAATCACTCGGAGAAGAGGCTGCTGTCGACCTAAAGCCCGAGTGTGACTCGCAGAACCCGGGTTAATCTGATGAAAATTGATGGCAGCGTGGGCACAGAGACAACGCGCCTCGAGTGATGGGAAATATTAGGAGTGAGATATCTAAGAAGTGCCAGACTGCGGCGTGTCAAGTCAACTGCGGTGCCGGTGGCAGGCTCAGCCCAAGCTCGGGTTCATTCGTTCAGGTTTAGCTTGTCTCTCCTCTCTGCTCCAATTCCCACAAAGTCGTTTCTACTGGTTCTTTTCGCCAAGGAGAGAGTTGGTGGATGACTCAGCCATCTTCTGAGAGTTTGGTGTTGCAGCCATCATTGGTGTTCGCTGTGGTTCAATGGTCTAGTACACAATGGACTCTCAGGCTGCAATGCCATTGTTCTCGGGAAGAGGCCGGAAGAGCCAGACTAGATGCACAGCCTTCCGAGATGAAACAGAACGCAATGTGAGTTGGCAAATAGACCACATTCGATAGAGGTACTTTCTAGGCAGAAGCACGGAGGAATGCTGATGAAATCTGACGAGTACCAACTCAACATGTGGCTAGAAATGTGAAATTTTTCATTTGTTATCATGCAATATATATGCCCGAACTGCAACTTCGTACTGACTGACTAGCCTAGCTACCTTGGGTACAGAGGGAACTGAGAAGAATCCGGGTATATCCTTACAGGGGCGACATCCTTCAAACTCACCATCAATCATCACTTCTTCTTCGATGATTTGACAGTTTCAATAATCTTGTCCACGACACTGGGATCGCTCAAAGTCGATGTGTCTCCCAGGCTGTCTTCTTCACCACTCAGAATCTTTCTCAGAATTCTTCGCATAATCTTGCCGGATCGAGTCTTGGGCAGATCGTCCACGATAAAGATCGCCTTGGGAGCGGCGAATGGACCAATCGACTTGCGCACTTGAAGGATGAGATCCTTCCGCGTTCCCTCGCCGGGGTCGGTGCCATCTTTCAGTGACACAAAGGCGTTGACGGCCTGGCCCGTCAGCTCATCGTTGATGCCCACCACGGCAGCTTCGGCAACACCGTCGTGTTCGATGAGTGCGGCTTCAATTTCGGCCGTCGATAGACGATGTCCGGAAACATTGACCACATCGTCGACACGTCCCCGGATCCAGTAGTATCCTTCGTGATCACGGCCTGCGCCATCTCCGGTGAACTGTTGTCTGGCATTAGCAAACATTCGCAACCAATACTCGTATCGATGTACTCACGTAATATCCCTTGTACACATTCAGATAAGTGTCCATGTATCTCTTGTGCGCACCCCAGACAGTTCGGGCCATGCTAGGCCAGGGCTGCTTGAATGCCAAGACGCCCTCGACATCATTGCCTTGGATCTCCTCACCGGAGACAGGATCAATGATGGCAGGCTCGATGCCAAAGAATGGCAGAGAAGCACTGCCTGGTTTCGTGGGAGTCACACCAGCCAAGGGTGTGATCACATGAGAACCAGTCTCCGTCTGCCAGTAGGTATCCACAATATGTGCCTCCTCTTTGCCGACTGATTCGAAATACCATTTCCATACTTCCGCGGCGATGGGCTCACCCACCGAACCCAATACTCGCAGCTTGCTGAGTTTATGGTGGATGTGCTCATCACCGGCACGCTTGAGGAGACGGAGGGCGGTCGGGGCAACGTAGAATTGAGTTACGTTATGCTTGTCGATGACGTCCCAATAACGCGAGAAATTGGGGTATGCGGGGGTGCCTTCAAACACCACGGTTGCCACGCCCAGCAAGAGAGGGGCATACACGACATAAGTATGTCCAGTAATCCAGCCCACGTCACCGCCGCAGAAGAATACATCGCCGTCGTGGATGTCAAACACATACTTGCCCGTCGCTGCGGCGCCTAGTAGGTAACCACCGGTCGAGTGCATGACACCCTTGGGCTTGCCGGTCGAGCCAGAAGTGTAGAGCAAGAAAAGGGGATCCTCAGAATTCACGGGCTCGGGGGCAATGTAATTGGGGTATTTCTCGACTTCCTCGTGCCACCACCAATCTCGGCCCTTGGTCCAGGGAACATCGGCGCCGGTTCTCTTGTACACCAAGCAGTGCGAGACATCGGGGCACTTCTTTAGCGCTTCGTCGACGATCTTCTTGGTACCAATGAGCTTGCCACCACGTTTGCCCTCGTCGGTGGTGATGACGACCTTGGAGTTGGCATCGATGATACGGTCAGCCAAAGAGCCCGAGGAGAAACCAGCGAAGACGACGGAATGCACGGCGCCAATACGCGTGACTGCCAGGAAAGAGATAACGGCCTCGGGAATCATGGGTAGGTAGAGAGCCACGGTGTCGCCCTTCTTGACACCCATCTGCTTCAGCACGTAAGCTACACGAGACACCTCACGGAGAAGCTCTCCATAGCTGAGGGTGCGGCCTTCGTTGGGCTCGTCGGCCTCGTAGATGATTGCGGGCTTATCTGGGTTCTTGAAAGCATGTCGATCAACACAGTTGTAGGAGGCGTTTAATCTGCCTTCCGCAAACCACGCCGTATCACCGTTTTCAAATGAGCCACTGCGGACGGTCTGGAAATCGGACTGCCATGATAATAGATCTCTGGCCATCTTGCCCCAGAATTCATCGGGCTTCTCAATCGACTCCTTGTACAACGACCAGTACTCATCGATATCTTTTAAATGGGCCTTTCCTGGACCCTTCGTGAAGAACGGTTTAGGTACACTGGGGTAAAATGTCAGCACTCGTGATCCGGCGACTCATAGAAGGGGACTATGCGCACTGGAAAGTGTCGACCTCGTGCGCTTCATGCTGCCTCATGGTTAGTAATTTGATTTGAAGAGCTAGAAAGGCTACTGACCACGACGGGCCCCTTGGGGGGCTTGGTGTCACCTTCAGACATGGTTCAAGCTTATGGGACAAGGCGAGGTGGTTCAGATCAGGTAAGCTGTAGGAGGGTGCTGTGTAGAAAGGGTATGAAAGGAGAACAGGCCGAAGGGCTTACAACAACAGCTGGGGGGTGGGCAGTCATGTATTATTTGAAGGCGCGAGTGGAGGGGGAAAAGGCCTTCTAGACTGTGGACACCACGGATATTTGATTTGGGATTGATTTCGTCACACACGACAGGACCAAGTGGTAAACACAGGGCCAGAGGTAGGTTAGTGAAGGCTGCGGTCCCCTACGACCCTGGCCAACGCCCCCGGCCGAATGGAAAGTAGCTCCCTTGGGTCAACCGCAATGGTGTTATTCGGTTGCGGTTGATTTGAAGCTCGGTGGTGGAGACGGAGACTGCTGCTCACTGCACCAGTGCTCAACACTGGCACTGCTGGTGGAGGGGCAAGCCCATGACTTTCCTCCACGAGTTCGGAGCCGGACAGCGGGGCGTTCAGGGCTCAGGGCGTTCAAAGAGGCAGGGGACTGTAAGCCACCTGGGTGCCATCGTCAGCACCAGCACCAGCACTCATCAACTCCTTAGCCCCGCACTCGTTGATCATCCTGACCTTTGGGCTTGGATTTCTTAGCAGGTTGTGACATAGGTGTAGAAATAGCCATCAACAGATTCAATTGCCATGAATGCCATGCCTCTAGGATGCAGACAGATCGCTCTTTGACATCATCTTAATTGAACATCAACCCCAGTTCTTGCAGTGTTTGTAGTTCTCCAGCGTCATGCTCTCCTTGGCCCATCACATTAGACACATCAGGTCTTGCTCGTTCCTACGTCTACAGGCTCCTCTTCACGGTGATACGTCCTAGTTTGGTGGGCAGCCTTTCAACCCCTGGGCCTTTGGGGCATGTCACAACTTGCCACAAGTCTCCGCATCTCCGATCACCAATTTGCGGATTCCCCAGACATTGCCCGAAAAAGACAATCATGTGCTGGTGGATTCGCTGGGTGATCTCACGCTCTTTGATCTCTCGAGCGGTGGGAGTGGTGTGAGCAATTGAGACATTTGTCAAACGGGATGAAGCCCAAAGACTTCATCACTCAATCTTCAATGCCATGCTGGGGCCATGAGCTCACATGCCGGTACATGGCTACTAGTTGTATCATGATCATGAGTTGTAGTTCGGCAGGTACAAAACATCGAAAAAAATCCGTAGAGCCGAAAAATGGGCCCTGTGTTTGGAGCTTGGGCATGGCCCGGCCCACCATAGGCCAGGCTCAGGCTTAGACTTACAGTACTCCTAAGGCTTTGGCGGCTCCCATCAGGAAGACCAATATCGCTCCGTCGCCGAGGATATCTCTAACTACCTGTATCCACAAGCCAGTCCCGCTTCTACCCGAATGGCCTTTGGATGCCACTTTCGTGGTCTGAAGGAGCAGCTCTCCAGTCGCGAATATGATAAAGGGATTCTGGAAGGTTGCCGGAGCCGGCGGATTTTCGCCAAACGCTCGTGTCGATTTATGGATGCTCCAGACCAGATAAAGACCTGCCACAACGGCGAAAATCACCTGCACTACTTTCCATAATCGTGTCGCTTGTAACTCGGCTTTGCTGGGTGGTGCCTTTTGTCCTCCAAACAACTTGTCTGTGATAAACGACGGTAGTCCGGTAGCCTTGGAAAGATCTCCGGCTGACAATCCGGCACCCAGTCCAAAATCCCCAGGAGAACTGTTGGGATTGTTCGGGTCACCTCCAAGATTGGCCATCATGGCTTGCATCATTTTCATCATCGGGTCCTCTTCTTGTTGTGCTTGATTTTCTGATCCTTCTTGCAGTGGTTGTCTCAACATCGATCTTAGGTATTGTTCTTGCAAGCGTATTTGCTCTGGGTCCGGAGTGTCGTAGCCTGCTGCGCCAGAGGGTGGAAAATGTGATGGTGTAATTGTTCGAGGAGGTGTTGGTACAGGAGATTCATTGCGCACTGTAGTCTACTGTCAGCTTGAGCGCTTCACACAGAACAACGACGAAATTCGAGTGACAATCCTTCATTGCACCACGTTTGGGGCGCAGGGAGTGGTTGTGATGCGAGGAGTTCGCGCTCCAAGATTCTGGGTATACTCACTGCTCTCTGGAGTACGTCCACTCAAACGAGTAATCTTATCGAGGCGTTCTCCAGCAGTACTTGTAATCTTGGCCTCCCGCTTCTGTCTTCGTATGCGCGCTTGACGTTGAGAGGGCGTTTCTGCTTCAGGTACAGAGACATCGGGGTCTGGGGCGTCTGCCATCTTGTGGGTTGAAGGATGCAGGTAGACGGTGCGCTTCCGCAGTCGGTAAAGAGGGCAAAGTCTCTAGTTTGTTGTGGGAATGCGGACTTTAGAAGGGCTGTTGTGCTGTGTGATTTAATGATTATCGAGTTCGACTTCAGGTTGATGGATCTGTCCACAATTAATCGTTTTGGGATATTTGAAAACGCGGGCAGCCAGGGCTCCTATGACGTAATCACATGATGGGTCTCGTTTGGGTTCAGGTTGTGCATAGCACTATCCTTTTCATGACAACTTTAGATGTGCAAAGGCTGATGTGCTTTCTCCATTTAATTTGCACAGTCCCTTGCGTTTGCATTATTAGAAGCAAAGGATTCAAGCTTACGAAGTGCGGAAAAGGTTCAATTTCAATCCTTGACATCGGCATCATTCAATTAGTAGATTCCTCAATCCGACTTCCACCTCGTATGCATATTTAGCAAAAGTCATTCGATCTCATTGAAGTTGCAGTATTTTCCAAGACCGTAATGTCTACTGTACTGATAGTTGGAGCCACTCGAGGTCTGGGATCAGCTCTAACCTCCTATTATGCAACCAAGTTGTCGTACACTGTCTATGCCACATCCCGATCATCCACTGCACCATCAGATCCAAAGGCAGATAACATCACATGGATACCAAAAATAGACCTTTCCAAGCCTACTGTCGGAAATGATCTTGCTGCAGCATTGAAAGGCAAATCCATCAACACAGTCATTATTACTGCTGGCTATTTTGCAACAGAGGACTTCGGGGAGGCCAAATGGGAGGAGGAGGTCAAGATGTACACATTATCATCTGTTGCACCAATCTTCGTGGTACAAGAATTGGTCAAGTCATCCATCTTATCCAAGGGTGCCAAAGTCGTACTGGTGTCGTCCGAGTCGGGTTCAATCACCTTGAGACATGAGCAGGAAGGTGGAGGCAACTTCGGTCATCATGGCTCGAAAGCAGCTTTGAATATGGTCGCCAAGCAGCTGTCGTTTGATCTGAAAGATAAAGGCATTGCTGTGGTTTCCATTCATCCAAGGTGGGCACCCTAGACCCATCATTTCTCAAGTATTCCGAAGTACTGACTGGTACAGCTTTATGAGGACTGAAATGACTGCAGGAGTGGGTTTCGACAAGTTCTGGGATGCCGGTGGCGCCCTGAAACCAGAAGATGCCGCCAAAATAACGGCAGACTGGGTAGAGAAGGAGTTCTCAATCGACAAAACTGGAACGTACTGGGCCCCCAGGGGAACTCGAGATATTGGTAATTGGGACGTGGTTGTGGGCAAAGACAAGGCGAAGGAAGGGCCTGTCGAATTGCCATGGTAGATGCATTGTCGCCCGGGGTGTCCTCCGGGACTCATCACTCTCCCTTCCCGTAAACGAACATCGATTATCATCACTCTCAGAAGTCAATGATATGCCTCTTCAATCTGGCTTCTCCCAAGATTGGATGGCCGAAAAGACTCGACAGTCATTCATTGCAGACAGATCGCATAAAAGGCCTCCTTTGAAACGCTGCCACTTCCATCATAGTCGAATTCCTCAATCATTGCCTGAATTTCATCGTCTTCAAGGCCTGTTTCTCCCAGCTCGCGAGAAACTCTCCGAATATCTTCGGCTTCGATGTAGCCCCTTTGATCGGGATCAAAGAGTAACAGGGCGCGTTCCACTTCGTCGGCAGGATCTCTCTCAAACACTCTCTGTGCTGCGATGCGTTGGAATGCGTTTTGTGGTATCAGAAGCTGACTGGAATGGTAGGTCTGTTGACCTCTTCCTGGAGGCCCTCTTTTAAACTGTGGTTTTGGTACCCCGTGGGCCTGCATTATTTGGGCGACTTCAGGTTTGGGAATGGTGAATCCCAACGATCGCATGGCAACTCGAAGTTCGTGGTAGTCTAGGTGGCGATCGCGATCGAGGTCAAACAAGGAGAACTAAATATCTGCGCGTCAGTAATGTCGTAGAATGGTAAAGAGGGCCCGGCGCATTACTGCTTCGTTAATTTCATCCCTCTGTTCCTCACTCAGTTCGCTGAGCGCATTAGGTTCCTTTTCCATGTTTGGTCTTCCACCCAACCCTCCATGCTGCTGTGTGGCCGACGGCTGACCGAACTGATAAGGCTGATCGGGGCGTCTTCCCAGGGACGACTGTGAATATTGCTGGGCGGCTGCACTCCCGGGTTTAAGTACAGTTCTGTCGGGCAGTTTACTCGAGGAAGCATAGACGTTGCGACCAGGGAAGGAAGGAGTGGCTTGAGCCATCGACAAGATTGTTATGGTTAATGGCGCACACGCGCCGATGTCAGCTTAAGTAGTACTGGCGATACATATAGTAGGTGAAGTTTGCAACAGACAGAGAGAGGATAAAAGCTGCAGGTGCGTTGCGAGGACAAAGCACTCGAATGTTTATCTGGTCGCGTTCGGATTAGTTAGGACGCGCCTGGCCCGTTGACGAATGGAGGGACGAGGGTGGACGCTGTGGGCGACGAGACTCTTTCGGCTCTTAACGGAGCTTACCTAAACCTCTCAAAACCTCAGTTCATCCCCAAACCACCAGCAACACGTACGGAGTAGGCAGATCCCTACCAACTCCCATCATAACGCCTACCGCCATCGATCAAGCCCGGGTAGTCACATAAAACAGCCATGATCCTTTCTCTCTACAAGAAATGCAGAAGTCACGGGGCATGCGGCGAGATGACCGCCGGATAATCATCCATTTTGACTATGACTGCTTCTACGCCTCTGTTGTAGAGAATGAAGATCCTACCCTCAAATCAGTCCCTCTTGCCATTCAGCAAAAGCAAATCATTGTCACTTGCAACTATGAAGCCCGCCGTCGTGGCTTGCGAAAGCTACAGCTAATCACCGAGGCCAAACAGGTTTGCCCCGAGGCAGTGATCATTCTTGGGGAGGACTTGACGCGGTTTCGTGACGCCTCCAAGGAATTGTACAATTTTCTGCAACAGTCGATATGGAGTGGCAAGGCAGAACGGCTTGGTTTTGACGAGGTTTGGTAAGACCCAATCATTCAGACCGATTGATTCATGGTCAAGACCTAATATCGACTCCAGGCTCGATTGTACAGACATGATTGACTACAATATCGAACTATTGAACCAGAATGATCTTCAGCATTCGTTCTTTTGTCTGAACAAGGATGACCCTACCAGGGGTTTCGAATACGATGCCTCTCAAGTCTTTGGGCCAACGTTCCCCCGAAGTACTGCTCCATCATCTGAATCTGCCACGGCTACCGATGAACAACTTTACATACGATTATGCTTAGGGTCTCATCTAGCTCGACACTTGCGGCATGGATTAGAAGCGGAGAAAGGATACACGTCGACTGTTGGCATTGCAACCTCTAAAATACTCTCAAAGCTTATTGGGAACGTAAACAAACCCAAAAATCAGACGACCATTGTACCTCCTTACGACCCCGTTGGGCTCCCAGAGAGCAATGTGGCGCAATTTCTGGATGCCCACGACATCGGCAAGATCCCAGGGATAGGATTCAAGATCGCCCACAAGATCAGATCGCATGTACTAGGGCGTCCACCCGATTTTGATCAGGGCCTCATATATGGGGCTACGAAAGAGTCGGTCACTGTTTTGGATGTTCGTTCATATCCTGCAATGGGCCCTGAAATGCTCGAGACGATCCTTGCAGGGCCTGGATCGCCCAAAGGCATTGGAGGCAAGGTATGGGAATTGATTCATGGTATCGATGATTCCGAAGTTGGCATGGCAAAACGCATTCCATCTCAAATAAGCCAAGAGGACTCTTACATGAAGTACCTTCGTACGTTCGAGCAGGTCAAGGAGCAGTTGTTACTTCTCAGCGACAGACTTATTCGACGAATGCGTATGGACCTGTGTGAGGATGACGACGATGATGATGCCGCAACGGAGGGCGCCCACCCACGATCTCGATGGATGGCTCATCCTCGTACATTGCGGCTGTCCACTAGGCCACGGCCACCACCAGGACCTGACGGTACGCGTGCCCGGACTTTTCATCGGATTTCTCGGTCAGGTCCCATGCCCAACTTTGTCTTCAATTTGATCGAATCTTCTATTGTACTAGCCGAGAGACTGGTAGCAGAAACGCTCCTGCCCATGTTTCGCAAACTGCATCACGAGACCAACGGCTGGAATCTCAGCTTGATTAACATTGCAGCCACAAACATGGCAGAGACAGCAGCTGAGACCAAGGACAGTAAAGGCCGTGACATTGGAAAAATGTTTCGACATCAAGATGAGGTGCTTAAGGATTTCAAAGTCGTTGTCGAATCAGATACCATTGAAGACGTTCCATCGCCTCTGCCGAAGGCTTCTAGCGTGGACGACAGCAGCACAGGGATAGATGCATCAAGTGGCAACCTGCCCCTGGCGGATGCTGCGGAAGGATGGGATTCAGAAGACAGCGAGAGGGGCGATGTGGAGCGATGTGAGTATTGTCAGGCATACGTTCCAATATTTGCATTGGCTGCGCATCAAAGGTACCATCAACTGAGTAATTAGAAGCCAGCTTGGAATAGACCAATTGGCTTACCAAGTCTCGCAAACCATTTCCAATCTTGAATTGCAGATCACCAGTACTCGGTCTCCTCCGTACCGTCTTGTGGCTCAGCCAATGGAAGCCTGAGGTACCAAGAACTTGTTGGAGGCCAGGCTCAAGTACCTCGGCAGCTACGATGTCCCTAGGTAAGGCGCAGCCTCACCGTCAGAATACTCTAACTGACTCCCACGAATACAATTTCAGATGAAGCGTTGACTTGGAGAGAGACTCATCAGGGCTATCCAGTGCAATTGACATGTCACCATCGTTACTTCAGACACACTGTGTGCCATGTACGGATATGGCTCCCCTCCCATAGAAAGGAAAAGTCCCAGTCCAAATGGCTCCCTCCGGATCGACGATTTTTCCGACCCGACAAGCTTTTCGGTGAGTTCTATTTTCATTTGGGAAGCCCCCAATCACAACACTCAGCCGCACTCTGAACGGCTATCTTTACGTGTTCGTTTCGAATTGCCCCCTTCTTTGGTACTATTGACACCCTAGTCGAAAAGTCTTTGCTGAAAATAGTGCCATGTATCCGCACTCCGTTACTCCATCCCTATACCCGTACTGAGTACAGCTTGCGTGCGATCTGGAACCATGTTTTTGCCTCCTTTGCATCTATGGCCCTCTTAACTCCTATGGGTGTAGTCGTGGATCTCAGTCATAATTTCGATCAAGAGCAGCCCCCTTCTTCGGACGTATCAGCCCTATTTAGATCAACTATCCGTATCAGTGCCACGAAGACTACCTAGGTATCCCTACCCCAGCTTATCCGGACCCAACAGCTCAACACCAAAATTTCATCCCTGCTCAAATGTCCTTACTCGGCCCTGTTGGCCAGCTTCCCGACACACGGTAAGTCCGTCGTTTCCAGACCGGATATGTGCGAAAATCAAATGGCCATTCTCGAAGGCCAAATGGCGCCTCGAGTAATGTGGCTTTTAGCCAGATGACGCGGTTGGTCCTCGCATTCGCCTGGGTCCAGCCATATCAGCTGCCCGATATCCCCCTCCTTTTCCCAAAGCCCTACCTATTTGTTCCTATTCACATCCTGGTGATTAGGCTAGGCATTCCAGGCACCTGATACCTGTTCTTCCCAGATTATCTCATTCTAGTTCATCAAACTATTCTGGTGGAGAATCCTCGTCCGCTTGACGAGCGCACATCGCCCGGGGTCGTATTTGGGCAGTTCGCATTTATCCTGGTGCTTATGTGCACCACGCCAACTCCCTCGCTTCCTCGATTAAATCTGCAACCATAATCATCTAATCACGAAGGCCCCCGCCATTATTATTTTCCTCAACACACAAGAGACGTCATTCAGAAGAAATAGGATTTCCCCTCTGGACCTTTGATGACTGGTACAATTCTTGTACCAGAGTTGCCATTCCAGAGCAATATGATTGCCATGTCTCTAACCCCGGCGATGGCGCCTCATCTTTTATCTCAACAGGATCCAATTAACAATCCTAACATTATTCCTTTCGACACAATTCCAGATCGGTCGTCCATGACATCTATGTCATCCAAGAGACCGAAGTTGTCTCTCAAAACTTCTGATCTCGCCTCTACGTACGTCAACTCCACAACTGGTCGAACTGATGTAAACGTCCACGCCACTACCACTCCAACAAATTTAAACACTTTTACCAACACTTTCGACTTAACCTATCGACCTTCACCTATCTCAACCATTCCTTCACCAGGGCCAACTCTTTCAAGGAGGCCGACGAATTTAAACACCCAATCTTCTCCTTATATATTAAATTTGCCTTTTGGAGTTTATCCCATTTTGAAGAACAGCCCGTTATCTCAGAGCATCCGACGGCCATCGCTTGCTACTGCAAGTGCAAGTCCTCGAATAGCAGGCCGGAGAATATTTTTTCCTGCACCAAAGAAGGTGTCCTTTAAGCCTATTTTGGAGGAGGAGATTGTGACCACCGAATATGTCACTCGTCATGCGGATTTAACATCATCGGATGAGGATACCACCACTTCAGATTCGGACAGTTCTCACCAAACCTCTGATGATCGTAAGGACGACACCAACCGTCGTATTATACGAGTTGACGAATCTTCTCGTGGAAGGAATAAACGGAAAACCATGACCGCTTTTGAGTCTAGCCCACGAGAAGATCGCGGGAGGTCAGATCGGTCAAGAAGTACATCGGAAAGAAGAACCAAAAGGAAGAAGAGACGCTGGGAGTGGACTATCACGGAGACTGCCACACCCTCAGAAGCCACTGGCTCACCAGAAACGAAGGCCAACCACCCAAACGCCCGAGATGAAGAAAGGGATGGAGAAGTTGACGATTCTTAAGATACCCTGTATTATTTCTTAAAAACGGCACGATTGATATGTGGTGGGGGTTGTGCTTGATAAATTAGACAGATATATCATAATATAGCACTACGTAATGCTAGCCATTCGCAGTGCAGGAAATTGTATACTAATCTATACCAACGATAAAACCACGTCTCGTCTTATTTTCAGTATCTCTCGAGCATCGTAATTCAGACTGATACTCCGAAACATCGTGGGTCTGATACTCGTTGATTATCGACTCTGTTTCGCTGCAGGACGGGAAGACTCAGGTACATATCTTCGGTTAAAACATATTCCCGGTGTAGGCCATCAACGTCGAACGTCCAACTCCTTCACCAGATCATGCTGGACAACTCTGTCCACCGACATATCCAACCACTTAACTAGAAATGGACCGATCACTGAAATGCTTCACAAACTGCCAGGTGTGCATATCAGGCGAGTTGGTGTCACAGGATTTATATTTCAGCTCCGACACCGGCATCATCACTCCCAACTACTACTATCGTCAAGAAGGCGTCGAGCGGATAGATCTCGATGGCAGAGTCGTCGCGCCGGGGTTTCTGGATCTCCAGACGAACGGCATGCAGGGTTTGCACTTCACCCAACTGGGGTCAGATCGCAGTAGCGCTGAGGAAGGCGATGCTGAAGATTTGAAGAAATTGGAGGCTGTGAGTAAGATGGAAGCCAGCCATGGAGTGACGGGTTGGTGGGCTACGGTTCCTACCGTGGAGTCGGCGAGGTGGAAGCAGGTAAGCCCAATGTCGAAACGTTTCCTCTATCCTTGGGTTACGAGGATTGTTGAAAAAATTTCTCAATATCAACTTTATGACTCCGATATTGCTAGGTCCCTACTGGATATTGATCATGAGGCCTGCCTTGAGCTAATTTACATCGTGGATAGATAGTGCCAGCCCTGAAATCAAGGGCATTTTCTGATGGAGCTGACCTACTTGGCTCTCATCTTGAGGGGCCCTTCTTAAATGCCTCCAAAAAGGGTGCCCACAATGCTTCCTACCTCATGGATCCGACACAGATATCTCTCACACAGCTCTACGGCACGGACAACCTCGACACGGCCGTCAAAATGATCACACTGGCCCCCGAACTACCCGGCGCGACAGCTCTCATCGGACAACTACAAGAGGAATATCCTCATATTGTCATCTCACTTGGCCATTCGACGGCGAAATACGAGGACGGATTAGCCGCTCTCCAGCTAGGCGCGCGGGCACTAACACACGTGTTCAACGCCATGGCACCATTTGAGCATCGAAATCCCGGCCTCGCAGGTCTCATGGCGACAGGCCGTTGCTATTATTCCATAATACCGGACGGAATTCATCTCCATCCATCGGTTGTCACTCTCTGTCTGCGCACGGATCCGAGGAAATGCGTCTTCATCACAGACAGTATCGAATTAGCCGGTCTGCCCGACGGTGTGCATCCAGGCCATGGACAGATTTCAAGACAGCAGGTCAAGCAAGGAAATCGCGTGACATTGGAGGGGACAGACACGTTAATCGGAAGCTGCTGTACGCTTGATGAATGCGTGAGAAACGCCGTCGCCTTCACAGGATGTACTTTGGCGGAAGCTGTCCAATGCGTCACGGAGAATGTTGCTGACATGATGGGGGAGTCCAAACGGGGGAAATTGGAGAATGGGAGGAGGGCAGACTTTGCTATCTTGGATATGGATGGTGTGGTTCTTGGGACCTGGATGGCGGGACGAAAAATCTGGCAGAGAGATGATGTCCTGCTGGGTAGCTGAATAAGAAAAAAACCATATATCAAGAGGCAGGCAAGCAGGCAAGCAGGCAAGCAGGCAAGCAGGCAAGCAGGCAAGGGCCCTGTAGTCACCTTGTACAGAGTGTTGGCTGCAGTTTTTGATCTTTATAGTGGCTAACCTTCACAGCTACCTCCCAGGCTTGTAAGTCGGCTCAGTAAAAGACGGCGGGTGCCCAGATGCCGTTCACCTTCTTCAAGAATATAAATGATTCTCTCAAAAAGATTATCAACAATTCAGGCAAGTTGCCATGCGAGATGCCTGGCTAGACCTCGGTTGATTCAGGTATTACGGCGACTGGTATTGCAGAGACAGTCTTTCTGGTATCTCTTGAAATTGTTTTTTTGGCTTGGACTGATATTCGACAAGTTCGGGGTGCAAATCTGGCGGGATGTAAATCCGGGATTTCTTTTTTGACTACATTGGCAGAACACTTATATAGGCTTGGACGATATGTATAATGATATCAGCGATCAGCCTCGCCTGACACAAGACATGCCTGGATATACTACCTCACGGGCGATCTTCTGGCTTGAAGCGAATGACATAAAAACAATGATTGGTCGGATAACTCAACGGGCAAGGGGGAGGAGTTCAGAAATGGGCTGAACCGAACGATCAGTTTTGTGGGCCACGGCGTCTTTAAGCGGCCGGTGTGGCTGGGTTGGCGGCGCGGATTAACCCAGGGCCCCAGAGGAGGGATCGTCTTGGCCCTGGACAGCCCGCAACAAAAGCTGGAATAGTGGCCGAGGAGGGCCAGATTAGGCATGGCACTGGCCCAGCTTCCATGTTTTTTGGGCGTCCGATCCGGCAATCAATCAAGCGAGAGAGACGTGCAGCTTTGCCGATTATCGATGGGGAACGTTGACGCGTTTTGGAACTGGGCTGGCATCTGGAGTTACGTCATAAACTTTTTGATGGTCCTGCATCAAGCAATGTCAACTCACACAAGTGATGTCGATCCTGGAATTTCGTCCTCCAGCTGCCTTCTTTTCTCCTTTTCCTGTCAGTCTCTCTCTTCATCTCGGGGTTCACTTTTCGTTCTTCGACTGCGTTTTCGAGATTGAAGGGGAAGTTGCATTGGGGTCCGACCCTGCGTTTCAATACTTCTAACTCAACATCTACCCCAAAGGGACCTCCTTGATCATGGCAGACCCCATTGGCGCCCAGCAGCAGAAGTCTGGCAAACCATGGAGTGGCACCAACAAAATCCCAAATATCAAGGAATTCGTGGCCAACCTCGACAGAGACAAGGCTCAAAGAGACAAGGCTATTGACACCAATGGCACTGCTACTCCCTCTCAAGCAAATTCGTCCGAAGTGACACCACATCAAAATGAAAAACCAAAGGCTCAAGGAAAGACGGTCACAGATCCAGTCACGGGAAATCAAGTGATTATTGCGGATGTCGGCAAAGAATATATGGAACGAGCGGATGACCCCATGGTGAGCACACATGAGACAAGTATTCAACCCCTATAAGCTAACCATGGTAACCAGTTATCCGTACCAAACGCAAATGTGGGAAAGCCAACTCCCGTCCAGACCGATGCTTCTCAATCAGGAGCTGAGTATAAGGAGAAACAAGATATCACAGCTCCTCCAGATCCTATTGCTGAGGGGTCCACCTCGGACGTGCCAATTCATGGAGAGAAGACGAATATTTTATTTCATCCCACGCCTTCGGTCAGCTATGAACCCATGTTTGCAATGCTCGAACAGCGTGCAGGTGGGCTCTGTATTGCAATCTTGTTGTCCATCATTTTTGTGGGTAAGATGTTTGGTGGTGCTCTAAAGGGCCTGATTCCACTAGGCATGGTGCTGGCTTCTGGTGTTTGGCTATGGATGAAAGAGGTTGTTAGAAGCGGCCGTGAGGTCGAGTGGAGCAGCGAACAGGCGAGAGGCGAGACTGTATGTAAAATGTTGAGATATTTTATCTATAGAAAGTGAACTGACGGGCTACAGGCTACAGCGAATCTTCTCCCTGAATCCGTGGAATGGATGAACACCTTCCTCGGGATTGTGTGGGGCTTGATCAATCCTGACATGTTTGCAGCAGTGGCAGATACGTTGGAGGATGTCATGCAAGCTTCCGTTCCAGGAGTCATCAACAATGTCAGAGTCGCCGAGATAGATCAGGGAAACAACCCGATCCGTATTCTCAGCTTACGAGCCCTGCCGGACTCCAAGGTAGAAGATCTCAAACAGAGTATTCACGAGGAGAACAAGAAGACCAAGGATCCCCAGGAAGCAGCTGCCGATGAAGAGGGAGGAGACTATTATAACCTCGAAGTTGCATTTGCTTACCATGCCAAACCTACAGGAGGATCATCCGCTGCCAGGGCGAGGAATATGCACATGAACTTGGTGTTCTACCTTGGTATCAAAGGTCTCATTGGAGTCCCTCTACCAATCTGGGTCGAACTTCAGGAACTCGTTGGTACTGTTCGCTTAAGATTGCAGATGACACCAGAACCACCTTTTGCGAAAAGCTTGACCTTCACTCTCATGGGTGTTCCTCATGTGCAGGCAGGCTGTATCCCAATGGTCAAGCGTGGGGTTAATCTCCTCAACTTACCACTGATCTCGAATTTCGTCAACTATGCGGTAGCAGCTGCTGCAAGTTTATATGTCGCCCCCAAATCTATGCAGCTGGATCTGAAGTCAATGCTTCAGGGAGACGATATCACAAAGAACACTCAAGCAATTGGTGTAATGTGGGTTCGCATTCATCGTGCCAATGGTCTCAGCAAGCAAGATCGCCGTGGCAGCAAATTCGGTGGAAGTGATCCTTATATCAACCTCTCGTTCTCCAAGTATGGCAAGCCAATGTACTGCACTCGTGTCATTACCGATGACCTCTATCCAATCTGGGAGGAGACTGCTGCACTCTTGGTCACTCCAGAACTAATCAAAGCTGATGAACAATTAAGTATCGAACTTTGGGACTCGGATCGCAACTCAGCTGATGACATGGTCGGCAAAGTCGAACTGTCCATGCAGAAAATGATACAACACCCAGGAAAGATGTACCCACAAATTTCCAAACTGGCCGGTGTTCAAGAAGGCACCGAAATGCCAGGAGAACTCCACTGGGAGGTTGGGTATTTCGGCAAACCTAAATTCCGTGCTGCCCTGCGAACCGATGGCAAAAACAAGGCTCTACCAAATGCTCTCAAAGGAGATGATCAGTTTGAAGATGACAAAGGCACACTGGATACACCAGACGCTGATGCTGTTGCCCACACTCCACCTGATCCGTTATGGCCAAGTGGTATCTGTAGCGTTATTGTTCACCAGATTGTTAATCTGGAACTCGAGAACATCAAAGGTAGCAATGGCAATCGCAAGGGTAAAGAATTCGAACCGGCCAAAGCTTATGGAGAAGCTACAGAAGAAGAATCCGACAGTAAGTGTTCGCGCAGAGCCTCATCTATTGTACAACGACTAATGAAGATAGAATTGCCTACGTCCTATTGCACCATTTTGTACAATGATGTGCTTGTCTACCGTACTCGAGCGAAGGCAGTCAGCAGCAAGCCCATTTTCAATGCTGGCACAGAACGATTCATGCGTGATTGGAGATCTGCTTTGGTTACTGTCACCGTGCGTGATCAGCGCAATCGTGAACATGATCCAATTTTGGGCGTTGTTCCATTGCGCTTGTCCGAAATACTGACCACTAGCTCCCAAGTGACGCGCTGGTATCCTCTCGATGGTGGGATTGGTTTCGGTCGTATCAGAATTTCGCTCTTGTTCCGCAGTGTTGAAACTCGACTTCCACCAAAAATGCTTGGATGGGATGTTGGCACATTCGAATTCTTGTCTGACCACATCGTCACCAAAGGTTGGACTGATAACACCAAGCTAAAGCTTCGGACTGGTGGTAGCAGCGGCAAGATACCTCGAACACAGTGCCACAAGACTGAAGAGGGAGACGGCGTTTACTGGGACGTTTCCGCCTCGAGCAACCATCATGTTCGTCTTCCAGTCAAACATCGGTATCGATCACCAGTCATCTTTGAGTTCCACGTCAGTGGTAAGCGCGGAGCTGCTGCATACGCATCCATTTGGTTGCAAAACCTGGTCGACAATGAAGAAACTCCATTTGATATTCCTATCTGGAAGACCAAGAATGGTAATCGCCTGATACAGAATTATATCACGGAAGAGAATTTCAAGGCATTTACAGACAAGGGACTTGAAGATTTGGAAGAGGTGGGACGGTTGCAGTTCCGTGGCCGATTCAAGGCTGGCATGGATGAGTCTCATCGTGACTTTGTCGTGGACAACGATACTCGGGAGACTTACGAGACATTTGAAGCTTGCTTGACGGAGGGAGTTCGAGCACGCGTGGTCGAAGCAGAAGTGCCCGATGAGATTCAGGAATTGCATGAGAAATCACTGTCCGAAGGCCGTGATATTCTTCATCAACAAGTGGACGAAAAGGAGAGGAAGAAATGGCTCAGCAAGTCCGGTGAAGATTGGTCTGGGGCGTTTGGTCACGATCCTCGGGCTTATACCAACAAAAATTGGGAGAAGATTGCAGAGCCCGGAAAGGACCGTCCGCCGCATGATCCATACAACCCATCAAGTGATGATGATGACGATGATGAGGGGGCTGACAGCAGCTCATCTTCGGACCTTGGTATCACCGACTCCACGAATGCACCTGTAGGAGGGTTCGATAAGCATCGAAAGAGTCTCTCTTCATCTGGCGGCGGAAGGCCCAGCGGAGATACGATGTATACGACCGACACAAACGATACAACATTTTCACAGGGCTCGGGTAATTCAGTACAACCCGTGGCACCAAAGGATTCAAAGTTCGACAAGAGGGCAGGGAAACGTGCAGAAGACCGCAAACATCGTGGAGTGTCGCAATGGTTGCCTGCACGCAATGTCAAATTTGCCCAAAGCCAAGCCAAGATTGGTGTTTCGCGCATCAAGAAGAGATTCACTGGTAGCCTAGGTGGTCGCGAGCCTGGTGTTGAGACGGAAGCCAGCTGAAAAGATGGGTCAGAGATCAAGTAAAGCTTCATCTGCAACAGACAGAGCAGGGGCATCTCGCAATGGAGCAGGAAGCATCCGAGGTAGCAGCCAAGCAGGGAACGGTATGCCTTACCAGGGAATATGAAGAATTTGGGAATTTGATGGTCTCACAAAAATGGCATTATGATCGAACACGGATGACCAAGTACCAACAGTAATAAATTAAAATTATCAAGGGACAATCACAGGATTATAACACTGCGAAAAAAGGGATCTGATGCTGCGAGCACCCAGTACTGCGGGAGAGTAGCAGCGTTTGGAACGTGTTTGAAGTGTCCAGGAATGGGTGGATGGTCGTTGGCCCTAAGGGTTCGGAGGCCGGGTAGGATCACGATGAGACTGCGCCTAACGTTTGCCCAGGCGTTTCCCATTTCGGCTGGGCACAATCGTCGTTCAGGCCTCAAGGGCAACTCGCCCGGTGTTGGCCTTGTCGTCTGCGCGGCATGTGAGGCTGGGACTTTCACAGATTTGATTATTGCCTGGCCGGATCGGTCATCAAGGCGAGATACTGGTTGGTGATGGAGAGAACAAGAGAGAGCGCGGGTGAACTATTTTATTCAATTTTTATGCACACCTGTAGTCTGCAGTTATCAAATGGAGTGCGTGACCATTTGGAGCAAGCACTGGATTGCGTGTCCTTTGGAGATTTCACGGAGCTAGTCTGCAGAGCGATAGCCTAATCGCATCCGGTTGCCGCGAGTCCGAGCTTTCGAGTCCGTTACTTAGTATTGATTAGTGGGGACGATACAGACAATATGTCGATAGAATGATATTCGTGAGCATTGGCGTCCAGCGGGTAATGATGTCGTTGAAGGAAGTCTATTCACGAGGACCTCCGTTACGGCATGACGATTTCTCTTCACTTCTCCAAGACAATTGTTTGGAGTGATTTGAGTACCTACCCTAGGTACGGTGTATTTTGTAGGATATCATGCAGGAGACAGAGTGGCTTATGTATGAAATGCTCTGCGTGGTGCAGATCTCGTATAGAAATATGCTTGTGTTTGTGTCCGTTGACCGGGCTGGGGGGGTTATTTCTGGATACCTACAAGTAGGTAGGTAGTCCTTTGAGTGGTTGGGGCATTGGCCTGATGTCTGGTGGTGAATAATCGTCGGGGTTCGATGGCCTAGATTACGCTGTCCACGGGCGTTGGAGTGTCGGAGTTTAGGTGTAAGCTGCAGCCAAAAGTGCGGGAGCTTTCAAGAGGCTGGTTACATCTGAATCAGACGCCAAGAAGCAGCCAGGTGAAGCGACCCAAGAACTCAAGAGGGTGTGCCACGCGTTCAGGTTCGTCTTTTGCTGGCCACCACTCCCAACTGCAGCTGCAGCGGCTGCTCCACTGCCCCAAAGACTGCGCCTACCACCATAAACGAATCTTTGACCTTCAATCCCGTCCGTCCTCTACTCGTTATCCGTCATCACTCACCACTCACCACCACCACACTCCATTCCTTTAGCAACTTTCAAAGTACCCGAGTACTCCGTCTGGGCATTACACTCTCGCTTTTCGAACGTCTCTCCTCTTGTCTTCGAGTCTGGCGGCCGCCTCATCATCATCATTGTTCTCTCGCTCTCCATCTCCATCCCATCTCCTCCCCTACCAACCGCCGCCACCCTTAACTGTCGCTGTACATTCATCTGTACCCTTTGGTATAACCCTTTCGTTATCACCACTCTACTATTACTCTCGCTCTCATGCAATAACCGCAGCCCTAAGCCACTTAATCACCACCTATACAACCGAGCGCTATGCGCTTCTTCAGAGATGTTGCTGCCCTGGCCGCTTCATGTCTCTTCCTCACATCAACAGTCGATGCTCACTCGAAGGCAAGAAATCCTTTAAACTACATATCATTAATCGAAGACCCCCGGTTACATACACCTTCGCAAAGAGTACATGCTTTCTCAACCTTCGACATAACCTTCGACCTTCATAACCATGCCGAACATGTTCGATTAAGTCTAGAACCCAATCATGACATTATCCACGACGACTCATACACCGAATTTATCGACAAGGATGGCAATGTCAGGCATGCCGAAAAGATGCAGAGAGAGGATTACAAAGTCTACCAAGGTCAATCTTACGTCGTTGACGAGGATGGTATTTCTTCTCACGTTGGTTGGGCTCGCATTTTCGTATCCCGAGACGGCGTTCGCCCTCTTTTCGAAGGCGCCTTCACCATCATGGGCAACCATCATCACATTCAATTGAGTTCTGCTTACATGTCGACGAAGCATGAGTTTGATCCCGAACTAGAATTGGACGACGACGAGTACATGACTGTGTGGCGGGACAGCGATGTCAGCCAACAGGATCCTTATCGTCACCTCGATCTAAAACGTAGTCTCGCAAAGTCATGTGGTTCCGACCAGCTGGATTTCAACACCCATCCCGATCATCCTATCTACCGCGAGCTGAAGCTAAGGAGGGATGAAAGTACTTGGGGAACCATGTCTGTGGCGAATCTATTTGGCAAACGTCAAAACATCGACGGCGGTGGTGCCGGAAGCGGTAACTCTGCGGGTGTCAATCTTCGATCCACCATTGGGAGTACAGAGGGTTGTCCTACCACCCGCAAAGTTGCCCTTCTTGGTGTTGCCACGGATTGTTCCTATACTGCCAGTTTCAATTCTACTGACTCGGTCCGAGCCAACATCATCAAACAGGTCAACACCGCCTCCGATTTGTATCAGTCTACATTCAATATCACATTGGGGCTGAGAAATCTGACTGTCTCTGATGCCGAATGCCCCGGGACAGCCAGTAGCCAAACGCCGTGGAACGTGGGCTGCAATTCCGGCGCCGATATCACTCAACGGCTGAATCTCTTCTCTGCATGGCGAGGACAGCGGGGCGATGACAATGCGTACTGGTCACTATTCACCACTTGCAATACTGGAGCCGAAGTTGGTCTCGCCTGGCTTGGTCAATTGTGCAACCATGGAGCTACCAGTCAAACAGATACCAGTGGAAGCTCGCAAAGCGTGACGGGAGCCAATGTCATCGCCAAGACGTCCAGTGAGTGGCAAGTGTTTGCCCACGAAACGGGTCACACTTTTGGTGCAGTTCACGACTGTGATTCCAGCGCGTGTCAGGACTCCAATGTGGTCAACTCGGGACAATGCTGTCCTGCGAGCTCATCCACCTGTGATGCCAATGCTCAGTACATGATGAACCCCTTCTCGGCCGCTTCCATCTCCACCTTCTCACCATGCTCAGTCGGCAACATTTGCAGTGCCATTGGCCGGAACTCCGTTCAGTCGAGCTGTCTCACCGATAACAAAGGTGTCGTGACCATCAGTGGCAATCAGTGTGGTAACGGTATCGTCGAAGAAGGTGAAGATTGCGATTGTGGTGGTGAGCAAGGTTGCAGTGGAAATTCGTGCTGCAATCCAACCACCTGCAAATTCGCGGAAGGAGCCGTATGTGATTCAAGCAATGAGGGATGTTGTACATCGCAGTGCCAGTTTGCTGCTGCGGGTGCTGTATGCCGTGCAAGCACTGGTCAATGTGATCCACAGGAGACCTGCTCTGGCACTAATGGCAGTTGTCCAGCAGATACTACGGCTCCCGATGGCAACGATTGTGGCAGTGGCCTCAAGTGTGCAAGTGGACAATGCACAAGTCGAGATCTGCAGTGCAAGACCCTTATGGGCAGCTATACCGAAGGCAACGACACTTATGCCTGTAATAGTCAGACCTGCAGTCTAAGCTGTGCCAGCCCTGACTTTGGATCGAATGTGTGTTATAGCATGCAACAAAACTTTTTGGATGGCACCGTCTGTGGTGGTGGCGGCCACTGCGAAAATGGCGTGTGTCGTGGAAGCACCGTTGGCGGAGAAGTCAAGTCGTGGATTGATGACAACAAACCATTGGTCATTGGTCTGGCGAGTGCACTTGGAGGTCTACTGTTACTCGCCATTCTTAGTTGTATAGTTCGATCATGTCGACGGTCGAGACACAGAAAGACTGCTGGTATGGCGCCTCATCGAAACCGAAGAAATTTGGGTGGAAATCCACCTCGCGGCGGTTGGGATGGTCCAGCTATTCCACCTCAGATGCATGATCGTGGGTATGGAGGTAATTACGCACCCTCGCCAGTACAAATGCAACAAAACTCAGGCCCATGGTATCCTCCACAGCCTGCACCGAGCTACGGCGGTTGGCAACCAAGTGGGTATGGTGGACCTCCACGAGGTCAAAGTGTTAGATACGCTTGAAAGAGATATGGACATAATGTACAGCCTTCCCAACAGGGGGAAATGATGAACTATAAGTCTATGGCTTCAGCATTGGCATTGGCTATGGATAGGAAAGAATTGCATTCGGCAACGGCGTCAAAAGCATTTGGGTATTACTTTACTTGTCGTGGTGTTCACACTTTGTCTTTGATACGACCATATTTATGACAAGACGTCCAGATGAGTTGGAAAGGAAGAAGGACCGACGTATCGATGAGCCGATACCTATATATACACCGTTTTTATATATACAGTATACACCTCCTCTACTGGGAATGAATACAGCGAAGGAGATTAATCTTCTGCTTTGATTCATTTTTGGCTGTTGAAGTGATGTAGGCCCGCCTATTGAAAAGCGTCAGCCTCGGTCAGTTCTCCGCCACTTCAAGCAACTGTCAACCCCAATAATGCCCCTCACTGGCACTCCGAGCATCGGGAAGCATCGACCTTCAGTCCCTCCCAAGTCGTATCTTTTGAGGGTACGCAGGCACAGCACGCAATTTCATCATTTCCCATCTTTCCAATAAGCTGTCGGTGTTTGACTCAGTTCATTCTATCTCGCTCGTTTCCAATGGACAGGACTTCTCCATAGGCAATTGCGTATTGGTCATCCAGGATATTTTTTTCAATATTACTTTCCTCGCACTCTTGTCCTCTTCGTCCTCGATGACCATCTGCTTTCTAACGTCCCCCATTGTCGCCGCTACCCGCTATCCTGCGTCTCGCTCTGTCCTTACCTTTTCCTCTACTGCTGGGGGCGGCACTCTCTCACGGTTGATTCTGAACGCCACAGGGATCTCCACCCCAAGGCGCAATATCTCCTCGACCTCGAAGATGGCAGAGAAGTTCACACCGGCGCGCCGTGTCGCTGGCCAGAAACAGGATGTCTGGTCGATTGTCAATGAAGCCGCGGCCGCTAGTCCTGTCCAGCCGATAGTGAACATGGGACAAGGGTTTTTGTGAGTAAATATGATATTTGGATTCTTGGCTTGCTGGGTTGAGAGAAGAGGTTGCTGATCAAAGATTCTCATAGTGGATATAACCCTCCCAAGTTCATTCTCGATGCGGCCAAGAGTGCGCTCGACAGAGTTGAATGCAACCAATATTCCCCGACCAGAGGACGACCCAGACTGAAGAAGGCTATTGCCGACGCCTACTCGCCTTTCTTCGGGAGGACCCTTGATCCTGAAACTGAAGTCACCATTACAACTGGTGCGAACGAGGGTGAGTGCTACATTTGAAAAGAGATGGGTTGCCACAATTAAGAAATCATGGACTGACAAGAGAGCATTCCCATAGGCATGCTGAGCGCATTCATGGGCTTCATAGAGCCAGGCGACGAAGTCATTGTCTTCGAACCCTTCTTCGACCAATATATCAGCAATATTGAGATGCCAGGTGGTGTCATCAAATATGTTCCTCTGCAGCCTCCGAAAGACGGCGCCGAGAGAACATCCTCCGCCGCGAATTGGACCATCGATTTTGATGAGCTGGAAAAGGCATTCAGCTCCAAGACCAAGATGATCGTCCTCAACACCCCGCACAACCCAGTCGGCAAGGTCTTCAGTAGAGAGGAGCTGCAGCGGATAGGAGATTTGTGTCTGAAACATGAGGTGATCATTCTCTCCGATGAAGTCTACGATCGCTTGTACTACGTCCCATTCACCCGTATCGCTACGCTATCCCCTGAACTCGCCGAGATAACCCTCACAGTGGGTTCCGCAGGTAAGAATTTCTACGCGACAGGCTGGCGCGTAGGCTATTTGATCGGACCGCCACACCTCGTTAAATACGCCGCCGCAGCACACACCCGAATATGCTACTCAAGCGTTTCCCCGCTCCAGGAAGCCGCCGCCATCGGCTTCGAAGAAGCAGACAAAGTAGGTTTCTGGGCCGACGCGGTCGACGAGATGAAGGGCAAAATGGAACGTTTCTGCCAGGTCTTCGACGAGTTGGACATCCCCTATTCCGTTCCCGAGGGAGGCTACTTCGTGCTGGCGAATTTCAAGAAAGTCAAACTTCCCGCCGATTACAAGTTCCCCGACCATGTCAAGGACAGGCCGCGGGATTTCCAGATGGCTTGGTTCCTGATCATGGAGCTTGGGGTGGCGGCGATCCCGCCGACGGAGTTCTATACTGATGAGAAGGCGCACCTCGCGGAGGATTGGATGCGGTTTGCCGTGTGTAAAAATGATGATGTACTGGATGATGCGAAGAAGAGGTTGTTGGGTTTGAAGAATTATTTCTCTTCATGACCTTTTGGGGGTGAGACAGATATGGATTGGTGTCGAGCTTTGTGGAGTTCTGATGATAGAAATCGCTCGAAGCTTGAGTGATATGTCTAGAACTACATGGTATTTTGGCTTAAAGCTGTTATATCATTAGCGAACAATTTAAAGGATATGATACTTGTGATAGGGGTCTTCAGCCTCGCCGCGCACTTATTTAGAGCCTTTCTCCAAACCGCGACGCGTACGCGGGGATAATTTTCGTCATTAATCTACGTAGCAGGAACCTGCGATCAATTATTTGCTTGCACCCATTTGTCTACGCAGATCATCATCGTCCCTCTCGTTCACTCCCCGTTCCCTACGCACCTCATCTCCTCTTCCTTAGAAGCATGGAGATTTCAAGATGGTCAACTGTCCCATCTGCGGCCAGTCGGTGAAACAAGCCAACATCAACAACCACATCGATTCCAACTGTATCCAAGACATCGAACCACCGTCAACGCAGCAGGATAATAATCATAATGCCTCAACTTCATCCAATGGCACACCGGCAGCGTCGGTTGCCAGCTTCTTCAAGACCCCGGCGAAGCGCGATGCTGCGGCCATGACAACTCCCATCTTCTCCTCTTCTCAGCCAGTCGGTGGTTCGTCAATGAGGGATCGAAACAAGACGGGTCCTCAGCGGCAGCACGACGATGCTGCAGCGGTGAGTTGGATATCAAGACAGCTGCCATCGCAGCAGCATGCGGGAAAGAAGAGCGAGGGGTCACAACATGTAAATAGCGGCAGCCATGCTGATATCTATGGGGCGGCCGCTCCAACAACGCCACAACAGCGGTCGCAACCCCCGCCAGCGAAAAAGCTAAAGACGAACGGCGCATTCGAAAAAGCAGCACCACTGGCAGAGCGCATGCGCCCCAAGACGCTCGACGACGTATGCGGACAAGACCTCGTCGGGCCGGACGGTGTGCTCCGGGGTTTGATCGAGCAAGACCGAGTGCCGAGCATGATCCTCTGGGGCGGGGCGGGGACGGGCAAAACGACCATCGCGCGCGTCATCGCATCCATGGTCGGCAGCCGCTTCGTCGAGATCAACAGCACGAGCTCGGGCGTCGCCGAGTGCAAGAAAATATTCGCCGAGGCCAGAAACGAGTTGGCCCTTACATCCCGCAAGACCATCTTTTTCTGCGATGAAATCCACCGCTTCAGTAAGAGCCAGCAGGACGTCTTCCTGGGACCCGTCGAGGCGGGCCATGTCACGCTCATTGGTGCCACGACGGAAAACCCTAGCTTCAAGGTCCAGAATGCGCTGTTGAGTCGCTGTCGCACTTTTACGTTGCAGAAGTTGTCGGATGCGGATGTCTGTGAGATTCTCAAGCGGGCCGTCGAAGCCGAGAGGGACAACTACAATCCCTCGCCGCTGGTTAATGATGAGTTGATCGCCTACTTGGCCGCATTCGCCGATGGGGACGCACGCACCGCGCTGAATCTACTGGAGCTCGCGATGGAACTCTCCCAGCGGCCGAGCATGACGCTGGAATCACTCAAGCAAGCCCTCACCAAGACGCTCGTCTACGACCGCGCAGGCGACCAACACTACGACACAATCTCGGCGTTCCACAAGTCGGTGCGCGGCGGCGACGCCGACGCCGCTCTGTACTATCTCGCACGCATGATTCAGTCCGGGGAAGACGCGCTGTACATCGCACGGCGGATGATCGTCATCGCGTCCGAGGACGTCGGCCTCGCGGACAATACCCTACTACCGCTCGCGACGGCAGCATATACGGCAGCAGAGAAGGTCGGCATGCCCGAGGCGCGCATCAATCTGGCGCATGTCACAGTTGCGCTGTGCCGGGCAAAGAAGTCGACGAGAGCGTACCGCGGCCTGGGCAATGCGCTGCGTGCGCTGCAGGAGCCGGGCATCGCGGGTCTGCCGATCCCGGTTCACCTGAGGAATGCGCCGACTCGCTTGATGAAGGAGCTGGGCTATGGCCAGGAGTATAAGTATAATCCGGACTATGTTGATGGCGAAGTCAAGCAGGAATATTTGCCGGAGAAGTTGAGGGGCAGGACGTTTCTCGAGGATAGGGATCTCGGCGAGAAGGTTGATTTTGAGCTTTTGGCGGAGCGGGAGGCGAGGGATGAGGATGGGGAGAATGAAGAGTCGAGGGACTATGGGTGAAGGCTTGTTATATTTCGTGCAACGTGGTGGTACACTTTTGGATCTTCATGGATCAGGCAATATATCTCATCCAACGCGGAGGGGATTCTGCACTCATCGTGAATATACATTAATGACGACTGCATGTTTGCTACGGGACGCCTTGAATAAGACCAGACGTTATATTTCAGGAGGGCTTGAAGATATATTCCCGAGCATAGTTCACACATCTCTCCACGTATCAGATAGCCCACTTCCAGCACCAGTGCTTCCTCACGCAATCATGCACCGACCCGCACCAACCCAACGTGACAATTCAGAGCTGTTCGTCCTGCAAAATGACCTTGCCTTCCTTCGCAGAGACCCAACCCGAGAATGCTCGCCCCCTTCGTGCAAGTTGAAGTCTAGTCCCGGCAAAATCTCGTATGCGGCTGAAAGATAGTTTCGGCACAACTCCATTCCCCAGAATCTGGACTCACGTTGCCCCACCTTTTCTGGGGAGGGAAAGACAAGGCATCCAGGCCCTCGAATTGAAACTTTCCTGATCCCAGAATGAGAAGATGCTCGTCTTTCAGGCCTGAATGGGCTTGACTTTCTCGAGGCTTTCCAGCAATTCGCAGTTACAGTTTTCATATCTGGACGGCTTTGCTCGCAAGGGACCCTGGCCTTCATGGAAGCACGGCCCTTTGGGTTGCTCTCTATCGAGGGGATCGAAACGAGTGGTTCGCAGAGAGAAGATACCACGAGCATTTTCTAGGTGCTGGTAATGTACGGTCCATCCAGAGTCTCGGAACATACGTGGCTGGCAACGGTGATTGGACCGCCGTGTGCTGAAGAAACGAGCACAACCGTGATACTAGGCTTCCTCGAAATCATGCTGTGGACCAAACCCTGCTCGTTTAGGTTTGCACCTAACTGGTCTGGACCGGGCTACCCTTCAGTTATCAATACGAGGGCTTGTTACTGGGTGATGAAGAGCTCTCTGGCCCGAGGCGGCCGTTGTGAACAGATATATAGAGTTCGCTCCCACCTCTCGTGCTCGTCTTCTTCATACACCGTCATCCCGTAGCTTCGGAAAACGAAGAGACACCGACAGCATCGCTCAGAAGCACAGAAACCAATTCTGAAGCATCTCGCCGCCGAATCTCACTTGCACAAGTGGTGTGTTGCGACTGACTTCCCGACATCCATCTGCGTCTTTATAGCACCAATACCGAAGCCAACGAGCGACAGAAATTCAAGCCACGAGATAAACAATGCCAACCAAGGGGTCTTGCATGTGCGGTGATCTCAGTTATGAGTTCGACGGCGAGCCTCTCCTCAAGGTATGTTTAACGACTTACCATTCCCATATCACTTGCGGTATCAGTCCATGGAACTTCCTCTTTCGGTGATCAGCAGGGCGAAATCCAAGCACAGTGACTTACCAAAATGGCATTAACAGGGCATCTGTCACTGCCTGACATGCCGAAAACTCACCAGCAGTGCCTACACACCATGCATTCTGGTCCCAGATCCAGCATCAGCGACCGAGACACCACCTCCGGGCGTGTCATTTGAGCTCTCATCAAAGTCGAATTCGAAACCGCGTGAGACAACGACTGTCCATGAGACGGGCATGGAGATCAAGTTCTATGGCTGTTCCAAGTGTCCATCCACGCTGTACAAACGCGCTCCGGGCGGATTTCCAGGCGTGTTGATTGTGCTTGCAGGTACTTTGGATGGTGCTGAGGGTGAATTGAGGGCACAAGGCGGGTTGGAAGAAGGGTTTGGGTCCCCTCAGGTCGAGTTGTGGGTTAAGTATCGCCTGCCGTGGCTTCAGGAGGTGAAGAGCGCGAAACAATGTGAGGGTTTTGAGTAAAGCGGGACAGAGATGGGAATTACCAGGTCTATTTTGGTGTCGGCATTATTTGCACGCTTCTCGACAATAATATGCCATCAATAGCACCGTTCATGTTTAGCTGCTTTACGCATCATTGAACAGCATACTCATATGTGTGTGATCGGTCAGTACCGCGAGTGGCAGGGAGAAAAACAGCATATGTGATCTTCGAGTGCTGTCATGCCCGGAGTTGCATTGCTACCTAAGTTAAGGGGCTTGGAACCTTAAGCAATAACTGACCCGCCTGATGAGCCTCCTCAGCTTGTAATTACTGTTCCCACAGGAACCGCCTTTAGGCTGGGAGTGTCTCACGACGCTTTCCGAAACCCTAATTAAAGCTCGTCTTATAAGACCCCAAAAGCCTCTAATTACTGTGAACAGAAAAACACACAAACCTGTCCTGCGCCCATTGAAAAGAACTGGATATTGAGCGAATGGAACTCAAGTCCTACGAGTACGTACTTAGTCACTCGATCGACTAGGCTGTGGCTCGGGTTTCCCAGAACCCCGGAGATTCTGTGACAGACTATGACTCTTCAAGTGCTTCAAGATCCCATCGAATCAGTCAAGGCTATCTACCTAGTAAGCTAGGTACACAACGCCATATGTCCCCCAAGCATCATTGGACAGAACCGACCTGGCGCAGCAGCTTTGCCCCTCGCCTTAGCCTAAGGAGCCTGCGGCGGCCCTCTCCAAAGCAGCTGCTCTGATTGGACATTTCCAACACCATCCATTGTGATTTGGGAGACACTGAGACAACGTTGAAGAGGTTTTCAGCCTTATTGTCAAAACCCAACTTCCCAACGCTTCAAATTATTCTCGCACTTCATCAGTTCTTCAGCGCTGCAGAGCAAACTTCCCCAGGTCATTAAGGCGAAACATAGCCAAGAAGATCAAGCTAAGATACAGGAAGCCACACACCAGTTCGCCATGGTGACAGATCAAAGTGTCCGAGAGCATTCTCAAGACGGTTACAGCAAACGCGGTCGCACTGACGGCGCTGATAACAGCAGCGGAATCCAATATCGCGTTGAGTATTGTGATGCAACCAGTGGTAACATCATTCGAGATGAACATGTCAACAGTTTCGATTACAGTTCTCAACCCATTTCTATTGAGACAGTGTTCGTGCTCATCCGGAGATACAGCATCCGAGGAAGATCCGAAATGAGCACAGAGGACGAGTCCAAGAAGTTTCTAGCAGCTCGTACCTATGAAACACCTTCGTATCATATGCGGATAACGTCCATGGCGGTGGTACGTTTTAAGCTCATCTTAAACTGAAGCCCAGGGCCCTGAAGGAATCTCTTTCTATCAGGATAAGGGAACTAATCATATGCGAATGTAGGTAAATGCTTTGCGCTCAGTGGTACGCTACTATCCAGATCAAGATCTCTCGGGTGATGCAATAACGATCCGTCGCCCTTATCCAGTGCTGGTTCATCACTTCGACGAACTGATTGCCTTTCGGGACAGGTGTGCGTCTGTTCCTGTAGATCAAGAACTGTGTCAACGAGAAGAAAACGCTGCTGAGCACCTCACTCTACTACTAGACTATTTGGACAAGACTATCATGCCGGGAGTACGGCTCGAACAGGATCGAATTAGACGAGGATATACTACTTGGGAGTATCAGTGGCTACTGTTCAAACCAGGGACGACGGTTCTCGAACTAGTTGGGGATGATAACGATGAAGCTGAAAAACTGCGGCCAAAGGTGATTTACGGAGTAAGGGGGGGTACATTGAATGATCCACCCAGCAGCTGGAGCATCAGTAATTGGAATTTCGAGCTCGATGTCAACGTGGCTGTGCGAATGAGGCTTTGGACTACCCTCGATAAGTGGGACGGAGAGATGCCGCTCAAGTTCGGTCTCCTCGAGAATGAGGCTCCACGATCTGATCTGACGGCAAGAAAATTTGTGGAGAGTGGTAAGCTGTTGTGGAGTATGCTGAGAAAACAATGTCGGTACTATAACGGCAAGACTAGCAGGACACCATTCCGAAAGGTGAGTGGAGTGAACTTGAGATCAGTGTCTCTAAAATAGCTTTGATGCTGAGCGCACCACTAATGCTGTCCTAGGTTGAAAGTATGGTAATGTTGGATTGTTCAATGTACACCGAAATGGATGGCAGTGGCAATACAATCCATCCTATTTTCGAGGTCGATACATCAGACCTCGTCGCCCGGCGATCGGATTGTTCATGTAAGGTTTGTGAGCAGGAAAAAGTTGGACGTGATAGCACGTTTACTTCGGCGTTCGAAGGCTACGCTTTTCTTAGTCCATATACTCATGGGACTTTGCTCGATCATCAATACATGTTGTTGCCTGTCGAAATACCAGCTTTCGTCTTCAAAACGCGCGCGTGGGGTCCGACACCCTTCTAATGCCACTGATGTTGCGCATGCTGACAAAAAGAGCAGAGTGGCTCCGTGTTTCGAAATTTTCGGACCCGCAATTCGACGAGAGCATGATAAACAACTTGGTGATGGACGCTGATCGAGTTCGGAGCTTAAAGGCGCTGGCAAAAAGTTTTTCAAGGACCAACAAAGATGGAGAGGCCATGACGAAGGGACAATGGACCGCCGATTTTGTGAAGGGAAAAGGCCACGGCTTGATCTTCCTCCTCCATGGTAAGCCTGGCGTTGGTAAGACATGTACCGCTGGTGAGTGACCCTCATGACCCCTTTCAAGACTTCGGAGCTAAGTGAAGGAAGAATGCATTGCGGAGTTTACGAAGAGGCCACTCATGATCCTCACGAGTAGCGACATAGGCATCGAGCCATCAAAGATCGAGGAAACATTGACGAACAAATTCAAAATGGCCATGAGTTGGAACGCGGTTCTCTTGATCGATGAAGCGGATGTGTTTATGGAAAGGAGGTCATCTAGTGACCTCACCCGGAACAGTCTTGTCGCCGGTAAGCGCCATTTTGTGACTCTTATAGGGATCATTCCCTAGAAGATTGAAACGAATCTTACTGTCCTTACGCTCTCATCGAGAGGCAACTCATGGACAACGGAGTCTATCCGTACAGTGTGTGGCGTTTAGTTGACACCACCCCTGAAAACAGCTGGCTCCGATGATTGGCCCATGTGTCGCGGGAACACGCTCATTGGATCAGTTAACTGGTGAACATCGACAGAGGTTGTACAGACTAACTGCCAGACACTATGCCACTTTTCATGCACTCCTAACTTCTAAGTCCTCCAGTCCTCTAATGTTGTTCTGACGGAGAATGAGTACCGGCTAACACACTTCTCTCTACGCAACAGGGTTCCTGCGTGCACTCGAGTTCTATGATGGCATTCTCTTTCTCACGACTAACCGGGTCGGCAGTTTCGACGACGCATTCATTTCACGTATTCATGTCAAAATCTACTACCCTGACTTCACCAACGATCAACGCCAGCAAGTGTGGCAAACATTTGTTGACAAACTCAAGAAGGAGAGAGGAGATTACATGCGTCTCAGTATTGAAGCTAAGGAGTACATGAAGGGAAAGGTAATGGGAGGAATCAAGTGGAACGGAAGAGAGATCAGAAATGGTAAGTGCAGCGATCACCTAGCTTTAGATTGATCCCTTGCAGAACAAATGCAATACGACCGCAAGAGGACTTGTGCTGAGGCTCAGACAGCATTTCAAACAGCAGTGGCGCTTGCGGAATATGACTCGGAGAAGGACGAGGAGGGCAAGATTCTACTCACGGATGAGCACCTCCGAGCCGTGGTCGAGCTGTCCAAGGAGTTCAAAGACTACATTGACACACTGTACAGAGCAGACGAATCCAAACGTGCGGAAAGGAAGCATGAGCGTTTGGACGATTATCACCCAAAATAGGGGGTTCACCAGTGGAGACCATGCTTTTATGAGGCGAGGTATGAATGAATGAATTGCTTGGAGGCCCTCGAACTGCGATGGGGACGCCCCCCTATATACACCAAGCTATATAGTAGGGGCCCTCAAACTAGGGTCGTTGGGCACTAGGTGCACCTTAACACTCTACCAGCCTATTGCCCGAGTTCTCAGAACTTCACAGACAGAGAGAGGGGGGGGAGAGAGAGAGACGCCAGGATCGAGGGACTGGTCCCAGGTGACCAACAGAATGCTTTGATGAGACGTATACCTATGATTGAATGGAAACAAGGAGTTAGATTGAGGATGGTCACGGTAGGCGGGATAATGGTACGCAATTCATCATCAACTAATGCATCACGACTTTACGATCATGAAATGCTATTTGAATCATTGTTCCTCCCGCTTAAAACTCGGCGAATTTATCCACGACATGTACTCCTTCCTCCGATACAGTATAAAAGGCACCATGAGAGAAGTTGAATTCATGGTAGAGAGACTCAAGAGAAGGCTATGCCACTCCGGAGTTAGTGATGATAGTGCCGTTAGCATAACGATGGAATGGTCTAGCGAATATGACGTTAAGAGCATGCATTGGGAGCGGGATAGGATACAATGAGTCAGCAGGAGAATAGACTATCGACATGGGCAAGTTAGGGTTTAGAAGTCGATAGTTGGTATTTAATTTTTCCCCCTGCATGGGATCTTTTGGTTTGCTGGCGACAACGAGGTCTTGCCTTTTATTCCATCTCGTCTCGTTGACGCTTGGGTAATCATGAAACTAGGTAATTGGTAATGATGAAAAACGAAGCATTATAAAGGATGATTTCGTGCACTCCCGTGGGCCAGCCGGTTGGCCAAAGATTTCCTCACCAAGTCTCCGGATCCGCTCGCGGACGCCTTCTTCTCAGCCTCGTCCCGTAGGGCTGGTAAAACACCCGGACTCTCACCATACCACACCTTTGTGTATTTAGGTATAGATACTCTACAGAGACGAAAGATTGTTAGTAAATTGTTCACGAGAAATAGTTTTAGAGGATAGATTGAAGGAAAGACTCGCCTCAGTCATAGAGTTGACTTGAATACCCTTCTCGGCCATTTCCTCCTCGCACAAGAAATCCAATTGCATCCAGACGAGATGTCCACGGATCTTGTCCATTTCCTGCCTGATCAACTCTGCCGGCATATGCGGATCGTGGAGATGGCCCTGCTTGATTGTCTTGCGAGGCGCAAAGGAGTCGTAGTCCTTCCATGTCTTGATGTTGTTGTCGGGATCTGCACGGAACAAGTGGCGGTAGACCTCGGTGTTGGTTGTGGCCTGGGACGTCCATTTCTCCCAGACAGCGTCTCCGAGCGGGTCCGCAACGAAATCCCACTCTTCGCCTGAATATGAGTCGTTCGGGCAGACTGTGGGCGGCTGTGCGTTTGGATCGTTGCTGCCGTCGACTTCCTGTGCTTCAATTATGCCGAGATGTTCGCGCCACAGATGTCGGCGGAGTGTTGCGGCGTGGTGGCCTGCCTGGTAGGGCTTGCCGTCCATGGTGGACTCCAGGATCTTGGTGTCGGTCATGACGATGGAGAGTTCCGAGTCGTGTCGGCCCAATTGCGAGCGGTCGTTCAGGTTGCTGGACCCACAGATGACGGTCTTGTCGTCGGCGATCAGGAGTTTCGCGTGGATGTAGAGTTCCTCTTGCACGAAGTTCTCCTTCTCGTCTTCCGGCTCGCCTTCCCACGGTTCCTCACTGACCAGCCCGCCGCGCGCCATGGCGTCTTCAGCAATCGAATCAGTTGAAGTGATGGGGTCTTCGGCTCCGCCGTGTCGTCTGGAAGCTTCGAATTTGCGTTTTCGGTCGATGATTCGCTCGTGTTCGTCTTTGCTGACGGCCAGGTCTGCAGTTTCTTCGTCTGATGAGGAGTCACCTGCGTAGCCGTGAATGCCAGAGCCCATGATTTCTTCGGCTTCGGCGCGCTGGAGTTGTTGATACGTGACGCCGGATTCTTCTTCTTGTTTAATGAGCGCAGGGGTTTTGTTGATACGGTCATAGGCACGGAGGTTGAACACGAAGATGTACTGCGTCGGATCGAGGCCGGCCTTGGTGAGCTGACCCATGATGGAGTGTTCTCCACGATTGATGGACTTGAATTGATAGTCCATGATGGCACGCGTACCAATGGCGGCGTCTTCTCGAAGATCGCCTGCGAAGCCCGGGATGGCGGGAATGACAATGATGATGCGGAACTTTCGACCTTCCTCGTGGGCACGAATGCATGCGTTTACCATGGCGCGGCCAATGGTGTTGCTGACTGGGGCTTGCTGATCACCTGTGGCTGTGATGAAGAACTGGTTTTCGATGTAGACGTAATGTTGTGCCTTTTCAATCACTTCGATATAGGCATTTTGGATACTATGGTCAAGCAAAATGCCGCTGCTCCAATCATCGCTGCTGCGTACGATTTGAGCGTGGACTGAGCCTGCGTTCTGTAGTCCTTTCCCTTCCAGAGGGGTCAAAGGATGGTCGATGTAATTTCCTACCGGATGTTTGGGACGTTGTACAGCAATGAGATCTTCATCGGGATTAGAACCATCAGAGCGAGATCTTGTACTCAGGCAGAGATAGTCGACTCCCTCATCACGTTTGTACTTGTCCCGCTTAATGAAATTCCATCTCAAGACGAAATGCTCGGCGATGTCAATTACACACTCTCCGACCAGTCCCATGGCGACATCGTGCCATGGCATTCTTCCGTAGTCAGTCTTGTTCAACTCGTTGTTGGACCAATCTTCAACAGTTTGGAAATCCATGATTCTGGAAAATAGTCAGTGAGCTGTGGACGATTTGAGCCGGAAGATGGCTCTTACCTGTTGTTATTGAAGTCTTGTCCTGGAAAGATTTCGTTGACAACGCCAGATGGATGCACATCGGCGAGGATATGTTGCCTAATATCCCATCTACCATAACACAAATCCAGCCCTCCAATGAATGCGAGGTGATAGTCGACGACGATGAATTTCTCATGATGAGCCCAGTAGAAAGTCATGTCACCAAAGTTCTCGAAGACATTGTGATCTGGATGACGCATGATATGAATGTTGCCATGTCCAGGGGTACCCTCTGGGCAAAGCGCCCTCAAGGCGTGCTTGGTATGGGCAGAATTGCAAGTTAAAGCCTGTGAAACCTCCTTGTAGACAATAACATAAATCTGAACACCACGCTCGGCGGCGCGCTTGAGGATTTGATCAAGACGCCATTCTTGGTTGAAAAATGGCGGACGACGCAAGAACAACTCCGGGGATAGCCACCAGTCTTCGATATAAATGGTTTCTTTGGCAGACTCGAGTCCTACAGAGACGGCCCACATATAGTCACGGCCATCGACATACCATTTGATGTTGTTGGCGTCGCGCTCCGGGAAGAATGACTTGAAGCGATGACTATCACATATGGCGGTTCTTTTGCGGTCGGTAGCTTGCTCATGTTCCTCATCATGGCGATGATTGGTATTGACAATGTTGCCGAGCTTGCCTATTTTGTGCTTGAGATGAATGGCTTTGATCTTCGCATCGTGCAACTTGGTATCTAGTGATCCATCATCAAGTTGAAGTCTCAGGTTTATAATCTTGGAAGTCTATATTTACCCTTGAGTTTTTCACGAAGGGCCTTCATCTTGATTAGACAGAGCCTGTCAATCTACTGCGAAGTTGAGGTTCTGGAACAGACTGAGAGTGGCAGTGGGGGTTCTGATGCCAGCCGTGCGACCAGGCACGGGCAATTCCAGGCTTGAGAAAGAGATGGTAGAACAAGCCGACCACTGCAGAGTCATAGGAATGGCAACAGTTGAAAGTAAAGATCGAGAACCACTACAGCAATGTAAGTCGGTAGTCGTGGAAGTCTTACGACTACTACCAAGACATCTTGTTTTCACATGGAGTCCCCAGTGTCAGTGATTTCCGACAATACGTCATCTCCAACTCTAGCCTTGATTGTTACAGTTCCCCTCCATCTGCCACAACCAGTCCTCCCCTCGGCCCATCAAGCGAGCCAGCCATCTTCATCTATTGGTTAGCCAACACCATGATCTGGAGTAATGTTGCCAGTTTCGTCTCTGCAAGGCTGGATCTCGCGGAAATCGCTTTCCCCTGACAATCGGATTAAGTATTGGTTACGACACCCGGTATATTCCTACACTTTTGCGCACGCTTGCAACTTGGGCCGCTCCCCATAAGAAAAAGCCTCTTCGTTCACATCCATCCAAATGACCCATCAAATTCCCAGACCACATCATCCTGTGGTTTAATGCGAATGTCCTCAAAACTTGGAACTCTCCCAGATTCGTAGTACTCGACCAAGGCTTGCATGTCGGTTTCATCCATCGCATTGAAATCATCGGTGCTCCAACTATCGCAGACTCGGCTCATCCAACCCATTCGCTTATTGATGTCGCGTGTGCTCTTGCCTGGTGCAACTCGCCGAAGTTTCCTGCGAAGTTCGCCAACCTTCTTAATGCTCTCTCCTGTGCCCTCGGGAAGCATATCGCCAATCTGTCGACGAATGGCAGCAGCCAATCTTGGTCCATTGCCGTTTGTAGACACCATGATTTGCAACGGGCCATCGCGATGAACACTGCCAAAGTAAAAGTCGCACTCAGGAGGCACGTCGGCAATATTGGCGGGCACTTTTAGTTTCTTGCAATATTTCCAGATTCTTGATGAAGCATCAGGGTCATCGATGGCTGTCAGCACCATTGCGACATTCTTCTGTGGTTCGAGATCGAGAGGCAAAAACACTCGGTCGATGTGGGTGACCTGCTTGCGCTCAACTCTGTATGCCACCTCTTCGTTAAGCCCAGCACGAGGACAGACGACCGTGACTTTTGCATCGGCATTGAGGAGATTGACAATGCGTCCCGCAGCAACCTATCCGCTTGATTAGAAAACTCGTTATCTCTCAATCAATCGGCATTGGGCAGAACCAACCTCACCTCCGCCAATGACCAGAACCTCTTTATTCTTGATCTGCCATGCCAGTATCAAGGAACCTCCTCCTTGAATCTCGGGATGCTCGTTAGGCATTGTGGATGCATGTGGACGAGAAGAGCCATGGAATCACAACCCCGAGGAGATGGATAGATAGAAGGAATGCGCAGACAGAAGCGCAACCGGGGATTTGATCCAGGCGGCATTGATAAGATTAGATTGAGCATCATCACGTGAATCGACGATCATTGTTCCTGCCTCCAGATTCAAGGTTTTAAGTCCCGAAACACTAGCCCACTAGCCCCCCACTATCTGTTGCTAATGACTAACTAAACGACTATCTCAAAAAAGTCACCACAGCTTCACTTTGAAATTCCTCACCACTCCTGCTCCAGTTTGTTGTTTCACCCATTTCAAACTTCCTCAGGAAGTTATACCATCAACTTGGATTCTATCCCTGTTGAACTCTTCTTCCGTCTTACCCCTGTCCCACTGGTGCATTGTACTCGTTTCTCCACCTCCATCCTACCAGGAAAGGAGACCCAAAGATGAGAGGTGTCAAAATATTCTCAGGCAGGTCCCACCCCGTTCTGGCAAACAAAATTGCCGAACGGTTGGGAAGTGACCTGGGTAAGTGTGACCTCGGGAATTTCTCAAACGGGGAGATCAGTGTACAGATTGGTACCTCCATCAGAAATGAGGATGTCTTCATTGTTCAGAGCGGCAGCCCGCAAACTAATGATAGCGTTATGGAGATGCTCATCATGATCGCTGCTTGCAAAGGCGGTTCCGCAAAATCAATTACTGCCGTCATGCCGTATTTTCCCTATTCAAGACAGTCAAAAAAGAAGGCTCACCGTGGTGCCATTACTGCCAAAATGTTGGCCAATCTTCTGGTGGTGGCAGGTGTGGACCATATCGTCACCGTTGACCTTCATGCCTCTCAGATGCAGGGTTTCTTCGGCAAGCCTGTTGATAACCTGTACGCGGAACCAATCATTGCTCGATGGATCAAAAACAATGTTCCCCACTGGAGGGACGCAGTGGTGGTAAGCAAAAACGTCGGTGGTACGAAGAGGGTCACTTCCCTCGCAGACGCTCTCAAGCTTCGCTTCGCTCTTGTTTCTACAGATCGTTATCGTTCTCGACCGTCACACCATAACACGAACCTCATGGACAGTACTATATTTTTCGATGCGGTGGAACCACAAAACCTTAGCTACAGACAGCGGCTCAGTGATGGTGATGACGGCGAGGAGGCTGATACCGAATCTGAAAAGCCTAGTGACTGGGATCGGCGCCAGGATCTCGCTCACCGCGGCCGCCACCCTCTTATCAACGGTACCACTCGAGCTGGAAGACCAAAAGCAGTGACAATTGCCTCAAGCCCCTTGGTACAAACGACGCGCATGGAATCCTCATCCCCTCCCCCTTCCCCAACTCGACTGGGGCGTGCCGAGACTATCCCGAGTGCGCGACGGCCCTCAGAATACGAGGCCAACGAAGCCGCAAATGACGAAAGAGCACGCGACGTGATTGTTGGGCGATTAATACAAGGCCACCTGGTTGAAGATGACCACCCATCCCCTGGTATGTCTAGTATGTCAGCCTCTATCACCGGCTTTCCGGGTGATCGTAATTCGCAAGAGGCTGCAGAAAATACTGGCTACGACCCAATGACATCCTCTTTCGTATCCAATGCGTCATCCTTTCAACCTGAGCATGCCCTTGGTGGTACATTCGATGCCGCTGCAACCTCAGATGAAGAAGAGGAGGGTATCAAGAATCCCGACCTTGAACACACTATAACCCTGGTCGGCAATGTCAAGGACACAACCGTTCTCCTGATGGACGACATACTCGATCGATCAGGCTCCTGGATAGCGGCAGCAGAGACATGCGTCAAGATCGGCCATGCTAAAAAGGTCTACTGCATTGGTATTCATGCTCTTTTTGGTGAGGATGCTCTCGAAGAATTAGAGGACTGTGACTGCATAGACCATATTGTGGTGACAAATACCTTCCCCATATCCCCTGAACGCGTTCGTGCTTCGAAAAAGTTGATCATGATCGACTTGTCTGGTCTATTGGCGGAAGCCATTCGGCGAAACCACCACGGAGGTAAGGAAGTTACCCCATTTGATGGGCAGCTCGCTGATCTGAACAGAGGACATTTCGACCTTGTTCCAATTGCACGACTAGGGAGCTCTGCAACTGCCCAAAACGACTTCCGTTTCGACTTCACCGCCAGATATCGAGTCCGCGATATCTTCCACCCATTTTCGTGAGTATGAACCAATGTAGATCCCCAAATCGACCAACACGAACCTGGCAGTGGGAACTTCAACCCCAATGTGGTCATGAACCGAACTTTTACTGTCGTTACCACGAATATTCTCGGTCGTCACTTCGGCTTGATACCAGGGAGCTGAAGGAGCGCCTTGATTGGCACTTTGAAGCATTAGACCCCTTTTTCCAAAGTCGACTCATCCTGGTCAGTCTGCAGGCTAGCAATCTACTTAGCAGACAACAGCCTTGCGAAATTTCGGATCTCAAAGCCACCGATCCCGTGGATTGGTGCGCCTAAACCAGGACTCGTGGCTGTTTCAATGCGTCCAGCATGATCTAAGTTCCACAATCGTACACCCAGAAAGTTCATGCTACGAGCTTCCGACTCCCGATCGCATAGGAGATCGCTCTCCGAGATCTAAGTTTTCCTTGCATGTATGACAGCTCAGATCCTTTGGTACGATAGCGCTTGTCAAAGTCGCCAATCGACAGATTTACACGCCTGCTTCAATGTACTTGAAAAGCTTTGCCATGCTCAAAGGCTGAAAACTAATACGATACGTATGACATCAACTAATCACCAGCTTGAGGGGATGGTTTTCCAAGTATACGAAGTTCCAAAGTGTTGTTCATGCGTCATGCACGATCTTGAACATCCGATCCCGATCCCCTGCTAATATGGGCATCCCAGGCGAAGCCGGGCGCTAACGCCTCAAGTTTGAGATTTGGTTTGGGTGCGATTAGGGCACGGATCCGGCGGGGGGCCTCGCCAAAGCCCTCTTTTGAATTTTGGGGTCCGCTAGGCACTCGTATCGTGAGATCGTCACCCACTTTTTCCGGTGATCGCCCGGACCCATGTCTCTGGGACTACTTTGCATCAGACTGCCATTGCTAATTGTTTCACTCAAGTCACCTTGTAATCCCGAGCATCTTCAAAGATCTTTCGGGAATCGGGATGACAACGGCAATGACAGAACTTTGGGGAGCGTCCAATCTCTCTTTTTTTGCCCATTCATTCCGACGAGGCATAACACCGCCCCACCAAGCTATCCGACATCCCACGGATTGAGAGACAAGCTCTTGAAGCTGAACCCCACGCCAGTGATAGATTGACATGGATATGGTACTTGCTGTGTCTACAATGACACGGGGTTTGATATTCAAATATCCTTGTTTGGTCTGTAGATGAAATCTTCAAACGTCAACGAATTGCCCTGGTCAGTGGTCAAGCCTTGACCGCTTCCGATGCTCAGAACCTACCTCAAATGGTCCTAGAGCCCGGGTGGAAGGCAGTCCCGTTTAGCTTTACATCTCTAAACCTTTTTGATGCGCTTGACTCTACCGAGAGCAGAACAATCACAGCAGTCATGTCTGTCAACTTAGGGTCCACACAGATGATGACACAGCTGGCCCAAGAAACCACCAACATATCTGTTGTCCAATGGTGACCACCTTTTTTCACTCTTTTATTACCACATGGACGAACGCAAAGCAGTCAGTCACAGAAAACGACCTGCAAGCTTGGTGACTGGTCAATGCATCTGTGGTGCCCTCGTGCCATACTGAATTTGTGACGATATGATCACGTTGGAAATGCTTGCTATGACAAGAAGTCGACGAAAGGCTCCCTTCAGAGATTACACGTCCTCGAGTGTCTGACTCTCACGGTGTACCACACAGAGGGCGTCTCACGACTATTTAAGCTCGGTTCTCGAATCCTGCTTTCGATCTCCGACGACCACACCTTCTATACGATTTGGATTAGCCCTGAAGTTTACTCATCAAGACTAAGTCCAGACTTTCGCAATACCTAATCCTCAATATTCAACACAAAGCAACCCAAATCACCATGGCAAGATCCAATACCGACGTGAGTGCCCATTTGAATATCTATCAATATCCGCAACATCTCTGAGAACCTTTCCTTAATAGCCTGCAAACACTGGATTGAACCGCACTTGCGAGATCCGCAATTGCCCGGGACATATGATGGGGAAGATCACTGCTCCACCTGGTCCGCAATTCTGGATTTGTTCTGCCTGTAATACTAAGGTAACACAAGTTCACCAATGCGTCTATTGCAAATTCAACCTTTGCAGTCACTGCAGAAGCTATGGTGACAAGTGGCGGAATCTACCGAACGCAAGGTACACCCCATCATCTGGCTGACCTGTTGAACCACCTGGAAACGAGTGAGGTGAAGACCACCATGTAAGTCAGACTGTTACAGTGACTTTGGATATTGATCTGACATTTAAACCATAGCTGGTTGATATTGACTTCAGGGCCTTCAAGCGTCAGACACACTCCGTCTGCTGTGGCTCTTTTGGGCATGCTGCTTTAATCAACTTTCTCGACATTGCGCGGCGTCTGGGTGCCTACCAGGTGAGATCGGTTTGACTGGTTGATGGACACGCAATGAGAAACATTGCCATATCTTTATTTTGTTGGGCCACATTCTCCTATTCATGCCCTGCGATGGGACGAATGTTGGAATGAATGTGCACGGATGGTGGACCAATCTCGGAGTGACAGTAACATGAGCTCTTGTGCGTGCTCATGTGGACGTGTACAACTATACAAACGCGCTTACACTTTATGCTACATTCTCAACTGTCCCCAGTCAGTCAACGAGTGACCAAGACGGCCAGATCTTCTGAATCACACTTCTCTCCCACCGAATTCCTTTTGATCCAGTGAATACCACACTGGCCTGTCTCTTTACAGCCTTCTCACTCCTGGCGCTTCTTGGATCTCACTCCCTGCTCACCCATCTAATCGTTGAGATCTGAGTCCGGCACTAGTTCGAACTTTCTCACGCCCATGTCAGCAACCGGCACCAGGAAGCCTTCTACCCTTATGATTCTGCATGGTATGGTCTCCATAAGCAAAAACCCCCATGCACAATGTGACTTCCCTGGCTCACATGAATCCAAAAGCGGCAAGGTCTAAAGTATAACCTGCTATAGACGTCGCCGCGGACCGGAGATATCAGATTCTCCCGGACAAAGTGGGCGAACATCCACAGTTGTAGACGGCATCATGAAGAAACACACGACGGCGTAATATATTACTTCCATGTCCTACCGATGCCAAGTGACAATACCTATCTAGACTCTTCCAGGACGGGCACATACCATTCCCAATCCATAGGAAAGGTGACCCACAAGCCACAAGAAAGCTGAAATCGAATGTGTGAAACAGGATATGCGCCCATGTAGTCCATCCTTTCAGCCCTATTCGAGCGAACTGAAGGCACCCACGGAGCAGGACATCTCATCGCCGACTACTCATTCGAGCTGAGCACCAAGCTCCCCAAGCTAGAAGGGGCCAGAGCCTGTGATCTAGACCCCGCGGCTTGGTATAAAGTTGGAAGAAGCCAGCTGGATGCGGCAAAAGATGAGACCGTTTTGGACTTTTCGTGGACGTTACATTAGGATGCGACCATGCATGCATACATGCATGACGGTGCCCAGTGCGCCAACCCCCGAAGGAGTATGACCCGTTGGTGCTTGGGAAAGCAAGGTTTTCTTCTTCTCCTTGAGGAAGCAAACTACCGGTACCTAGGAGTAAAGAAGGCCTGGCTGACGAGCAAGTGAGGCTTTAGAATAGAGTTCGGAAGAAAAGGGGGGAAAGGAACGGGCTCCCGAGACCCCCGGTAAACTCTCGAGTGCCGGATGGTCGTCACTCGCCTGAGGCTCGCCGGGCCTAACGTGCGGGTTGTGCACTCCGGCGTGCGTGCCAGGTTTCAAAGCCTTGTCTTACATTGTACGTAAGGCTTGTTTCTTAAGCTTTATTAATGCGAGGTCAATTCTTCAGGCTAAGAATCGGTAGTGAGACAGGTAGGTAGAGTAGGCACCCAGGTACGCAACTACCTTCGCACATACCTACCTATCTAACTGACTTGAACATGTCAGACGACAAAAACATTTGGTTGGTATTATTCATTTGTTTAAGCGAGTATCATTCTTCCTATCTCCAGCGCATGCAACGAAACCGCCAGCCAGTCGGTCCGTCAAGTCAAGTTATTTAGCGATCTTCTTTAGCGAGCGGTGACTGGCACCCTTCCCCCGACTCGCTTCGCTTTCACCCCGAGCCATTCGTTATTCACTCTCGCGTCTCCGCCATGCACGCTTGATTAACTACCGAGTACGGCTTGCTGATTGACACCTGTCTGACCATGTAAGTTATTTAGTAGTCACCGAGTAGTCCCAGCTAACGACTCAGCTCCGTGTGAACCCGAGTGGGTAAGCTCATACTAGTTGTTGGGTGACAACCTTAGGCGTAGGGTGGAACCTGTATCTCTTCACCCTGGCGTTCTTTTCAGCCGTCGCTTCTGCCGACTGAAGGTTTTCTTCTCTGATAGCGTCCATTTACCTGTCATGATGAAACCTGATGCATCCGGTCTCCGTGGTATTTCGTCTATACAGAATGTTATTCGTGCGGGCTTTTTGGCAGTACCCTGCTAGTCATCTGCAGCCACCTCGTAGTCTCGCTGCTGGGAGAGACGAGTATGAGCGAGTGGCTGCGTTAAGTAGCCTGATAGGATTTCCCATGCGTCCGTTCGGTACCAGTAGCGAACCTTATTCTTTGTTCTTTCTCGCCAAAGGCTGGAGTAAGGCATTGAACTGACGTCGCCGATGGTCTGGATCACCAGTAGGCGAGAGGAATTGGTTTTGAGATGGTGTTCTGCATTATTAGAGTGATTCTGCACAGTCGTGGACTAGAGCTTTGACAGAGAAGGCTTTTCCCTCATGCCAGAGCATTCAAGTGTAGTTTGACTAACAAATCAAACTATAATGTTAGGCCTTGTAGAACAGGTCTTGAATCGCACCCGAAGATGGAGACATCCAGGCATTGCCTTGAAACAAACTCATGAAGAAAATTGACCGGGGATAGCAGTTGGGAAAGGAGGACAAGGCAAGCAAATGACATTGAACCTAAATATTTCGCTAATCGCAGCAACACCAACCCGTTGAGTTATGACAACTGATCCCATCCTCCGCTTGTCCACGATCAAAGAATGTACCTTCTATAATCCTTTGATGACTCATGAGAACTCCCGGCCTTCTAGCACGATGGGTGCAACAAGGGTCCAGCTGTAGATGGCGTAGCATACCCAAGCACTGGTGATTTTGATCCAGCTGGCCCAGTATGTGCGTCCAACTGGCGTGAAGTCGCTCTTATTTTCTGGGTCCATTTGTTGCGTGAACAACGTCGCAACCCAGCAAGTTGCGAAGAAGAATATTATATGAAAGAGAGTGTAGGTATACTGAGTCCCTTGTCGTTCATCATCCTTTCCCCCTTTGGTGTTGACTTCTTCCTCTTCATCTGAATCCTCGTCGAGAGCAGATGCAGGAAGAGCGCCACTTTCAACTGCAGCCCGCATAATCTCTCTACGAGATGCAGGTTGTTGAGTAACCAGACCATGTTCATTCTCGTCTTGATTTAATTGAGCATAGTTGTTGCTGGAATGATTTGTTCCAATGGCAAAGCCCTGAGTGGCAGCACGAGTGGTGGTGTAGGCAATCGTGAGAATGGTGACAACAGCACCGAGGACAATGGTTGTGGTTCTTGCACCTCGTGCGCGAACAAGAGGATTGCAATTCTTATCATCAGGTTCCATGCACACGGCAGAGAAAGTGAGGTAAGTGCAGTAGACAGCAACCATGGCGGATTGGGCTAGACCAGCTTTGGGATTGGCTTCTTGAATGTTTGGTTGAACGCTGAGGACGGTGATGATACATAGGAAGATCAAGTTGATAGTAATGGCTGAAATATTCATGCTGCAACCACTTTTTGCGAAATAGATGTACATGACGATGGTCATGGCAAAGGCACCAATATACATGCCAAGACTTGACCCCATAAGTAAGACTTGCCAGAGGCGGTAATTTGGACCATCTCCTTGATCAATCTTGTCTTGACAGAGTTCGGCCCACGTGTGAGCCAAGTCAACGAGGAGAATCAGCCCGAGAAGAACGAAGAGAATGGCGCCAGAGTAAGCAATCCAATTCCCCCAAAAGAGAAAGAAGCCTTCGGGAATGAAGAAGCTGAGTACGATGAAGGCAAGCCAAGCAATGATCTTAGGACCCCAGAAACCATTTTGAAGACCGGCTCTTGTGTCTTTTGTGCTCTTGACGCCAAGGAGGAGGACGGAAAGGATGAGATGGAAGAGGCCAAGGGCGAAGTTGATACGTTGAACAGCGAAATATCCATAGCAGTTGGAAGAGCCACATTTGAAAGTCATGTAGTCCAATGTCAGATGTTCCAGTTTCCGAATAGCCCAAGGAGTGAGCATGACCCATGCAACGATACTGTTAACCAAAAGAATGACAGCATATGCGATTCTGGTAGCGATGGAGGAGCGGAACTTGGACATGCCACATGGACCACACAGCATGGAACAAGAAGCGGCTCCGCAACATGATGCCCCGACTGACCAGAGTGTAGCAGCTGAAGGGAGGAGAAGAGCAGGAACAGCGAGGATGGCGCCCATGTTGAAGTGAGTCGACCTCTAGGTCGGAGGTGGTGGGTAGAACCCGACGCAAGCAGGATTTGATGATCCTGTGAGAGAAGAATTGAGTATATTGATTGAGGGCTAAAGGATTTGAATGTTGTGATGATGTTTCGATTGCGAGATTCGTGGTGAGCCTGCGTGGTTCGTTGTCGGATGGAGGCGCAGGATGAGGTTGTCAAGGAAGGAACTGTAGCGGCGGCGAATGGGTGGCAGGAAGCACCGAGGATGGAACCAGGCGGCAGTGACGGCACGAGAAGACCCAAGGTGGCAAGTTAGCCGAGGTGGGCAGTTGCCGGTGCTCGCAAGTGGGAGACCGTATCAGCGCTTCTCCGTAATGGCATTAGAAACACGCCAACCATTTATCCGCGGGCGTGGGATCCCAAGTCCCGGCTGCGTCGTGCCTCAACATCTCCCAAATCTTGAACGATAATGTCCGTCTGTTGATGTTCAATGGCCGAAACAAACCATTGCGTGCTTGCACATCCTCCGCTTCTTGTTTTGGGTCTTTAAACAATCACAACCTTCATGACTCGGTGATCAGCAATCATTAGCTGAAGTTCGGCATGGACTGACACCTTCACTCTTCACTGCACCAACTGCGACTGCGAACATGTTACTAGATTCCGAGCCAAAGAAGGCTCGGATCCTGACCGTTGTCTTCTGTACCATCACCTCGCTGGCCTGCGGTACCAATGTGAGTCCCTCCTCAGCCATCTGATCGATCTTGATCTCAATCTCACATGAATCGTATAGTATGGCTACTCCGTATGGGGCCCGAGTTTCGCTACCCATCTGAAACTCTCTGCCACCGACAGCAACCTTATCGTACGAGTCACCCATCAAGAGAAGAACCTCACGGACGTCAAGGACTGACTGAAATTATAGGGCACCTTTGGAAATCTGGGCATGTATGCCACCGGAATACCAGCAGGGATGATGGTAGATGCCAAAACCCCACGTTGGGGAATAGTTCTGGGAATGTTCTTTTTTGCGATTGGCTATTATCCCATCGCTCGAGGTATGCATAGAACATTCTTCTGCATTTATTGCACTGGCTGAGCGTTTGTAGTATACCTGGCAGGACCAGGCGCATACAGTGTGGCATCAATATGCTTGTTTTCCTTCTTTACAGGTGCTGGAAGTTGTTCAGCATTTACTGCCTCCATCAAAGCCGGTAGGGTTGGCATCCGCGACATCTAAGACCGATCACTGACTCTGAGCAGCCGCCTTGAGTTTTCCTGACTCCCGAGGAACCGCTACAGCCTTTCCTCTTGCAGCCTTTGGACTAAGCGCATTGTTTTTTGCCGGCATTGCTCTCCTACTCCCTGCCGGAGTCTATAGTTTCCTGGTTCTTCTGACCGTTGGCACTGTTATCCTACCCTTGTTATCTCTCCCGTTCGTTCGTATTCCAAGCCATGATCCCTATGAGCACCTCCCACAGAACGAAAATCAGGCACTTCATCGGACAAGCTCATCTATCAGCCGTCCAGAACGTCATTCTCAATCTGAAGAACCAGGTGCGCTCAATAATTCTCACAATTCAAAATCCCCAACGAACGGCAACAACCTAGAATCGTCCATACCCCACCCTATCACCGATATTCCCAACACCGAAAACTCCTCCCTACTGTCTGACTCATCAGAAGACTTTGAAGATCTCGAGAACTCCAGGCATTCCCATTCTGACAAAAACACCGAATCTCCTCATTTAGACATTCGTGGGCTGGCCCTTCTCCCCCTGCCCGAATTTTGGCAATTGTTCTGTATGCTCGGACTATTGACTGGCATTGGCCTCATGACAATCAAGTGAGTTTGGCGACCTTCACTCTGAGCCACAGCGAAGATTCATGAGCTAACTTTTATTCAAGTAACATTGGGAACGATGCGCAAGCACTCTGGAAGCACTACGATCCATCCACCACAGTTGAATACATTGAAAAGCGCCAAGCAATGCATGTCTCGATCCTATCGTTCTTCTCATTTTCTGGCCGTCTCCTCTCGGGTATTGGGAGTGATATACTGGTTTCTAAACTCGGCCGTTCACGCTTCTGGTGTCTCTTTGCATCTGCTGTCATCTTCTGCTTGGCCCAAATTACAGGGACAGCGGTCCAGAACCCACACTTCCTGGTCCTGGTGTCTGGACTGACAGGCCTTGCCTATGGCATCCTCTTTGGCGTATATCCAAGCCTGGTTGCGCATTGTTTTGGTGTGCACGGGCTGAGTCAGAACTGGGGCACCATGACACTTGCGCCAGTTATCTCCGGCAACATCTTCAACCTCTTGTACGGGTCGATTTACGACTCGCACAGCGAGGTTGACAGTGAGAACGGTCACATGGAATGTCTCGTGGGCCGCACATGCTACGCCCAGGCATATTGGGTTGCACTGGGTGCAGCCATCCTTGGAGTGGGCACCTGTCTATGGACCATCCGCCACGAGTACGTGGTGCACAGTCGACAGAACCCCAAACTTGAGCGAGGACGAGGATTCAGCAGGAGGTCTGACCATGAAAGACTCGCGTGAAAGAGTAAATATTTTAATTTGCCATATCGGCCATAGAGCTCACATAACCAAGTATGTGAGATATCCAGGCATTTCATGGTTCTTACGCGAGGGCAAAATGCGCCGTTGTCCTCGATATAGACGTTAGACTGTCTGCTCAATCTCTGTTATTGAGGCATTAGAAATGGAAGAGATTTGTAGAAAACTACGACTTTGTATGTTCACAGAGCAATAAATCGAATGAAACTTTTTCCACGCAAAGCATTGTCGCTCACAGTGATCTGCGAGTCTGGCTGACAGTAGCTCACGTCAAGCCAATGAATTATGGATTCAGGTGTGATGGTGATCACGATCTATGTGGGCGGCAGCCTGCCGCTGGAATCCATCGCAATTCGATCTTTTCCTCGCAGATGCAGAGGGGCACACGTTATTCACCTATAGAGATGTAGAGTAATACCCAGAGGTTGCAAGCCTGTTCAACCGGCAATCCGGCGCAACGCCCTGGTGTGCTGGAGAATTCCACGCTCGAAAAGATCAGAGAGGAAAATGAAGAGCCCCATCATCTCTATCATATCAGGCCTGTTTTCTGTCTCTCAGTTTCCTGGCCACCTGTCCCTGAACGCCGAGCCTTTTGTCCTGCCATGCCATGATAGCGAGTCGATAATGGTCTAACAGTAGTAGTACAAAGGGGGGAAATGATGATCTAATTGATGCGCAGTGCGGTCGCCGCTCCTGTTTCACAACTTGTCTGCGGGTGCGGGTGCAGATACATCCTCCTCAGCCTCGACGGGAGGACTGGTGACCAGGTTACTCGGGACGGCGGGGGTGTTGGCCGGGGCGGAGCTCATCTCGCTGACCTGTTTCTCCAGGTCCCGGATCCTCAGGCGCAACATCTGGTTCTCCCTGGTCAGGTTGGCGGTCTCGGCTTGGTAGAATGCGCTTTCGTCGCGGATGCTGTTTCTTCTTCCAATGGTTTCGATGGGCGAGGGCGGCGAGATGAATTCAGAGTTGCGAGATTCGGCGCTGTCGGCCAGGCCGCGGAGGAGTGGGGAGCGGCTGGCGCTGGAGTGGCCGTGGGTGTGGGAAACTCGTCGGGGCACAGGGGAGCCGGCCGGGATGGCGGGGTGGATGGACGGGAACGAAAGTGAGCGTTCAGAAGCGGGTGTTAGATCGTCTAGGATGGCGGTGTTATTGCTAATTGTGCTGGATCCTTGTTGGGAAGGTCGTCTTGATTGTTCGGATTGGGTGCGAACGGCGTCGAGTTGGAGTTGTTGTTCCCGAATCATTTGTAGCATTCGGTTGACCTGTGCCTCTTGTTCTTGCTCCAAGGCATTGTGGACGTCTCCTAGACTGGGTTGTCGTTGGTGGTGGTGGGGATCGCCAGTCGAGATGGTTGGTCTGCCTGCTATGGTGGTGGGACTGGCGGAGGAAAAGCTGTGAGGAAGTCTCTCGGTGAAGTTGGCTCGTGGGTCACTGCTGGAGAGCTCGCCAGGGCTTGGAATTGCCGGGTCATTGAGGTTGAGGTTCATGGCGACCTGTGAGCGTCGACGGTCACTAGGCATTCGACCCAGCCTTGGAGATCCTCGATTGCTCAAGGAGGATCTTCGAGACTCATTGGCGGCATTGATACTGGCAGCGGAGGCAAGGGATATGGAGGTACTTCGAGGGGAAGGGGTCTCTTGTCGATTGGGCGGAGAGGTGATTGTATGCATGGATCTGGGTTGCATGGGAGAGGAGGACATTGATCTCGATGGTGGTAAAGAGTTGAGGTCTGGAGGGGCCATGGTGACCTAGAAATTCCGACGCAGATGGGTTAAGTACTTGTCAGTGTGTGTGTCAGGGCCGATCCAGGCTGGTGACGGGGTTCGTGAGCGGATAATACGGATACTGGTATTAGTAGAGTTGAATCCGAGGTGAGAGGCAAAGTCAAGGCTGTGACAGAGTGGGAGAGAGCAAAGAAGGGCACATGATGTGAAGGGAGGAAGCTTGGCGGGCATGCAGGGAGGGACAGAGCAGGTTCTACGGTGGAGAGTACAATTGACTCGTGTTCACGTTGCTGCATAAGCTGATGATGTTGAGCGATAATGAGCCACAATCTCCATTCATCTGTGTGGGATGAGAAACAATCAATTATTGTCAAGTCTGAAGTTCGGGTTGTCGTTCGGGTTCTACGAGGTACAGTGAGGCGATTTGGAGAGCCTTTGGCCAAACCCTACGTCAGAGAGCCTATGAGTAAGAAAGGCCAGGCTGAGGCCAAGGGGGCCTGCGGGGAAGACGGCTTGAGTCGTTTTGCGGCGAAGCAGACAGACGCCGCCGCCGGATGACGTCGGGAGAATTCTCTTCTAAATGGCGACCATTCCCCTCCCTGGAACTTCCACGACCGCCCAACCTCGTAGTCAGGACAAGAAAAATCAGCAAGGCTCCAGATCATTGAGAAACTTGATAATCGCATCCGCCATTTGCTGTAATCCAGGGTCCTCCAAGGGGTAGTGCCCGGCTTGCTCAAGCTCAACAATTTTCACCTTGACCTTCTTGATCCTCGACAGAAACATCTCACTGACCCAGCGAGGTGTCCACGTATCTTCTGCAGGCTGTGTGAGAAGGATCGGGCAGATATCGAATGCTTCTGGCTCCAATGCTGGCTTGTATGAGGCATGGGTCCCCAGAAACCGCATCGTGTTCCACCGACTGGCGGACGATGCGTCCAGCATCATGATGTTGAGGGCATCCTCATCGTTGACAAGCTTGTTCATTTTGCTTGCTAACCACATGGGCATTGGTTGATTTCGCAGCAGAGGAATGTTCTTCTGGATTTGAGCCACCGGCATGCCTACACGGCTCATGAACAAGTTCCGAGAAACCTGATCGCGCACTTTCCAGTTGCGCATCTCGATAAATGTCATGCCCACAACCCCTTTGACCTTCCCATTGAGCGCGGCCACATGGTAAGCTTCCATACCGCCCGCACTCAAACCATATAGAGCAATCGGACGTGGATCATTTTCCAGCTCGTGATTGACAAAGTCATTTCCGATATTCACCCAATCATCGTAGGTGTGGACTGAAGCTGGATTGATTTTGGTCCGCCCATATCCCGGCATGTCAATGGCGACCAATTCAAACCCGGCTTCATGCAAAGGTCTTCCCAGGATCATGGACATTTGCCGACCATTGGTTCCGACACCATGAAAGAGTATCAGTCGCACTTTCGCTTGGGCATTGGGCCAGCGATCAAGATGGATGACATGGCCACGGTGCTCCCACCAGTCGTCTTCTGGGTGATGTTCCGCGGTGAAATGAAGACGTTCGGGCAAGAAACTTTGTACCGCCTTCCAGAGGCCCTTATCACCGTATCCAGTCATTCTGGATTCTCAAATTTCTGTGCGAGGTAACTGATCTCAGAAGTGAGAGCAGTCACTGAACTTGCAGCGGTCCTTCCCCTTTTTATGAAGTCCTTAGCTAAACGTCGCCAAGGCTGTAGAGCGGCTTCAGTGATCCTACTTGGATACGGCATCATGTGTGCTGGATTATTACTGGTAACACTGCGATCGGTTGCATATATAAGTGGTGTCAATTACCATATACAAGTGCGGAGGAGACGCGCCTATGCTGGCTAAAATGGTGTGAATACTAGATGTAGACTAGAGCGAATGGTCTTTCTCGTGCCATTCGACATGGTGAAAGGAGGGGTTATGTACAATCCTGGGAAGGCGTTCATCATCTTCCCATACCCGTATTCAACTCGATAATCCTTCCATGTCCGCCAGCATTCTAGAAGAATTGTTGTAGACCAGTCTGGAATTCCCGTTGACCGGTCAGAAGCTGAGGGTGACGTACGTTGAGGTGTCACGTCATCATGTGACTACGGAGAGGGACAAGACAGGCAGCTGCGATGGAGTTGGAGGCCACCTGCCATGAGCAACAAACGTGGCCAAGGCAGGTACACAGTCGCTTGCAGTCAGAGGCACCCTCACGTCGAGGTCAAGTTCAATGTTATTGTTTATGTTCCCGATCCGTTCATCTACAAACCATCCCACGATCTAAAACACGGTTTGCACCTTTCACAAACCAATCAACACTTTGACCTCCCAAACACCACATCACGTCAATATCGGCATCGGCACCTGAAAACTGCTAAGCCTAATCCGTTGTCGGGTGGACCAAACCGCCTCTGTTGACACCTGAATCTGGACGAGCTTCTCCCGCTTCATCTCCCCAGCCTCTCCCATTTCATCTCATCAGCCCGCTGCACTTCCATTGCCATATCCCAGCCACCTTCGTCTTCTATCCACAGCCCACCATCATACTTTGTCGTCGCGCCATCATTGTCGTCGGTTCTCATCCAACAAACTCATCGTCGCTCTACATCCATCTTGTTGCCGATCAACCCACCACCATGTCTTCAGGCTTGCCCTACCTGCAAAAGCTGCGCAAATCGGATTTGACCGAGTTCGCTGAAACTTCGAAATTGTCCGAGTAAGTCACGCCATAACACGGTCGCGAATCCATCGATTCCGTTGCTGACATGTATGCGACCGCAGCTATGCTGGTTTGAAAAAGGCCGAACTCGAAGTCGCTCTGGACGAGCATTTGCGCGCCAACTCCACCACTTATGGCCGAGATCCTTCCTTGAGCGAATACTACAAGCGCCTGGCAAGCAGTTCCAGGTCGCCCACTAAAAGAATCGCTGAAAAGGTCTCGGACCTCGTCAAATCTGATGATGATGCTCTCGTTCCGGTCAAGAAGTCACGGCGCAAGACCACGACCGCTCCTGTCGAAGAGACGTAAGCACCACGTACCAACCATGAGTCGCTTTGACCAATGCTAATCTGAACCTTTAGCACCGACACTGACTCACCAGCAACTGCTCTCATCAAATCTCCTGCCAAAGAGCTTGCGCGCCGATCGTCCATGTTGACTTCTCAAATCCCCATGCCACCATCACCAGCTGTCGTTACAGACGCCATCGAACAACAGACGCGTCGCATTCGCACGTCCGTCTCTCATGCGTATGACCGAACTCATATTCATCAATATGCTGATTCTACACGTGATTACCTCTCCTCACCTTTGACGGTCACCATCCTGGCAATTTTGCTCGAAGCATGGGGTTTGCGTGGTCAGATTCTGCCCAACAAAATCCTCACCGAAGTTCCTGCTCTCCCATATCTGACCACCCATCCCACACCAGTCAAGGTTCCAGATCTATTCCTCTTGCTTGACTCCAAATTCTGGGCCCCATTTTCGTTGTGGTTCCTGGTATCTTTGATAGCACCAGCTGTCATCTCTTACTTCATCAACTTGCCTTTGAAGGCCCATCCAAGCCATACTTACTCGACGAGACGTGCGACTCTGGAGGCTAATTCCCAGTTGCAATTCGACCCTTTCGTGTTCAGCCTTGCCAAAGGACTACTGGCATACTTGGTCTATGCTCAACACTTCACCCTAGGAGGGCTGTACACCCACCACAGCATTACTACCGTGAATGAGAGTATCTTGGGTGGTTACACCAACATTCTCATCAGCTCTGGTCTTGGAGCCGCCGTGAGCTTATATGAGGCTGTGTTGAAGAAGTAAAGGCCTTGCGATGGAGATTTACGCCTGAAGTGAAGTCCTCGGGCAATGAGAGTCTTAGGAGTTGTCAAATGCTGGACGGTTGTGGAGCTGCTGTGGCTACGTTCGATACGTAGATGAGAACATTGTACACTTTTGCAATCATGCCAAGTGCATGGCATAGGAGAGGCTATTTGGGACTCGGAAACTGGATCAGGATGAAACGAGTTAATGAAGATTGTTTTGTTTTTGATGCGTCGCGTGGTCTGGATTGGGATATCATTCGCATCGCTGCTTGGATGGCCATTTTGGCTCCCTCTCACATGGCACAGTCGCAACTATTCTTCCTCTTACAATTCGCTTGGGTTATTGATTTGTTGCCTCCTCCCCCTTCTTTTCCCTTTGCTACCGACTATGGATTGATACCCACGGCGCATGGCGCGATGCATCAGGGTTTTCAGATAGGACATACAAACAGTCTCAATTGAAATGGCAACATGGAGCTATGATGGAAGTTGTTGTTGTTAGTATGCACAATCGCAACCGCGAATGTAGGTACCTGGAAATGTCCAGCACAGACAAGACAAGATAGAGTAATTAATGCGTGTCATTCTGATACTAGTAAGCGGAACTTTGATGGAAAACAAATGCCTTGTTTGAGGTTCCTTACCTAGGTATCTTCTGGTCCCTTGTTGTCCAGGCCCTTCGGGCAGGAAGTACGAAGTACGGACGCCTGACGCCTAGACATCGGTGGCTCTTGACAACGGGGAGCTCCAGGCAATACGAGCACACCATTAGCCATGTACCCCACATTACACTAAGCCCGTTTCGTTTCACAAACATCACTGCATTCTGGCAGAGCTAAGCTAATGCTGACTGACCTCTTTCAACCGTCTCCTTGCCATCAAATCATTCAGCTTCCATCAATTGTTTTCATCACCGATCAGGCACACTTATCGTTGACTGCAAAGATGGGGCCCTGGAAGTCGCTGGACGACACCTCCGTGCCGGAGAAAGTGTCCTTGCTCATCGAGGAGCAGGCAGCAGTACCTGTCCCTCCCAAACGATGGACTCGTGAACCACGAGCGATCGGTCGAATGATCTTCCTCGCTGCTTCCTTGATGATCCTTTCTCCCATATTTTTCATCTATCCCGCCAGCGGTCGCCAATTTCTGTCTCGAAAACCCATTGTCGCCACAAGTAGGTATTTCAGCTTCCCACAGGATTGTGCGGCCGGTTAATGAGACTCCGTGGCTTTTAGAAGAACCAGGCATTTGCCTTACTCCTGAATGTGTCCATGCTGCTTCCGAGTTCTTGTACAATCTTTCTCCAAATTACAAGAATATTGATGCATGCACCGACTTTGAGGAGCTCGTTTGTGGCGGTTGGAGGGAGCGTCACGACCTTCGGTAAGCGGACCAGCTCCCTCGTCCTCTTCTCTACCGTTAACCAGCCGCCAGACCGGACCAAGGCGACTCTTTTACGGGGACTATCATGTCGGAAACATCTCAAACCTTGCTGCGTCACATTCTTGAAGCTTCCTATCCCGGAGCGGCCGCCGTGAGTATAGCAATTGCCCTAATGGTTTGTTGATATTGACAAGTTCCAGCATTCCCCTTCAGAGGACAAGGAGAACTTTGAAAAGCTCAAAGCCACCTACGACGCTTGCTTAGACGAAGATACCATCAAGAAGGTCGGACTGGCGCCACTCGCTGAGCTTCTCGACACCATCAACCATCTTTACCCAGCTTCCTGTTTCCGGTCCCCACGAAGCACAGATGGGTTATCCGAGACTGTCATCTATCTCGCAAAGCTTGGAGTCACAGCATTGGCAGCAGCTGGAACTGGTGCTGATGATCGAGATCCCGATCAGGTGGTCGTGTCCGTCTCGGCTCCCTATCGAATTGGCTTGCCCGCCAAAGAACTCTATTCCGATGATAAAGTGGTCGAGAAGTACAAGACAGTGATCCATGATGTCTTTGCAGCTCTCTATCCAGAAAAACTCGATCATCTCAAGGATAGTACTTCCGCTCTAGTAGAGTTTGAGATAAAGCTGGCGGCCGCTTCACCTGATGCTGAGGATAGAGATGACGTGACCGTGAGTGCAACATCTCCAGAATCATCGTCTAAGGCTGACAGTTTGCGATCAGAAATACTACAATCCATTGTCTCTGAAGGATACAGATGCTCTCACCCCTGACCTTCACATCTCCAAGCTCATTGAGAGCCTATCGCCTTCAGATGTCAAGACTGAAAGAGTGATCGTAATGGCACCACAATATCTTAAGGACCTCAACAAGCTTATCTCAGATACCCCGAAGAGTGTTTTCAACACTTACTTTCAATGGAAAGCTATTCAGGCATTCTACTCATACGTGGAAGCCGACGCCATCACGCCGTATAGGCGCTTTGTCAATGAATTACAAGGCAAGGTAAGCTATTCTGAAAAGACGACTGGCTGTCCAACGGAGACGAGACTAAGACATTCTAGGATCCTGCATCCAGCCCTGAGCGATGGCGTACATGCGTCAATCATGCGGACGACGGTGTAGGCTGGATCCTCTCGCGCTTCTTCGTGGAAAAGGCATTTTCCGAGAAGGCCAAGGTACTCGGTGATCGGATAGTAACCGACATCAAGGATCAGTTTATCAAGAAGCTCGAGAAGACCACGTGGATGGAGCAAGAAGTTATCGATCTCGCGATCCGTAAGGTCCACAACATTGTTCAAAAGATCGGATATCCAACCAAGGTACACCCCCCGTTTACAACGAGACCCCAATCCTTTTTACGACTTTGATCTACGGTGAACCTAACCACAGTCTTTCTAACAGAGTCCGAACATTCTCGATCCACCCAGCCTCCGCGACTATTACAAGGACGTCAAAGTCAATGCCTCAACGTACTTTGAAAACGCTGCTGCCTTCAACACTTTTGAGGTGATTCGTGAGTGGAGTGCACTGGGCAAGCCCGTTGACAGGGATCAGTGGTACGTTCTAAGCTTGCTCCATGTTCTGTGGGATTGCGTGTGAATCATGCTGACCAGATAATTCTAGGGATATGACTGTTCCCACTGTCAACGCCTGTAAGTACACTTCTACAATCAACCTTTCTCTCGCTTACAACTAACTAATATACCCTTTCGTTATAGACTACAATCCACCAGGCAATGAAATTGTCTTCCCAGCAGGTATCATGCAGTTCCCTGTCTTCGACGTAGCGGTTCCCGAATACCTGTCATACGGTGCCTTTGGATCCGTCTCCGGACACGAACTCTCTCACGCATTTGATTCCACAGGCCGACATTACGATCAGAACGGTAACTACACCGATTGGTGGACAGACAAGACGGTGGCGAGCTTCAAGAGCAAAGCCGAATGTTTCGTCAACCAGTATGCCAATTTCACCGTCGAGGGCTCTGATGGAAAGCCACTGCACGTCAATGGCCGTCTGACGCTTGGTGAGAACATCGCCGATGCCGGTGGCCTTTCCGCCGCGTTCCAAGCATGGAAAGAACGTGCGGCCGAGAAACCCAACCAGGGCCTTCCAGGTCTGGACTACTTCACGCAAGAGCAGCTGTTCTTTGTCAGCTACTCCAACTGGTGGTGCGGCAAGTCCCGTCCGGAGACGGCCGTGCAACGTATCTACACGGATCCCCATGCACCTAAGTGGGCGAGGATCCTGGGTACAATGGCCAACTCGAGGGAGTTCAGGGACAGCTTCAAGTGTCAATCGCGGGAGCCCGTTTGTGAGCTGTGGTGAAGAAGTGGATCCGAGAAACAGGGGAAGGGGAAATCCTCTGAGAGTGCAATTCTGATCAACGCAGGATCAGGCAAGTTCCTTTGTGAGTGGCCAGGCCAAGAGGGAAAAAGAAGAAGAACAGAACATAAAAGTCCTTTCTCAAAAGCAGAGCATTACTCGTTCCTGCGAGCTCGGTGTTGAGGACCCGAACGCAAAAAGAATACATCTTCTCTTCCTTCAGATCTCGATTCTAGATTAGTGGCGTTGTATCATACCGTATACCTGAATAACCTGGCTAGCAATCTACCAACTCACAACATGACCTCATCATCCTCGCAGACTTGACGCGCTCCACTGTATCTTC